CTTTCAAAGTTGCAAGCTACAAAGCTGCACTCTCACCCCAGAAGGGGGTGGAGGTGGGGAGAGGGGATGGAGAGGTGGGGGTAGTGGGAACTGGGGGTGTCCATCTCCGGCTCCAGCCCTTCCACCGCACTCAGACAGAGACCTAAGTTCTCCAGTTCATGTAGGTGAGTCTGGCTCAGACATTATTATCATCATCCAATTTTACAAATGCCTGAGATCATAAAACCTAGACTGGGTAAGCTGCATGGGAACTTTGGCTTCTGTCACTCCTGCACTGCAGGAGGTAAGAGACAGCAGAACCACAATGGCCCAGTACTGGCAGTCTGTCTTCCCATCATCCTTCTTGCTTCCTCCCGCCCTTGCATCTTCTCTCTCCATAAAAGCTGGGGTCTTCTCTTCCTTGGAAAGGACCACTGCATGCCAGGCCTGAGAAGCTATGAGCATTCTCACAGCAGAAGCAAGAGCAAGGTCCAGATAAGGGAGAGACGTTCAAGTCTACTCTTGGCTGGAGAAGGGAAAGTGCCGACCTGAGGGCCCCAGCATCTTCTCTAAATGAACATTCAGCCTTCTCCTGTCCACCTCTGGGAGGCTGGTTCTGTGTGTATTCCAGGGTACACTTTGGTTATCACAATTTGGGGGAAGGGAGGTTGCTACGTCACAGAAGAGGGATGCTCCTTATCATAGGATATTTCCTGCAATGCACAGGACAGCAAAAAGTTTCCCTCTCCCTTTTACCAAGTCCAATTGATTCTAATTCCAAATTGTGTCTCTAATCCTTTCTCTCTGCTGTGATCAAACTGAGTGTTCCCCTCAAGGTTCACAGGCTGAAAGCTAATCCCCAATGCAAGAGCAATGGCTGGGGGGGAGGGAGAGGATGGGGAGGTGATTAGGTCACAGGGCAGAGCCCTTGCAATGGGATTAGTTTTCATAAAAGAGACCTGAGGGAGCCTGCTTGTCCTTTTCCACCATGTGAGGACACATAGAAAGCATTGCTTATGAGCGCTACTGGATTTGGGTTGCTAAATCAGGGGACCAGAAAATTCTTGGTCTCACTGGGGTAAGAATCCAAGGATGGATGCAAAGGAGACTTAAGATGAAGCAGTGTGAGAAAGATGCTCACCTATCCAAACTCAAAGAATGGACTCAGAGACATGTGAAGTACAGTGAAAGTGAGACTTTAATGGCCATCTTGCAAGATCAGGTGCCTGGTGAGCAGAGATGCCAGGAAGCAGTTACAACAAACATTATATTGCCTAATGTGCAAGTCCCTCCCCCAGTTCTTCCCCCAGTTCCTCATTGGCTGAGTACTATGGGTGTACATTCTTTTCATGATCATTTTAGGTATAGATTCCACATATGAGTGAAAATATGTCATATTTAGCTTTTGAGCTTGGCTTATCTCATTCAACATGATGGTTTCTAATTCCATCCATTTTCCTGAAAATTACAAAATTTCATTCTTCTTTATGACTGTAGATATGCTACATTTTCTTTATCCATTCATTGCTTGTTGGGCACCTCAGCTGATTCTACAGTGTGGCACTATTTGAAGAGAGTTTCAATAAACCTGAGTGTGCAGGTATCTCTCTTGTATATTGATTTACACTCCTTTAGATATATGTCCAAGAGGAGGGTAACAAGATAAGTCTATTTTTTAGTTTTTTGGAGAACCTCCATACTGATTTCCCTAGTGGTTGCACTAGTTTACATTCCCACCAACAATGTGAGGATTCATTTTCCCTCATTCTCACTGGTGTTTGTTGTTGTCTGTTTTCTTGATGATGGCCAATCTGACTGAGGTGAGATGGAAACTCAGTGTAGTTCTCATTTGTATTTTCTTGATGGCTAAGGATGTCAAACATTTCTTCATGTATTTATTTGCCATTTGTACTTCTGAGAACTGTCTATTCCACTTGTTTGCCCATTTACTAATTGGATTATTCTTTCAATTTTTCAAGCTTTATCAATATTCTAACTATTTATCCTTTGTCTGTTGAATCTCTGGCAAAGATTTTTCTCCCATTTTGTGGGCTGTCTCTTGATTCTGATAAATGTTTCTCTTTATTTGCAGAAGCTTTTTAATTTCATGCAGTCCCACATGTCAATTCTTGCTCTTATTTCTTGGGCAGTTGGAATCCTATTCAGAAAATAATTGCATGTGTCTATATCTTCCAGTGTTTTCCCATAATAGTTTCAGATCTTACAGTAAAATCTTTGATCCATTTTGAATTGATTTTTGTACAAGATAGGGGTATAGCTTCAGTCTTCTACATGTGGATATCCAGTTTTCTGTACACCACTTGTTTAAGAGGCTGCCTTTTCTCCAATGTATGTTTTTGTCTCCTTTGTCAAAAATCAGATGGTTGTAGCTGTGTAGGTTTATTTCTGGGTCTTTTATTCTGTTCCACTGGTCTTCATGTCTATTTTTGTGCCAGCTCCATGAGGTTTTTGTTACTCTGGCTCAGGGAGTATAATTTGAAGTCCAATATTGTGGTGCCTCCAGTGTTGAATTCTTAGCAGATATGACTTCATGTACCTACCTTACACAAAACATCACACTGTATTATTATTGTCTATGAGCAGATTTGTCCCATCTCTGTGCATCATGGATGGCAGGAACAGAGTCTTGTCACTACTAAGCCCCTAAACTGACAGCATGGAATAAATAAATCAAGGCCCTATAATTAAAAAGATCACTTATATTTAACCAGATCCTTGAGAATCTTAGTTTCTGATCACTACGGCAGTGATGTATCACAGACTTAGTGGCTAAAACAACACATTCTTGTCTTATCATTCTGGAGGTTACAAGTTCTATATGGGTCTTCCTGGCCAGAGTCAAGGTGCCAACAGGGTTCAATTCCTTCTGGATGCTCCAGGGCAGAATCTGTCAATTTGTCCTTTCCAGCTTTGAGAAGCCATTTGCATCCCTTGAGTCAGGACCCCATCACTCACCTTCAAAACCAGCATTGTTGAGACAAATCCTCTCACCAGGTCATCTCCCTGGTCCTCTTTTTAAATTCTGTGTGGCTTCATGATTGCGTCCAGCCCTCCTGGGTAATCCAGGCATCTCCTTGTGCTAAGGTCATCTACACACACACTCCTCCCTCCTTTTAAGATCAGCTGACTAGCAACCTTAATCTATCTGCAAACATAATCATCCTTTGCCACTTAACATATTCACAGGTTCTGTGGATTACATATCAACACCTTTGGGGACTATTATTCTGCTTAACTACAGAGACACCTTAAATTGCCCGTAGAAGTCCAGTCTACCGAGAAATAGATTGGAATGGTGGTTCAAAGCATATATTCTGGAGCAAGACAATTTGGATCCAAATATCATCCCCACCACTTGAGGTGAACTACTTTGGGCCAAGTTACTTAACTTCTTGTGACTTAACTTCATCTATAAAAGTGAGGGTGACAGCAATAGTGTTTGCTTTTCAGGTTAGTAAACACTTAGAACGATGCCTGGCCTATAATAGGGTCAGGTAGGTGTGTATTAAACACATGCAGTTGTGTGGGCAGCCTTAGAACAAGTTGTGGTGTCTGGCTGAGCCTTCACCAATCAGTAGCTTGAGTCTCGTCCAGCTCAGGTATCTTGGAAAGGGAACTGACCTGTGTCTCATTTTCCCCTTGCTTTAAGATGTGCATTTATTAAGTGGAAGAAGATGCTGAAATGACCTGCATTTTAAAAATTTAATTTAATTTTTAATTAGCAAATAGTAATAACACAGAGGATTTCATCATGATGACACCATACATGTCTCTTTTATTTAGACAGGGTCTCACTAAGGGTTCACACTGGCTTCAGACTCACAGGCCTTTTGCAGGCACCACGTACAGCCTTACTTGTGATATTTAATTTGTTTGTTCTTGATGGGCATGGTGGCGTAAGCCTGTAATTCCAGCTATTCACAGGATGGTGATTGGGAAGATCAAGGTTCAAGGCCAGCCTGGGCAAAATGCTAGCAAGATTCCATTTCAACAAATAAGCCAGACCTGGTGGCCCACACCTATAACCCCAGGTACACAAGAGGTGGAGGCAGAGGTAGGAGGATTGTGGCCCAAGGCCTGCCCCAGGCAAAAACACAAGACCATAGCTGGTACCAGAGGCTCATGTCTGTAGTCCTAGGTACTTGGGAGGCTGAGATTGGTAGGATTGCACTTCCAGAAAGGGCGTTTATGAGATCCCATCTCAACCAATAGCTGGGTTCAGTGACACACACCTGTCACCCCAAGCTATGCGGAAGGCTGAAATTGGGAGGATTGTGGTTCCAGGCCAGTCTGGGAAAAAAATTTGTGAGACCCCCATCTCAACGGAAAAAAAGAAAAACTGGGCATAGCAGTGCATTTCTGTCACCCAGCGATGGCAGGGAGCTTAAAATGAAAGTATTGTGGTTCAAGCTGGCCTGGACAAAAAGCTAGACCTTATCTCTAAAATAACCAGAACAGAAGGGACTGGAGGTGTGACTCAAGCAATAGAGCACCTGCCTCACAAGTGTTAGGCCCTGAGTTCAAAACCCCGGTACCACCAAAAAATTCTTTGTATTTTTCCAAGTGAATAGTTCATTCAAAAAATGAACTGAGGGCCAGTGCCAGTGGCTCACGCCTGTAATCCTACTCAGGAAGATTGCGGTTCGAAGCCAACCTAAGCAAATAGTTCATGAGAGACCCTATCTCGAAAAACTCCTCACAAAAATAAGGCTGGTGGAGTGGCTCAAGGTGAAGGTCCTGCATTCAAACCCCAATACCGTAAAAAAAAAAAAAAAAAAAAAGAACCAAGGATGTGATATGACCTCATTGAGTGAATGAGGGAGTGGATGAATGAATGAACGGATGGATCTGTCTTCCCGAACATCTGTCTGCACTGCACATCCCCTAGGTGGGTCCTCTTTCTCAGACATCCCAGAGAGGCAGCTACAGAAAGGGTGAGAAGCGGGTTTCTGGGGTCTGGAATCGGACACACATTTGCACCTCCCCAGGACTGCGAGGCATCGTTCAGCACCATGGAGAGCGGCACCAGTAGCCCAGAGTTTCCACAGTCAGACACCTGGGAGGCATTTCCCCAGAAGAACCTGGAACCTGGAGACATTGTAGTGCTGGTTCTCTACTTCCTCTTTGTCCTGGCCGTTGGACTATGGGTAAGTCAGGTGGAGGCGAGCAGCGGAGGGAGGAAATGTGTGGCCAGAAGCCCAGAGTAAACCCTGTCACTTTGGAGAACAAGATACTGATTGAGAGAGAAAGACTAGCTATATTCACATGTCATTGTTTCTTAGATTATTTTTGCCCTTCCACTCACCTGGCATGTAGGAGAATAAGTCGAACCTTAACATTTTTAAATGCATTAGGTGCTGGCTATGTGTCAGGCACTGATTTAAGCATATTCACTATGTCATCTCGTGTAATTTGCAAGGCTCCTCTAAGGAAGTTACTATACCCATTTTGCAGATAAAGAAACTGAAACACAAAGAATTTAAGTTCCTTATCCTATTGCTAAGTTAGGAGAGCTGGAGTTAAAATCATTATCTCCCTTACTTGGAAGCCCATGCTTACTTTTTAATTTAAAAAGAAACTGTGGGTGATTCATGCCTGTATTCCTAGCTACTCAGGCAGCAGAGATCAGGAGGATCTTGGTTCAGAAGCCAGCCTGGGAAAATAGTTTGTGAGAATCTATCTCAAAAAAACCCAACACAAAAGAGGGCTGGTGGAATAACTTAAGTGATAGAGCACCTGCCTAGCAAGTGTGAAGCCCTGAGTTCAAGCCCCTGTAATGACAAAAAAAGCAATGCAATCATATGATTCAAAAATAAAAATAGCACAGGACACCTTATTATCACTGTACACTAGTGTATTCTTACCATTTCCTTATGCAAAGCAAAGGTGTGCATATACACAGAGGGAGGGAGAGAGAAAGAGAGAGAAATCAGCCTCGCTATGTAACTCAGGCTAACCTTGAATTCACCATCTTCCTGCTTCAATCTCTCAAGTGCCAGAATTACAGGTGTGTGCTGCCCAGTCAGAGAAAATATTAGTATGTATATTTTCCTCTTTCTTAAAGAGGAGGTAGCTTATTATACATAGTATTTTTACCTCGCTATTTTCATGCTGTCTCTTGGCTTTCTGCTACATAGAAGCTTCCTTACTTTCTTAAAGGTGCACGATATTCTATTTGATGACTGTATTGTCATTTATTTCATCAGTCTTCTGCTTAGGGTCATTTGGATTTTTGCTCCCCACCTCTCACTGTTAATGCTGTGATTAAAAAAACCTAGTATGCTCACTGTTTTGGAGCATGGCTATAATGTAGGATATACTTCTTATAGCAGAATCATCATATTAAAGGTTATATACATTTGTAATCATACTAGCTTGTGTCAAATTGCCCTCCTTAGGTGTAGCACTGATCTGCACACAGTGTATGGTGAAGCCTGTTTATCACACCCTCGCCAACAGTGTATTGTCAGTCTTTTTCATTTTCATCAAATACGGGGAAAAGAATATCCCAGAGTATTGTTGATATACATTTATCTTTCAATGAATGAGGCTGGACACCATGACACATGACATGTTTAAGAGCCACTTACATTTATTCATGGGTTGAAACTTTTTTTTTGTGGTACTGCAGTTTGAACTCAGAGCCTACACCTTGAGCCACTCCACCAGCTCTTTTTTGTAATGGGTTTTTTTCGAGATAGGATCTCACAAACTATTTGCCTGGGCTGGCTTTGAACTTTGATTCTCTTGATCTCTGCCTCCTGAGTATCTAAGATTATAGGTGTTAGCCACCGGTGCCCAGCTTGTGTATTGAAACTTAATCACCAATGTGGTAGCATTAAGAGGTAGGGCTGGGCACTGTGGTTTAAGTCTGTAATCCTAGTTACTGGGGAAGTGGAGATCAGGAGGCTTACATTTTGAGGTCAGCCTGGGTGACAAAGTCTGCAAGACTCCTTCTCAACCAGTAAAAAACTGGATGTGATTACAACATGCCTGTCATCTCAGCTATATGAGAAGCATAAATAGGAGGATCGAGGTCCAGGCATTGGCAGGCATAAATGTGAGATCCTATTTGAAAAAGTAATAAAAGCAAAAAGGGCTAGGGGTGTGGCTTAAGTGATTGAGCACCTGCTTAGCAAGCTGAGGCCCTGAGTTCAAACCCCAGTATACCAACAACAATAAAAGGTGGAACCCTCATGAATAGGATTAGTGGCCTCACAAAAATCAAGGGGCTGGAGGTGTATCTCAGTGGTGGAGCACTTGACTAGCAGGTGCATGGCCTTGGGTTTGATCTCCAGCACTATAAGAAAACAAATGAACAAAGGAAAAGTTTAAGAGTTCTCACTGGCTCTTTTGTGCCCTTCCAATCTCCCACTCTCTCACCATGCAAAGACATTAGAGGAGGCCAAACAGGCCCTTGCCAGATGCCATACCTATCAGCAACCTTGAATTTGGACTTGCTGGCTCCCAGAATTGTGAGAGATGAATTTCTGGTGTTTATAAATTACCACATCTCAGGTATTTTGTTACCATAGCACAGGTGGAGTAGGATTGCAAGTCTTGGTCTCTTCATCTGTCAGAGTGGCCCACTGACACCAACCTCATGGGTGTTGGCAAAGATTAAAATGAGCTAATGCCTGTAAAATGCTTATAAGCACAGAGTAAATACCCAATAAACAATATTCATTAGGAGCTGTCATTCACAAACCATGAGTTTACAGAGCAAATGTCTAGGGGGACCAAGTGGGTTATCACAAGTATGACATCACAAGTGTGATGTGGGAATGGTTGGGGATATGCTGGTCAAAAGAGCTTATGTCTCCTTTAAAGTTCACAGTAAAAGTTTTGAAGACCCAAACAATACATATTTGACATCCATATGTGGTCCACTGGACTCCCAGTTTGCAAGTCCTCTCCTCAATCATTTTGGGGTGCCATTTTGGGATGCCTCTGACTGCTGTAGTTTTCCCTTATGAGCTCCTGTTCTTCATTTCAGTCTACAGTGAAGACCAAAAGAGACACGGTGAAAGGCTACTTCCTGGCTGGAGGGGACATGGTGTGGTGGCCAGTAAGTAGCCTCTGATTCAATTAAAAAGTCACTTCTCAGGGCTAGGGAAGTAGCTTGGTGGTAGAGCACTTGCCTGGCATATGCAAGGCCCTGGGTTCCATTCTCAGCACTGCAAAAGGAGGGAAAGCTATTCCTCAAAGATTGGTCAAGAACTGCTATTCTATCTCAGGGTCCTTTGATTCCATACCATCTGAAAGTCACAGAGAAAACTAGAGAAAGCTTAGCTCCAACCTAAGTTTGTTTAAACAAAAAGAGAACTTATCAGGGGAAAATGTAGAATTCAGATGTCATGGAGCCTCAATGATATAACTATGACCTAACAACCTGATTTCTCTGACAATTCTCCCCTTATCTATCTATCTATCTATCTATCTATCTATCTATCTATCTATCATCTACCTATCTATCATCTGTCTATTATCTGTCTAACTATCATCTATCTATCTATCTGTCTATCTATCATCCATCTATCTCTATCAACTTCTCTTCTGATGATCTCTAGTTCCAAACATATTCAACTCATGGTATCAAGATGGAGGACATTGCTCCAGACCTTTCATTCTCTCAAGTTCCACCCCAGCATAGGAAGATTACCTGCCCCATGGCAGTATTCCTGGGACAGTTTCATCTCTGATTGTATCCTGTGCTCATCTATGTGATAATCACTATAGCCAGGATAGTTTTTGTGCTGATTCACTCAAGCCTGACTCACATGTTCAACACCCTAGCTGGGTCATATGTAATGAGGGGCTAGAGTCTGAAGGAAAATTGTAGGTCATTCCTGGGACAAAGTAGACTGGGTATTGAGAACATAGATAGCTAATGCAACAGCCCAATTAGTTTTTCCTTTCCTAGTGGATGTAAGGGTATTATAAAATGTGCACACACAGGCACACGCACAATCATACACTTGCATGTGAGCCTATCTTTTGTGGGCCCTGGGTAGGAGATCAAGGATGATAGTTTTGTTTATGAGCTTTTAAAACAAAGGTTAAACCTTTGAACCAGTAAGGAGGACCATTTCTACCTTTACCTTCCATGTGGCTGAGATTATAGGCAATTTGCTGTAAGTATGGAAAATGCAGGGTAAGATGCAGACACAGTAGGTGTCTAAACTTCTGGTCAATGAAATGTTTGAAGATAATGATCTCACTATTCTCAAAAGGTACCAACAGTGTACTTTGGAGCATATGTTCAACTAACACAAAAGCATCTCTGGGGCTGGGGATGTAGCTTGGTGGTAGAGCATTTGCCTATCATGTGCAAGGTCTTTGGTTTCATCCCCAGCACCACAAAAAGTGAACATAAAAAGAGTGGGAACTTTGGCAGGAGTGCAGCCATTAGCTATTGCTGCCTAAAAAGCATCCCCCAAAATTAGCAGTTTGTAGCAGTGTATTGTTTATAATGATTCTGTGGGTTGGCTGGGGTCCTTCTGCTTCTCCCCTCTTGATTTACCCCTACAGCTGCATTTAGTTGGTGATGGGGCTGGTCTGGAGGACCAAGACAGTCTCATCCACATTTGGGGGCAGCGCAGGAATTGCTGCAATGCTGGGCCTTCTCTCTCTCCCTCTTCCTCTCCCTCCTCTCCCTGTCTCTCCTTTCCTTCTCCCTCTCCCTCTCTCCTCTCCCTCCTCTCCCGCTCTCTCTCCCTGTGCTTCTCTCATCACTCAGACCAATTTTCCTTACAAAGAAGCTGATTTTAAAAGAGCAAAAGTGAAATCTGCCAGGTTATTATGGCCTTGACTTGGAAGTCATACGTCATTTCCATATATTCTACTGGTCAAAGTAAATTCCAGCCAGCCCTTCTTCTTTACTGGAAGAACAGAAAAGTCACAGTAGCTGGGCACTGGTGGCTCATGCCTGTAATCCTAACTACTTGGGAGCCTGAGATCAGGAAGATTGCAGTTCTAGGCCAAACCAGGCCCCAAACAAAAAGTTTGTTAAACCCCATCTTAACAGAAGAAAGTTGGGTGTGTTGGCACATGCCGGTCCTCCTAGCTATGGTGGGAAGCATAAAAAATCCCTAGAGGCATTCGCAGAAAGAAAAAATTGGTGGCACTTGTTTAATATGGTAGCCAGCTAAGGCAGCAGTGATAGTCTGGGCAAATAACAGGCTAACCAAAAACTGAAGAAGAAAATCCAGGGAATGAGATGGTCACAGAGTACTTTGAAAAATTCCCACATATTTTGGCAATCTAGAATGCCATATGCACATACCCAGGAGAGACCTGAGAAGGCCCTCAGCTCTTACATCTGACTGACCTTGGGACTTTGCATAAGCAGAAAGTGAAGATGTAAACCACCAGACTGAGTGTTGATTGCATACCCCAACACATGCACAATGGCTGGGAGAACCGTAAAAACTGGGGGAAATACTGCTTTCAGGCATCCAAGGAAACTTCTTCCAGTCATTTGCTATCCACTAAATTGAGCATAGATTTCGGTGTGCACATCTGACAAAGAATACAGAATTTATAGAAAGTCATCAAACAAATACGATTGATGTACTCTATATATTCATCTAAGAATAGAACAATGAAACTTGTTGAAATAGTTTTAAGAAGGGAGGACAGAGGTGTGGAAGAATGATGGAGGGGATTAATCTAGTCGAGGTACATTATAAGCATATATGGAGATGTCACAATGAACCCCCACCTCATACAACTAATATATAAGAATTAAAATGTAAAGAAAAAGAAAGTCATCAAACAAACAGTAGCAACATAACAATGAGTACCAGCAACCACAAACCCAGAGTTGAAATGTCCACTTCTAAAAAAAAACAATTGTAAGACAGGCAGGTCATACCCAGGGGGGCAAAAATGCAGTCAGTAGAAAATGTCCCTGAGGAAGGTGTTCAACTTATTAGACAAAGACCTTAAATCAGCTATTTTAAGTATGTTTGAAAGCCTTAAAAGAAGTTGTGTATGGATGATTGAAGTATGAGAACAATGTTTAACTATATAGAGCACCTCAATAAAAAGAAATTATTTTAAAAGAACAAAGTAATGGAGATGGGGTGCAGCTCAGTGTGGAGCATTTGCTGAGTAAGCACAAGGCCCTGGGTTTGACCTCCAGCATGGTAAAAAAAAAAAAAGTGGAAAAGTGGAAATTCAGGAATTGGAAAGTACAATAAGTAAAATGAAATATCAGTTAGATGCTCAACAACAGATTTGAGTGGCAAAATAATGAATTGGTGAACTTGAGGACAGGTCAAGTTGAAATGATCAAGTCTGAAGAACAGAAAAAAGAATGAGGAAAAATAGCATCTCAGAAATCTGTGGGACAACCTCAAGCATATCATCATGCACAGAATGGAAATTCCAGAAGGAAAGGAGGGAAAGGAGAGGGGGAGAAAGGGTGGGGGGGAGAGAGAAGAGAGAGAAAGAGAAAAGAAGAAGCAGGAGGAAGAGGAGGAGAGAAGAAAAAAGAGGAAGAAGGGAGAAGGAGATGAAATATTAGAAGTAATGGTCTAAAATTGACTAAATTTGACTAACAATAATAATATAACATTCAAGTAGCTTGATGAGCTCCAAGTATGATAAACTCCAGCAGATTCACACCTTGACACATCGTAATAAACTGTTAAAAATCAATAAAAAGGAGTTTTGAAAGCAGAAAGAGAGACAAAATTTGTCACATATAGGAGTCATCCACAAGATTAACAGCTGGTTTTTCATGAGAAACCAGGGAGTATGAAGTACTGTAAAGAAAAGACCATCGACCAGTAATTTTATATTGAGCAAAACAGTCCTTCAAAATAAAGGAGAAACCTGGACATTGTCAGATTTTTTTTTATGAGAGAATTCATTGCTAGAAGATCTGTCTTACAAGAAACATTAAAGGTGGCCCTCCAGGCTGAAGTGAAAAGACACCAGAGAGTATCTTGAATCTACATGAAGAAGTAAAGAGCACTGGTGACAGTAACCCCATAAGTAATGTCATGGACAAGTACATTATGTTTTAATTGCAACTCTCATATTCTTCTGCCCTCTTTTTTTTTTCATTTTCTTTTTATCTTGCAGTACTGGGGCTTGAACTCAGAGCCTCATGCTTGCTAGGCAGGTGCTCTACCACTTGAGCCACTCCACCAGCCCTCTTCTGTCCTCTTTAAAAGACAACTGCATAAGTTATAATTTATAATTATATGTTTGCCTTTCTGGGTATACAATATATAAAGATGTAATTTTATGACAATAACAGCACAAAGGAGGGGAAGAGAATAAATCTGTGTAGAAGCAAAAATTTTACATACTATTGTAAAAGTTTAAATATCTATTCATCCAAACTTTTTTTTTATATGTTAAGGTGTTAATTATAATTCCTAGGACAACCACCAAAAAGTAAATAGTAACAGAAACAATAAGAGAATTAAAATGGTATATTACATAATATCTATTTAACACAAAATGAGGCAATGGTGGAGGAGTAGAAGAAAAAGAAAGACATTAGACGTATAGAAACTGCCCAGCAATATGATGGATGTACATCCTATGCTATCAGCATTACATTAATTTAAATATAATAAACACTCCAATCAAAGGGCAGAAATTGGCAAAACAGATTCCCCCCCCCAAAAAAAATACATGATTCAACTATATGCTGTCTACAAGAGACATACTTTAGAATTTTTTTCTTAAGACAGCATCTTGCTATATAGCCCAGGCTGGCCTTGAACTCAAGCTCCTCCTGCCTCAGCCTCATGAGTGCTAGGATTACAGGTGTGATGCACCATGCACTACTAAGATATATACTTTAGATAAAAGACATGAATAAGTGAAAGTGAAAGTAAAATGGTGGGAAAAGGATGTCCAACCAGAAAGGATATATATCAAATAGGTTTAAAGTAGAAGGATAGAAAAAGATATGCCATGCAAACAGTACAAAAACAAAAAAAAAAAAAGCAGGAGTGGTTGTGCATATTAGCCAAAATAGACTTTAAGACAAAAATTTCTGCAAGATATAAAGAAGGATACAATAGCAAAAAGGTTAATCCATCAAGAAAACATAACAATTATAAACATATTTGCACCTACAAACATAGTCCCAATATATGTTAAGTAAATGTTGAGAGAGTAAAGAGAGAAATAGACAATACAAGTAATAACTGGACACTTGAATATCTAATGCTCAATAATGTATAAGAAAAACAAGATAGTTAGTCACCAATGGCTCATGCCTGTCATCACAGCTACTCAGGAGGCAGAGATCAGGGAGACTGAGGTACAAAGCCAGTCTGGGCAAATAGTTCAGGAGATCTTATCTCAAAAATACCAATACAAAAGTGGGCTGGTGAAGTGGCTCAGGTGGTAGAGCACCTGCCTAGCAAGCATGAGGCTCTGAGTTCAAACCCCTATACTGCAAAAAAGAAAAGAAAAGAAAAACAAGAGAGAAGATCAACAAAGAAACAGAAGAAGACATGAACAACACTCTAAAACAATGACAGCCCATCCAACAACAGCAAAACACAAGTTCTCCTTAGATGCATATGGAACATTCTCCAACATAAACGATATGTAATCCAGAAATGAGTCTCAGTGAATCTCACATGTTTGAAATAATACAAAGTATGTTGTCTGTCCACAGTAAAATGAAATTAGAAATCACTAAGAGAAAGAAATTTGGGGGATTCATGGATATGTGGAAATGAAATAACATACCTCTAAATAACTGATGAATTCAAGAAGAAATCACAAAGGAAGTTGGAAAATATTTTGAGATGATTGAAAACAAAAATTGCATATCAAGATTTACGGAATGCAACTCAATCAGTACTAAAAGGGAAGTTCGTACTGTAATGTCCCTATTAAAAAAAGAAGAAAGATGTTAAACCAGTTGCCTAACATTACATTAACTAGAAAAACAAGAGCAAACTAAACCCAAAGGAAGCAGAAGGAAAGAAAGAATAAAGATTAGAGAGGAGATAAGCCAAATGCAGAATAGGAAAACTTAGAGAAAATCAACAAAATCATGGTTCTTTGAAAATATGGGTAAAATTGATCAACTTCTAACATAGTTCACTAAGAAGGAGAGAAGATGCCAACTGTTGAAATCAAACACGAAAGAGGGGGCTATCACAAAGAATATTATAGAAATTAAAAAATTGTAAGAGGATACTGTGGACAATTGCATGCCAAAAATTAGATAACTTAATGAAACAGGAAAATTTCTAGAACAAAACAAAATATGCAACTGAGTCAAGTAGAAATGGAAACCTGAATTACCTCTATAAAAAGTAAAGACGTTAGTCATGCATGGTGGCTCATGCCTGTAATAGCAGCTGCCTGGGAAACAGAGATTAGGAGGATTGTGGTTTGAGGCCAGCTCAGGAAAAAAGTGTGCGAGACCCCCATTTCAATCAATAAACCAGGCATGCTTGTGGTACCAGCTACAAGGGAGGCCAAAGGTAGGAGGACTGAGATCTGAGGCTGGTCCCGACCAAAACTCCAGACCCTCTGGGAAAATAACTAAAGCAAGAGAGGGCTGAGATGTAGCTCAAGTGGTAGAGCACCTGCCTAGAGAGTTTGAGGCCCTGAGTTCAAATGCCAGTGCTGGCAAGATGATAGATAGATAGATAGATAGATAGATAGATAGATAGATAGATAGATAGATACAAAAGAATGTTATATTTACAGGGCAGACATGTAGATCAGTGGCATAGATTTGGGTAAGACTACGGGAAGTCAATAGTGCTCTCACAGTTTTTGCTCTCTCTCTTTCTCTCCTCTGTACCCCTCCCCACTCTGTCCATCTCATGATCTGCCTCTCTCTGCCCATCTCCTTCATTCTCCTCTCTCTTGCTAGATTGGCAGTGATGAACAAATGACTAAATATTCCTTCACTGGTTGCCTACACCTGCCACACACCCCTTCCCAGTCCAAGAGTTCAGCAGAGACCATATTTCCATCCACACACCCAGAAAAGGGAAAATTATTGGCCCAGCATGAGCCAGGTGCCCTGGCCTGTCCAGTGCAACCACCTGAAACCAGGGATTGGAGTAGTTGAGTCGTCCCAGCCACTTAGCATCCTAGCAGAAGGAGGGCTGTCTACTTCTTTAAGTTAGAGGCAGAACTGAGAAGTACCACAGCCTTCCTCATTTGCACCATGTAGCATTTTCTACACCTGTTATCTTCCTTCCCCCCACCACCCAGGGATACAGTTGCTCAAGCTGTGCACTGTAAAAGATGCTAGATAGGGCAGAGATGGCCTTGCCTCCTCTACTTCTCCACCTGATTTGTTCCTTTGGTGCATGGGAACACTAGGGAGTGAGAGCAGTTGCTCCAGACTGTGGCTCCAAGATCTGACCATCCATCTCCCCACAGGTGGGCGCCTCCTTGTTTGCCAGCAATGTTGGAAGCGGCCACTTCGTTGGCCTGGCAGGGTCAGGCGCTGCCACGGGCCTTTCTGTCGCTGCTTACGAGCTTAACGTAAGTATCTGGCCCAGGACAGAGACATCTCACCTCTACCAGACAACACATGCTGAGGGAAGCTCACATGGATACCTTGCACTTTAAAAACAAAATGACACTTTTTGAAAAAAACCAAACAGGAGCCTTTGAGGGTGTTCTTGGCAAGAAAAAAAATCACTTTGGTCACCCCGTATTTGCTTGGTGGGGGCCCATAAGACCATGACCCCAACAAGTACTGATGTGGGGAAGAGGGCACAGATCCCTTCCAGTAGATGCAGAGAAAAGAAGGCACCACAGAACCGGAGGGAATTTCTGTATCATTTAGACATCAATTTGACCTTCCCTAAAATTATGAGGCTCAGTGGCATTTGACCTTTTTTGCTCCACTGGAGAAACTCAAGAGACAGACCACATTCTTCTGTACAAGAGTCATAACAAAATGGTTTCCCCATTGGTCAATGGTGGTATCTATCTTCATAATGACTACTGTTTGCTGAGTCTGTGCTGGGCACAGGCACAAGTATGTTTGTTACATACTCGATAACTTTGTGAGATTCAGCTACACACTTGGACCAGATGACCTGGGCTCATATTCTGGCTTCAGCACTCAATCCAGGTGTGTGACCTTGAGCACCTTACTTAACCTCTCTGAGCCTCAGGTACACCTTCTGGGTATTAATGGTACCTATCACAGGGAGTGGCTGTGAGGATTAAAGGAACTGATGCTTGTGAAGGGCACAGGAGCGCCTGGCACATCAGGAAGTATCAGCTGGCCAATTTCCAGGCAGCAATTTTGTGAGATGCTGTTAAGTCCATTTCACAAGTGAGGAAATGAGTCTCCAGCACCAGCAGCTGCTCATGGACGTGGCCAGCCTTTGTGCCTAGTCCTCACTGCTTTGGCTTAGCCACTGCACAGGAGAGGGGGACGTGCGGAAGAAGGGTGATGATGTGACATTTGGGGACAGAGCTAGAAGGCACCCCAAAAGTCTTCTATTTCCACTCTTCTTACTTAATTCTCTTCTCCCCGTTTTTTAAAATTTTGAGTCGGGGTCTCACCATGTTACCCAAGCTAGCCTCAAACTCCTGGGCTCAAGCTACCTCACCCTCCCAAGTAGCTGGGCTCCAGGTGCTTGCCGCTGCACTGATAGTCTCTTCTCCTCCCTTAAAAACATGGAAATTTGAAGTTGAGGGAAGGTGAACCACTAAGCAAATGAAAGACTAAATCAGAGGCGGAGTTCAGGCCAAGTTCCCTCAGGGTGCAGAGGGAAGTCCAAATTGGTGCCTTGCCGTGAGCTGGAACCCCGCTCTAACTGCGTTTTCTTGGCAGGGTTTATTTTCTGTACTGATGTTGTCCTGGATCTTCCTTCCTATCTACATCGCTGGCCAGGTGAGTCTGGGGGGACTGCCTTTGGGAAGGCCAGCCCTGCACCCCTCCCTCCCTCCTGCCTGTGAATGTCCACCAGACAGCCATTGAGAGGTCATAGCACTGGGGAGAGATGGCAAACAGGTGAGACCCCTGAAAACTTGGTTCTGAGCAGTTCCTACTAGTACCAATTGTCTGTGGTGCACATGGGGCTTTGGGAAGCTGGGAAGGACATTTTAAATGCCAAACATAAATGTAGAACTCAGTCTCTTAGAAGTTTAAATCATAGCATGTTACTGCTTTAAACAAACAAACAAACGAAAAGGTAGATAGGTAGACAGACAGAGATTTTTTTTGTTTTTTGCACTGGGGCCTCACACATACTAAGCACACACTTTACAACTCAGCCAGACCTCAGGTCAGCATTTTTGAAAAGTAGTTTTGTTTGTTTTGGTGGAACGGGGGTTGCATTTAGAGCTTTGCATTTGTAAATCCGGGACTCCTACCTCCTCAGCCACACCTCCCGTCCATTTTGTTCTGGCCATGAAGTCAGTGGTTTTGGTCTTCCACCATGAGGTGCCACAGACCAAAGCTACCGAGCCAACTGATCATGGATGAAACCATGAGCCAAACTAAAATGTGAGCCAAAACAAGCCTTCTCTTTATAAGCTCACTGTCTCAGGTATTGTTATAGGGATGGAAAGCTGTCTAACGTGCTTGTCTGGGACTTTTGCACCTTTTGTCTTTTAGGTTATATGTCTTGTTTTATTGACTTGTCTAAGTTCTTTGCATGTTCTGGACATAAGCCTTTAGGGTGGTTTTGTGTTGCATATGCCTTTTTTTCTATTCAACAACTTGCTTTTTCACTTAGTAGTGCTTTTCAATAAATGAATCTCAATTTCACCATAGTCACATTTATCAGCCTCTCCTTTTATGCCTCGCTGAAAAGATCTATTCCTACTCCAAGTTCATGATAATACTCCCCTGCACACTGTCTTCCAGGGTTATTCACATTTGATCAATTATCTACCCTAGAATTTGTTTTCGCCTACTGTATTTCGAGAATAAGATCAGGCAAATACATGATTGGCGACTTGATTGGATTGAGAAGTTCCTAGGAGGTTAGTGAAGCACACCCCTAAGGGTATCTGGGAGGGCATTTCTAGAGAGGACTAGCTAAGAGGAGAAGACCCCCCCAGCACTGAATGTGGGAGCATGGAATGAAGGTCCAGATGGAGTAAAAGGGGAAAAAGCAAAGAGCTAGAAGTATAGACATTCTCTCTCTTTCCCCCTCTCTCTCTCTCCCCCCCTTTCTCTCTCTCCCCCACCCCTTTTTTCCCTTTCTCTGTCTCTGTCACTCTTACTAGCCACCATGATGTGAACTGCTCTTCTCTACACACCCTCCCTGCCATGATGGCAGAAACCTCTGAAACTGAATCAAAATAACTCTTTCCTCTTTTAGGTTATTTATGTCAGGTGTTTTGTCACAGTGATGAAAAAACTAACCAACCTGCCAACACAGAAACAGTTAGAGACTGATTTTACTTATGAACCTGAAAAATAAGCTATCCATCCTGGCGACCCACTCAACATCCATGATGTTCTTCCACCACTGAATTCATTTACTCATCAGCAAGGAAGCATGTATTGAGCTGTGTGCCCCGTATGAGCCAGGCATCATTCTACCAACTGCTCCTCGCACTCCCTGGGCCCTCTCCATTCCTGGGCCCTTACATTGCTCGCCCCTCTTGGTGGAAAGTTTCCTTTTTTCTTTCTTGGTTTGGCTAACTCTTACACATCCTTCAGACTCAGGTCCAGTCTATGACGCCCTTTGTGACCTCCCCATTAAAGTGACTGCTTCTTCACTGCATTGGCCACAATTGCTTTTTGTGCCATTGTTTGCTTGTAGGATTAAGAAACGGATCTGCCTCTCCCATTAGAACATGCATGTCTCTCCTGCTGACCAGTGGTTCTCAACCTTGGCACGAGGGACATTTGGGGCTGGATAATTCCTTGTTGGCAGGCAGGTTCTGTGCATTATAGGATGCTTACCAACATCCCTGGTCTCTACCATTAGCTGCCAGTACACTCCCAAATTATGACACCTAAAATGTCTCCAGACATTGTCAAATGCTCCCTAGAGGATGAAAATTCTTCTCTGGTTAAGAATCATTGCACTAGACTGTGTGTCTATCTTGGGAGGCTGGAGACCATCTCTCTTTTCTCCTAGCATCTAAAATAGTGACTGACACTTACAAGTGCTCAGTAAATATCTGTTGAAATGAATCCATACCAGGATCTGACCTGGATTCAGAAGGACATGAAATGAGGAATGAGCTGGTACCTAAAGGATGTACCACTTGGAGATCAGAAGTTTTGGTCAAGTCTCAAAGCAGAAGTTCTAAGAGTCAGTGACTGAGAGAACTACACTGATGGAGATATGGGGTGTCAGAGGGGACCCAGGTCTCAGAGATGACAAGGCTCAGGTTCTGGTTGAAGAAATGGATTACAGAAGTGGAGAAGAAAAACTGTTGTTGGGGGTTGGCTGAGTGGCTCAAGTGGTAGAGCTCCTGCCTAGCAAGCATGAGGCCCTGAGTTCAAACCCCAGTACCATGAAAAAAAACAAAACTGTCACTGGGATTGGGACTGAGCAAACTAAGATACTCTCCATGGTGTCCATGGGTAAGTTCTCAGCACCATTGTTCTAGATTGGGGGGAGGTATCTGGAAAGACAGGAAAACCACAAGAAGTAGGGATCCTCGCTCAACACTGGGAGCACTATGGGGCAGAAGTGGCTATAACCAGATGGCATTGATCTCAGAGAAAGGGCAAAGGGTTTACCTAAGCACAGATAGGTGGCATGTGATCTGGGGAAAGGATACAGATGCCAAGCGGTGGGAGTGTGCGACGGAGCACACCCTCAGCCGGGGCTCCAGGGGCATGTGATCATATCCTAGGACAGCTGTCATTTTCTCTTGAGCTGCATTCAGCCAGCTCCAAGCAGAGGGTGGTCCTTCCTCACCAAGCAGGGCAACTGAAGCCAGGAGTGGTTTGAGGACTGTAGGTGGGGAGATAGTGGCCCAGGGTCTCTGAATCATTGGATCATTTCCTGAGCAGGCTCTATGTGGGAATCAGGGGCATAAGTGAGACTGGAAGGCTTTTGTGTTCTATACTAATTGAGCGCTCCCTCTCTCTTTCTCTCTCTCTCTCTCCCCCCTCCCCACCTCCTTCTCCACTTCCCCCTTCTCCTCTTCCTCCTCTCCTCTCACTCTTCCTGTCCCTCTCCCCCTTCTCCCATTTTCTACCCATCTTTTCCCTCTCCTCCTCTCTCTCAGGCTTGCTTACTGGCAAAAGTTGCCTTTTCAGTTACTTTACAACCACAGCCTGGGCTCTGCCTTCCGGGTGCAGGAACTTCACAAGCTCTCCCCAGAAACCTGCTTTCAGGACACCAATGCAGCTAGTTTTCTGAGGGCTTTTATGCCTCCTTCCTTTCTTAACTCAGTAGAAACTTCCTGCAGGATCTGCTGAGCTCTCTAGATTGAACCCAAAGTCCATTGATAATGAAGGCTATCAGCCAGAGAGGGGGGCTCTGAAACAAAGCCCCAGCCACATATCAGATAGGGAGTTGCCTGGGCTGTGTTTCTTTATCTGAGTGGACCCATCCTCCCACCGCGCTCTGAGTAGTTCTCATGTGAAGCTCTTGCTTCACCAAAAGCAAGTCCTGAGTTCTATCAGGACAATGGCGCCTCCTCTCCATGAGGTTTCACCAGCTGTGTCAGAGTTCAGTGCAGGGTTGTGTTTGCCTGGTAGAGATCAGAAAGCTGGGCAGGACATTCACAAGAGTCAGGATCCCAAGACACCCTTTTGAGGAGAGGAAGTGGAGAAAGAACCTTTTCATCCTTCCCATTTAAAAATGTCATTTAAAAAAAATGTCATTTCCCATTTAAATTTATTCCTGAAGTTCTTTCGTGTGTGTGTGTGTGGTGGGTACTGGGGTTTGGATTCAGGACTTCCTACTGGGCAAGCACTCTCCCACTTGAGCTACACCTCCAGCCCTTTTGCCCTGGTTATTTTGGAAATATTGTCTTACTTTTTTCCCAGGCCAGCCCTATTTTAGGCTTCCCACCATAGCTGGGATGATATGTGCATGCCACCAGGCCCAACCTTTTTCTGTTGAGATGGGGTCTTGCAGACTTTTTGCCCAGGGGCTAGCCCGGAACCTTGATCCCCCTGATCTCAGCCTCCCAAGTAGTTAGGATGATGGGTGTGAGCTATCTGTGCCTGACTTATTTTATTTCTAATTGGCATACATTGCACGTGTTTATGGGTTAGGGTGTGACATACATTGTGTAATGTTTTCATCAGGGGACTCAATGGCAAAGTCTCATATTGCAGGTGATGTGTTCTTATCACTTCAACAACTCTCTTCCTTTCTTCTTTTTTCCTTCCTCCCTCCCTCCCTCCCTTTCTTTCTTCTTCCTCCTCCTTTTCTTCTTCTTCTTCTTCTTGTTCTTCTTCTTTCTTCCTCTTCCTCTTCCTGTCTCTCTCTCTCTTGTTTTTAAGAAAGAATGACTTGGCTCTGGGCCCAATAAGGGCTCTGAACTGCCAAAAGAGAATAGAAAATAGATGAATTGTTCTATTATTCCTCTATTTATTTTTGAGGGTTCCCCTGAATTTGGAATGGAGTTTCCACTTACAGTAGTGATTTAGTTTCCTTTCCAGGAGCTGGGATATAGCTCAGTGATGGAGCACTTCCTTAGCACACAAGAGGCCCTGGGTTCAACTCCCAAAACTTCAAAAAAAAAAATTAAGTTTCCTATTTAGATAATTTTCCTTAAACAAAAAGGTGATTTGGCTTAAAGAAAAACATTAACTAAAAAAAATATGCCTACAGCAAAACTGGGATAGAGGTACACGCATGCTTCATGTACAGAAACATAAGGGTTGAACTCTCACTCCTGCATAGAACCCCAGTCCTTCCACATCCCATCCCTTGGCCTCCCTTTTTTTCTTACTTTTTTCCAAGTCACCCATTGAAAACCTAAGAAGACCCTTTGTGCTTCTGAGTTTGGGAAGGAAGGAGGAGGGAGAAAGGGGCTAAACGCACCAAGTCCACTGGGTGACGCCAGGTCCGCTCTGCCTCCAGGTCACCACGATGCCGGAGTACTTAAAGAGGCGCTTTGGGGGCAGCAGGATCTCCATCACCCTGGCTGTGCTCTATCTGTTCATCTACATCTTCACGAAAATCTCGGTAAGGCAGGGGACACAGCCTGGCCCCACTCTTGCAGCATGGTGAGAAGCTAAGCCACAGTCCATTTCTGGAGGCCTCCTCCCGGGTGGATTCAGAGAGGTTAGGGGAAGACGGAGGGGTGGGAAAGAAGTTGAACAGAAGGGCAGGCAGAGGAAGAATCCCCTCCCCTCCTCCTATCAAAGCTTCTTTGGCAACAACCCAGTGTGGTTAGGACACTGAATGGAGCACCAAGAGTCCTGATAACCTTTGGATAGGACTGTGATCTTTCTCCTGGGATCAGGCAGTGATCAGCTCTTATTCAGGTCTTATTCTGACCTTTGAAGGGGCAGATTTCCAGGAAAGTGGCAAAGACCAGATACACTGCACCCTGCAGGCATGTGCTTCTCAGGGGCCTGGCTGGTTTCCCTGTGAGGGGGGTGAGAGGAGAGCAGAAGGAATTCCATTCAATCCAGACATCAGTGACTGACCCTCTACCAGCCCCAGACTCAGAGGACAGACACCAGGGCCCCTCTGTGGAATGTTCACATGGGTCTGGCAGGAGTCTACAGATGTGAGGAAGACTTACAGGAAGTTATGTCTCAGGAGTTAACCAGTCAGAGAAAGGGGGATGGGCATTCCAGATGGCTGGACTCACACAAGTGAAAGCTGGGAGGCACAGGTGGAACACAACATGTTGTGGAAACAGTGAGTATTTCTGAGACTTGGAGGACTGGGGATACAGAACTGAGTAAAGGAAATGAGACTGACAGACCAGCAAGTCATAAAGAGTCTGTTAAGCAATGCTAACTTACTTATTTAGCCTATAAAGGATAAGGCCCCAAGATCAAGATCTCTTGGGAGCCATGGTGGATGAGTCAAGGCTTCAAGGGGAGGAGAAGGGTGATGTGATCCTTGTGGTATCATGAAGATGGCTATGTAGAGGGAGGGTGGAGAGTAGAAAGACCTAGAGCAGAAGCAAGAAGACATGGAGGAGGTTGTTGTCTTACCCCAAGCAGGGGTTTCAACCTAGTTGCCCACAGGGCTCTAGGTTGACACCTCTGATCTGGGATGACATGGATGAGAAGAAGACAATGCATGGCTCTTCTGCCATCTGGGCTAGAGCCTGACCCTGGAGAAACTGCTGCAAATATCCATTCACTCATTCATTCATTGCCCACCCATCAATTCCATGTCTCCACAGGTGGACATGTATGCGGGCGCCATCTTTATTCAACAGTCTTTGCACCTGGATCTGTACTTATCTGTAGCAGGGCTGTTGGCCATCACAGCTCTATACACTGTGGCAGGTATGACTGGACAGGGAGTGATAGGGGACAGGTGGTGGGCAGGGACTTCAGGCCATCCCATCTTCTCCTGACTCCAATCTTGATGTGCCAGTGTGCTAAGACCATCTGTTTGTTAAACCTCATTCCACACCCCAGGTAACAAGACTTCTCTTAGCCATCATTCAAAGGAAGATAAAAGAAAGAATTTTTTTTAATGCACCACAACTGTACAATGTTTTCCCTACTGGTGTATTCCAGAACTATTTGCTGAAGACCTACTAAGTGCTGAGCATGTGTGTTCACACTCACTAAATGAGACTGGAGAGTAAACTAATTGCAATTCTGGAACCTGAGACTGGGCAGCTTTAGACGGTGTCCTGGAAAAGTGTCCAGCACATAGTAGGGCCTTGACAAGTAACTAGCTTTCAACATTCACCCTCTCATCTGCTCCAACTTCATCCTTCTCTGCTTCCTCTTGGTATAACATAATTTGCTCTGCAAATGTACATGCTATGTATACACACATACACATGTGTGTACCTACTGTGTGCCAGACATTATGCTAGAAAATGGACATAGAAGTAAATAAGACAGACAAAAATTGCTACCTCAGAAGAACCAGTAGTTCTGAAGAAACAGACAATGGATAAGGAAACCAACAAATAATGTCAGTGCTATGAAGGGTAACTAAGCAGGTGAGGAGGTAGGGAGAAATAGCTTTTTAAAATAAAGAATATTCAATAATATTCAGAAATATCAAAGGTGATATTTCAAGTAAATTTACATGATATGCATGATAAATGCAGGGGAAGAGAATTCCAGGCAGAGGGAAGAGCCACTGCCAAGTTCTGCAGAATGAGAGAGTGTTTTGTATGTCTGTGAAATAGCAAGGGGTTCACATGGCTAAAGCCCAGTGAGCAAATAGTTGTGCACACTTAACTCCAGGGGGCGCCACTCACACAAACCAGAGCAGGAATGATGCCCCTTGCATTGTGCTGTGCAGCAGCCTTCCTAGTAAGAGAAAGCTTGGAGAAAAGGGAGGAGGCCAGAACTTTGAAGGAAATAAAAAGGCTCTGGAGTTTGTTCCAACTGCCATAAACACCACTGGAGACTCTTAAACTGAAAAGCGACACAAGCTGACACAGGCCTCTAAGATGGAAAGATCTTGGTTGAGTTCTCAGAACTCGTAGCAGCCATGTGCCTGGGACACGGAGAGGAAGAGAGCAAGTACAAGTCCATCTGCCTTTGTATTCCTTGTTTTGGGGTCTGTCTCCCCATGAAACTGGTGACCTCATGGGGTCAGCTGTGGTCTCTGTACCTCTACCATGCAGAACTTGGCAGGGCATTCATCAGGTATTTGGTGATGGTTGGATAAAATGCTCACCACAGTGCTCAGAAAATGATAAAGGCTCAACTAATGTTAGTGTCAAAATGAGGATGGGCTCAAGGAGTACAGAACTGTAGGTTTTCCCTACTGCAGGCTCACTCATGAGAAGACAGCTGAGCATTCGGGTTAGGACCAAAACCTGGTCTCCACCCACTTGCGACAGGACTCCATTCCTGCTGACAAGGAAAGAGCAATCAAGGACCACACCCGTATGTGTGTGGTTTTTGGATTTTTATTAATTGCACAGTGACCTGCCCTCTAGTAAACATGTTCCCATCAGGTAAGTGTCTCTCCCTTGAGGAAGGAAGGAGATACAGAGAAGAGACAGGAAAGATTGTTGAGTCATACACTGATAGATTCACTACCATTATTACCATTGCAAGATTTTTTTCTAGGTGGTGAACAAGGTGGTTAGACTAGTAAGCTTTATTGATTGACTGATTGATTGAATTTTATTTATTTATTTTCATGTGCTGGGGATGGAACCAGGGCCTTGCCCGTGATAGGCAAGCGTTCCACCACTAACCGCAACCCCAAGCCCTAGGCTGGACTTATTAACGTATGCTGTTCTCAGGGCAAGACTGCAGCGCCCCCTGGAGGGCGAGGCATGGAGCTGCACGTGAGCACTTCATACCTTACTCATCAGAGGCAGAGAGCACCTTCCTCACCTTAACATGACAGGTGCAGAAAAGTCATGTTGCAAAACACCCATGCCTACAGGGAGGAGTTACTGTGGCCATCTTTGCAATAAGTCAACACTAAGAAATCTCCTGTCAGGTCTTGACCTTCCTGGTTCCCTCTGCAGCCCAAGTACCTCCTGTGTGAGTGAGGCTCTCACCTCAAGTCTTCTCCCCACAGGTGGCCTGGCTGCTGTGATCTACACGGATACTCTGCAGACTGGGGTAATGCTTGTAGGCGCACTTACCCTGACGGGCTACAGTAAGTGGGGATGCAGGGTCACTTGGGATGTAAGATGAAAACATTGAGTGCCAGCACCTCTCTTAAGCAAGCCCAGATGCCAAAAAACATCCTTCTTGGGAGTTCCTGGCAGGTGATTTGCTTGAGGCCTGGGTATTTTAGCAAGAAGAGAACCTTGCTTATCATAGAAATTTATTGTTTTCTTGAGTAAAAATTACTATCACTGCGGAGAGTGAAATGGATAAATGATTGAATAAATAAATAAATAAATAAAATGGGATAAAGGGTCAACTCAATACCATGTACCTCCTGATGCAGTGCACTGAGCAGGATACATCAACTCTGTGCTGGTCTTACCAAAAAATAAAAGCACCTTAATCAGGACTAGACATCAGGCAAACCCAAGGTTAGGAACATTTCACAGGATACCTAACCAGTGTTCTTCCAAGGTGTCAAGGGCATGAAACAATGTGAGGGACTGAGGAACTAGCCCACAGTGAAAGAAATTATGGAGGCAAATAACAAATGCAATGTGGAATTCTGGACTGGATCCTAGAAGAGAAACAGAAAGAACATCAGTGGTGAAATCTGAAGAGTCTGAAGTGTAGTTAAGGGTATTGTACCAGTTTTCTCACAGTCTGCTCAGGTGGCTATAAGAAAACATGATAGTTGGTGGCTTATCACCCACAAACATATATTCATCACAGTTTCTGGAGGCTGGGACATCTGGTGGATTCTGTGTTTGATGGGACTGCACCTTCCTGCTGTGTCCTCACATGTGGAAGGGGCTGCCTAGCTCTCCAAAGACTCTTGTACAAGGGCCCTAATTCCATGCGTGAGGGTTCCACCACCGCAATCTAGTCACATCTCCAAAGCTCCATCACTTTGGGGGTTAGGATTTCAACAAATGAATTTGTGCATGTGCTTGGGTGAGGGAGGGAAACACAAATATTCAGACTAAGAAAATGTTTATTTTTTGTTTGATAACTGTACTATGGTTATGTTAAGATAATAACATTGAGTGTAGAGTATAAGGGAAGTCTTTGTACTTCTTTTACAATTCTTCTTTGTCTAAACTATCTTGGAAAATCAAAAAGTAATATTTATAGAACATTTATTTTAACTAGTCAACAGAAATTGTCTGGATTAAAAACCCCTTGTTTTTGTTTCTTGGGGTTTTTTGTGGGCCTGTGGTTTGAGTTCAGAGCTTCACACTTACAAAGCAGGTGCTCTACCACTTGAGCCACACTGCCGGTCCATTTTGCTTTGGTTATTTTGGAGATGTGGTTCTCATGAGCTATTTGTTTGGTCTGGCCTTCAATTGTGATCCTCCTGATCTCAGCCTCCCAAATAGCTAGGATTACAGATGTGAGCCCCTGATGCCCAACTAAAACTCCTTGATTTACTAACAAAAACTTTAAAGTGTGAGAGCTACTGTGCTAAATTTCCCATCAAATAGGAAAAGCTCAGACAACTTGAAGAAGAAATACCAAAGTCTAGACATTCTTATCAACTTTATCCTTTCTATACAGAATGTATTGTAAGTTTCTTTCTCAAAAGGGAATAGTGAAGAATCATAATAAAAAGGGGAGAATAGAACAAAATTCAAAGTATTGTTACTACAATACAAATAAATGAGATAAAAGTCCCTATGAAAAGACAAGGCTTTGGGATGGGGATGTAGCACAGTGGTTAAGTGTTTGCCTGGCATGCATGAGGCCCTGGGTCAATCCCCAGTATATATTTAAAAAAAAAAAGCCTTGTTTAAGGCTTCTTTGAGCAATGATCAATCTATGAGGTGAGTATAGAACTATTCTGTTATTCTTGTACTTTGCTATGTATTGCTTATTTTCTCAACAAAGTAAGATTTCTGGTTTGGGGTAAGAAAATGTAACAATATATTTTGCAAGTGGCATATTTCAAAAAGCATAAAACAGAGGGAAAAGTCATTTTATATTTAGAATGGAAAGTTGACAATGGGGATAAAAACCTTTGTGTATTAAATAAAATTGCAGCAAGATACACAAAAGCAAATGTTAGAAACAAGTTGACAGAAATCTAAATAGTGCTAAAATACCTAAATGTATGACATACAGAAGAGAAATAAGAATTTAGAAGTTATAAATTCTGTAAACTACTCTGGTAATAGTAAATGTGCCACCACCCACCCATAGAGCCATTTACAAAAATCAACCATTGAAAAAATAATGTTTTTCAAAAATACTATGCGAACATTTGTTCAGATTATATTCTCTTGTCCATGCAAAACAACAAAAAATTAAACTCATTAAGAAAAGTCTAAGTGTGTTTTTAATTTAATTACTTAGAAATTTAAAGCCATCGCCTCACTAGTGCTTGCAGAGCTGAGCACGGCGTTCATGTCTGTAGTCTCTGCTACTTGGGAGACTGAGGAGTGAGGATTGCTTGAGTCCAGAGTACAAGACTACCCTGGGCAACACAGTGAGACCCCATCTCCAAAAAGCAAATGAAACGTCAAAAACAAAAATACTACAATTAAGGATTAATCAGAAAAAATGATGAGAGCCTGGTGCAGTGGCTCATGCCTGTAATCCTAGCTACTCAAGAGGCAGAGATCAGAAAGATCATAGTTCGAAGCCAGCCCAGGTAAATAGTTTGCAAGACCCTATCTCAAAAAAACCCATCACAAAATAGGACTGGTGGAATGGTTCAAGGTTCAAGCCCCATTACCACACACACACAAAAAAGATGAGAACATTACCTTTTATACTTAATAGATGAAGTCAAATGTCATACTCCTGTAAAAACATTTATATCCATCATGTACAGGAAAGCTGAATTTATTGAATTAGATTTGGGAAAACTACAAAACAATATCTATTTCTTTGGAAAAAAAAAAAAACAAACCCAGCAACAAATGAAATCAAGGACAGAGAGAAACAATACAGTATGATTAGGAATGATCAAATTAAATTCTAAGTCTCCACTATTCATGGCTTTATGGTAGTAAATATGAAAACTCACTTGAAATCCATGCCTTTTAAGAAAGTGTGAATTATTAAATTTAACTCAAGAGAAAGTAAGAAACCTTAACAGTTCAATTTCCAAAGACGAAATTAGATTTGTTTAAAACTAGAAGTCATCCCAGTAGAATCAAGAAAAGAATTGTATCTTATTATTTAATGCATGGAAAAAATAATATCTTATTATTTAATGCAATATAAAATAAAACCTTTAAGATATTCCTATTAAGAGGAAGGGAAGTTAAGAAAGAGTGAACTTGATCAAAGTGTGTTATATACATGTAAGTATTGCAGTGAAACTCCTTTGTACAGCTAATTTATGCTAACAAAAATTTTTTAAAGATACACCTATTAGTGTACCAGGCATGGTGGCTCACGCCTGTAATCCTAGTGACTTGGAAGGTAGCGATCAGGAGGATTGCCATGCAAGGCCAGGTTGAGCAAAAAGTTAGTGAGACCCAAATGCATCCAATGGCTAGTAGTGGTGGCGTGTGTCCGTCATCCCAGCTATGTGGAGAAGCACAAGTAGGAGGTTGAAATCCAGGCCTGCCTGGGCATTCAGCGAGATCCTATCTGAAAATACCTAAAGCAAAAGGGGCTTGGAGGTGTGGCTCAAGTGATAGAGTGCCTGCCAGCAAGCGTGAAGCCCTGAGTTCAACGTCTCAGTACTGGCAAAACACCAGAGATACCAACTAGGAAAAAAAAGAGATAAAATTATTATTTGCAGGTGACATGACTGGCCAGGAGTTTGAGAACCTGAAAAACTAACCTAAAAAAGAATTTAGTAAGTCAAGATTAATATTCAAAACTCACACACTTTCCATGGACTAGGGCATGGCTCAAGTGGTAGAGCACCTGCCCAGTAAGTGTGAAGCACTGAATTCAATCCCCAGTGCTTCCAGAAGAAAAAAAAAAATCTTTCACTTTCCTTTTTTGTCAAGGGGACTCTGAATTGGCCCCCTGATACTGCTGCTACTCAGCATCTCCTGCCTCACCTGGGAGCTCTGGTCCAAGGTGGCACCCCAGCCCTACAGGCCCACTGAGTCAGATCAGCCAGATCAGCCCTGGCCTGATTCCCAGGTCAATGCAGGAGGTCCTGCTCCACCAGCCTGGGACAACTCTGTCCTCAGCATTTCCATCTGCTGTCATCTACATGCTGGATGACATTCTGCTTTTTATATGGCTGGGTCCAGTGATTATCAAAGACACAGTCCCAACCCCACCATTAGCACAAAATAATTTTTCAAGGTGATTATGACTAACAATAATTTATTGTATGTTTCAAAACAGCTAGAAGAAAGGCTTTTGAATGTTTCCAACACAAAGAAATAATACATGTTTGCCATCACAGATATGCTAATTACCCTGGATCACTATACAGTAGATGTATATCAAAATACTGCACTGTACCCCATAAATATGTAGAATTATTATGTGTCAATTAGAAAGAATAAAAATAATTTTCAGTGAAGTAAAGCTTGACCAAAACTTACCACCACAATAACCACATTTTATTTATGGTGTTGTTTTTGTTCTTGGTTTTTTTCTCAGTAGCCACTGTTTACTACAATCTTTGCAAAGATGAGCTGGGTTGTTTGTCATTCCTACCCAAGTGGTGACACCAATCCTCTCTCTTCCATATTAAAAAAGATGAAAGCCTTCCAGAATATAATTCATTCAAGCAACCTTGAATCTTTGCAATAAATGCAAAGAAACTAGTTTTCTTGGTTTTTTTTAGAATAGCTCACTTCGGTGCCACAAGCTATACTAAGCATTTTGGAGGCGTTATCTCATTGGGTCCTTGTCGCAGCCCCATGGGATTGGTGCTGCGCTGTCCTCACTCATGAGAGAGGGACAGTGACTTACTCAAATTAGTTGGCCCACTCTTTGATACTATGAATTGGGAACAGCTGAGAAGGTCAGAGGCAGGGTTTTAAAACCCGGGTCCATCAAGAAGAATTAACCTAGAAGGTAACACACATGCACAGGAAACCAATGTGAGTCAACTCCCTGTATAGCTATCCTTATCTCAACCAGCAAAAACCCTTGGTCCTTCCTATTATTGCTTATATTCTCTCTACAACAAAATTAGAAATAAGGGCAAAATAGTTTCTGCCGGGTAGCGAGGAGGTGGCGGGGAGAGACAGGGGGCGGGGTGGGTGGTAAGGGAGGGGGTGGGAGCAGGGGGAAGAAATGACTCAAGCATTGTAGGCACATATGAATAATAAAAAAAATAAAAATTTTAAAAAAATAAATAAAAAAATAAACCCAGGTCCACAGACCCAAACCAGGGTACCTGTGACCTTGGATGGGAAAAACATATCCCAACTTTCATATGTCTATCTACCACTTTCCAGTTAGGCCACACACCACACTAATATTAGTAGTATCTGTGATTTTAATACCAACAGACATCCTAAGTGATTTTTTTGTATTAGAGCTGGTTTATTTGAATACTACCTTTATGCTTATGGCTACTTAACAAAATCAATAGGAACTGCTTTGCTATTTAATGCAACAAATAAGTTACTGTGTCACATTTTTATATTTGATGAGTGCCTTCAATATACTTATATTTTGTTTTTATAATCCTTTGTATTTTGTTTATACATTTAAAATATTATTCTGAGAAGTAAACTACAAAAAGCATATAAAAAAGAAAAGAGGTTAAGAATCCTTACTGGGTCAATGGTCGCTAGAGGCTCAGCTCCAATCACGACTTCACCCATCTCCATCTGTCCCCTCTGTCACTTGCTGCAGGCCCATCTGAGTGCCTGGCAAACTGGGGCTTCCTCTGTTTTAGGCTTTGCAGCGGTTGGCGGGATGGAAGGCCTGAAGGAAAAGTACTTCCTTGCTCTGGCCAGCAACCGAAGTGAGAACAGCAGCTGTGGGCTGCCCCGGGAAGACGCCTTCCACATCTTCCGAGATGCAGTGACATCTGATCTCCCATGGCCCGGGATCCTGTTTGGAATGTCCATCCCGTCTCTCTGGTACTGGTGCACAGATCAGGTACAGGGCAACTGGGTGGAGTGAGGCCCCCAGGGCATCTCTTTCCTTGGGGTGGCTGATGTCAGTGGGCCTTCCTCCCTTACTTCCTTTCCTCTGCTCTGTATGCTATTTTGCTTCTTGCTTGTGTGTGCTGGGGGTTTGAACTCAGGGCTTTGCGCTTGAGCCACACCCCCAGCCCTTTTTTTGCTGTGGTTATTTTGGAGACAGGGTCTCATTTTTTGCCCAGGCTGGCCTGGACTGTGATCCTCTTATACTTCCTGCCATTGCTGGGATGACAGGCATGCATCACTACTCCCAGTTTTTTTTTCTGTTGAGATGGGGTCTTGCAAACTACTTGTCTGGGCTGGCCTGGAATAGTGATCCTCCCAATCTCAGTCTCCCTCGTAACTAGGATTACAGGTGTGAGCCACAGCACCTGCCTGGCTTGCTTCTTTGCTCTTGGTAAATGCTAATAGCAAATCTGACTCTACTGGTCTTTGCAAAGGAGGAAACCCAGTCCATTCTGCTTGATGCCTGGGAGGACCAGTGAGCAAAAGAACTTACAAACTTAATCACAGGCTAAGACATATTGCATGTTGTCGTTTGTTCAGTGAATACCCACTGGGTATCCTTTGTGTACCAGGTACTCCTCTGGGCACTTAGTGGCCAGGAAAAAACAAATTGGGCCAAGTTTCCCCTCCCCCCCACCTACAGAGTGGTAAAGAGGGTGTGATTAAGAAGTGACCTGTGAGCAAAGAACTTGTGAATGTTTTTTCCTTTTCTTTTTGTGCTACTGTGGTTTGAACTCAGTCCTTCACCTTGAGCTACTCCACCCGCCCTTTTTTGTGTTGGGTATTTTTGAGATAGGGTCTCATGAACTATTTGCCTGGGGCTGGCTTTGAACTGCAAGCCTCCTGAGTAGCTAGGATTACAGGCATGAGCCTCTGGTACCTGGCTTTTCTTTCTTTCTTTCTTTCTTTCCTTCTTTCTTTTTGTTTTAATTATCATTTTATTGTTGTGCTGGGACTACATTGTGACATTTACAAAAGTTCTTACAATATATCACAGTTGAGTTCACTCCCTCCATCATTCTCCTTTATTCCTCCTCCCCTACTTGTGGATATTTTTTACCTTATATTTATTTATTTTTAACTGACAGATAATAGCACATCTTTATAGGGTACAATGTTATATTTTTGTATATGTATACTGTAGTGATGATCAACTCAAAATAACTTGGGCTGTCCATGCCTTCAAGCGCTCATCATTTCTTGTGATGAGACCTTTCATATATATATATATGCTGGCATGTGGTTAACCCTAGTGACCTTCTGTGTACGAGCACACCAGAACTCACCCCTTCCCTCTACCTGTGGTTTGGACCCATTCACCAGTCTCTCCCTCCCGCCTGCACTCCCCACCCTCTGGAAGCCACTGTTCTACCCTCTGCTTCTGTGAGCTCAGCTGCCTTAGATTCCATTTACAAAGTTACGAGATTCTTGTCCCTTGGTGCCTGGCTTACTTCACTTTGCATTATGATCTGCTGCGAGTGACAGGATTCATTCTTTTTTATTGCTGAGTAGCATTCTGCTGTGTACACGTACCACATTTTCTTTGTCCAGTCATCTGGACACTTAAATTGCTTCTGTGTCTCAGCCACCGTGAATAAGTCTACAGTGAACACGGGAGAGCAGGGGCCTCATTGACATAGCGATTATACACTCCATGGTGACATGGCTGGATCTTATAGTAGTCCTATTTTTATTATTTGAGGAACCTCTCTTCTGTCTTTCTTTGAAGAGGAAGAGAGTTTGGGGCAGAAGGAAAGGCCAGAGCAAAGGCCTTAAGGCAGCTATGTAACTGGTGTGAAGAAAGAAATGAGGGCGGGGGGCTGAAGACCAACACTTGCATTTCTTATATGTGTGGAAAGCAACTCTGGATGGACATGTATGGAGCTAAGAAGAGCAGATACCGTGGCAAGGATGGATGGAGACACTTCCCTGTACCTTGTGGGGACAGTCTCAGGTTTTAATCAGTGGATATATTACCTGTTCAAAATACTTTCTCTGTTGCATTAAAGATCAGACTGCTGTGCACATTTTGTAAGCTGGCTGCATAGTCAGGGCTGATGAGAGCTTAATAAAGCAGTGATGGTGGGATTTGACAAGTGAATTGATGGAGTAGACGTTACAGAGAATGAAATCCAGGTCCCACCCAGGGGCCAGAACAGCTCTGAGAAGAACTAAGTAGAAGACAGTGTAATAAACACACTGTCCCTTTAAGAGAGACCATGTAATACATGTGGAATACCTATGCACTGCCCCTTTTAGAGAGAGATGTGAGAGACAGCACCCATCCAGGATAACAGCATGCAACTTGAAACTTAACAGGCCTGGAATCAAGTCCAGGAGGCATGACCTTGGGACAGTACTTGGCATCTGTAGCCTCAGTTTTCTCATCTTTAAATGGGGTCACTCAGAGCTAAGAAATAAGGATGGTGAAGAACTGGGTCTTAGTCCTTTGTCCATAACAAAGGAGCCATTGCAAACACTGATGTTTTTACTATAGTTTATATCACATTCGTAACGCAGCCCACCAAGCTTGTACTTATTACCTTGTACAAAAGAATTACTTGGGGCTCTGCAAACCCTTACTCCAGTGTGTACCTGTGAAGGCCACCTCCACCCACCCTACATTGTACCTAAAGACTTAGCCCAAGAGGACTTGACCTTCCAAAAGCCATGCAGGGCTGAGGGGCCCAGAAGCCCAAACTCCCCTCTCACACTGACTGTGGTCAACCACACAGGGCTTCTGCAGAACTGGATGCCACAGTTCAAGAATGTCCTGGTTCCTTGTGTTGGGGCTGCCCAGGAGATGCACATCACAGCCAGTCATTTACCTGGGCTCCCTTTAGAACTGAGCAAAAACAAACCAACATTGACAACCGTCGTTCACCAATTGACAGTGTCTTGGGCAGAGATGGGAGAGGAAGGAGAGGAGGGCAATGACATTTAAACATTTACTGATGCCATCCAGTGTGACAGCCACTGATCATCTGCAGGAATTCAGTTTGTCCTCACAGCGCTCGAGTAAGCGATGCTCCATTGCTTGGGCTTCAGGGATGTTGGAGACAGTAATGTCCTCCCTGGGCGCGTGCTTTCTTAACAGTGCAGCACGACTTACTCTGAAAATTATTCAGCTTCCTCTTAAAGCCACACTGGGAGACACCACTTCATGACACTAGAAGCCAGAGTCTTTTTCAGCTTTCAGACATGGCTTCAGACCTCCAGTGGAAAGGACTTTGTTTCACAAAGCTATAAACTCTCTCTTAGCTGCCTTTTCCAGCATCTAATAAAGCAACGATTCCACTACTGTGTATATTATCCAGACATCAGAATCAGTATGATTAAGAGATGCCTGCACTTGTTCACAAGAGCTGAGGTAGGAAATCAACTTGGGTGCCCATTGATGGATGAAAGGATAAAGAAACTGGTATATATGCACAATGGAATATTACTCAGTTGTGAAAAAGAACGAAATTGTGTCATTTGCAGCTGGAACTGGAGGACATTATGTTGAATGAAAAAAGTCAGACACAAAAATAGAAAGTGCTTGTTCTCATACATGGAAGTCACAGGTTTATCTCAAAGGAGTAGAGAATAGAATAGTGATTCTCAGAGCCTGGAGAAAGTGTGGGAATGAGGGGTTGTGGAGGGGATGGTTAATAGAAACAGGAGTGGAGTGAGCTTTCTCTCGCTGCCTTGTTCTCCTGACCTAACTGGGCTAACTGGGGGTGACGGGAGATGCAGAAAGGACAAACGATAGATGAGCATGCAGAAAGTTGGGGTCAGGTGTGCTGGGCACCCAGATGGAGACGCACAACAGCCTCATTCCTTCTTTTCTCTGTTATTCTCTTCATTTTACTCTGCTTCTTTTCTCTTATTCTTTAAAGCCTTACTCCTTTACAATTCTTTAAAACCTAGCTTCTAAAGTACTCTTTTTTATTCTTTAAAGTCTCTTTCCTTAGACTCACACTCTTTAATCTCTCTTAAAGTCTTGGCACTCAGACTTGCACTGTCCCATGTTCTCTCTAGCTTTCCTTTAGCTTAGCTTTTCTAAAGCCTGTGTGTGTATAAAGTTCTCAAAGCAGAAAGCTGCTCTGATGGAGTGACACCAGCCAGCGTCGGCAACAGCCAATCAAAATCCTCCATCAATCCCCCCACACACACCCTCCCTCAGCAAGTCTTTTATATCCAGTGGTAAACAAGGTGGTGAGCAGCAGTTCTGGCGTGGCACGTGACATTGTAACAAGAAACCTGAGTTCCTGCTTCTCTGAATGTAAACACTTAGGAGAAGCAGCTGTACTGCATCTGCAGGTGGGGCCACGCCAAACTCAGCCTGCTGATTAGTGGGCACAGCTGTGCTATGTCACGTTCCCGTGGGCTTCTGATAATCCGCTCCCCACACAGGAGCAGCTGGAAAGGAGGAATAACTTTCAATATTCTACAGCACAGCAGGATAATGATGGTTGACAATTAATTGGATATTTCCAAATAGCTAGTAGAGAGGATTTTGAATGTTCCCAACACAAGGAAATGGTGAGTGTCTGAGGTGACTGATGTGCCAGTTACCCTGATCTGATCATTACACATTGTGTACAGGCATTGAAAATGTTACACTGTACCCCACAAATATGTACAGTTTCTAGGTGTCAATTAAAATTTTTAAATATTTTTTAAAATATGTCAAGATATGGAATATCCTCAGTGTCCACCCATGGATGAACAGATAAAAGAAAATATGTGGTATTCATATATAATGGAGTACTATTCAGCTTTAAAAAAAAAAATCCTGACATTTGTGAGATAGGGATGAATGTGGAGGATATTATGCCAAGTGAAATGAGCCAGGCACAACAGATACAAATCCTGCACAATCTCACTCATATGTGGAATCTAAAAAGTCAAACTCTTAGAAGTGGAGGGTAACATAGTGGTTACCAGGGACTGGGGATGGAGAGAGTTAGGAAGATGTTACTCAAATGACACAAAGTGCAGTTACACAGGAGGAAAAAGCTTAAGACATCTATTGTACGTGGTGACTATAGTTAATAACACAGTACTGTATTCTTGAAAATCATTAGAAGGGTAGATTGTGACAATGGTCACCATTTGATATTTTCCTCCTTAGCCCTAGTTCACTGAACCTGAAGGCCCTGGTAACTCACCAAGTTCTCTGTAACTTCTCCAGATGCACCGAGACTTAAAACCTAAGAAAAGAATAAAGTTCTGAGCTCAAGTTGGTTCATTCTGAAGACTGAATGAGAAAGGATTTGGGGGTACTGGTTTTCCACTCAGAAAACACCAAATGGATGGACCTTGGCAAGAGCTAACCACTCAAAATGGAGGTTTTGAAGGAGGGGTCAAGAGAAACCCCAGGCATCCCCTGTGCAGAAGCTCCAAGTCCGACCCTCCAGTCTAGGGGCAGCAACAGCTCAGGCCCCTCCTGGTGGAGACTGGAGCCCTTTCCTTTCCACTCTATCCTCCTTCCTGTGCTTGCTTTCTCTGCCTTGGATTTGTCCCCTTTGGCCACCAGGAAAAAGCCATTCACAAAAGCCAGCCGTGGACAATGACATGTGTGCAGGAACTCCCCCAAGGCCTTCCTGCTTCCTTCACTGGCCCAGTGGTCACTATTTTCATGTTTCTGAGCTGTTGACTTCTAGCTCTCTGATATGGCACCCAATACCTAATTCTGGATCCCTTCTATTTTGTTGACCTCTTGGAACTTCTTTTTCTAATTTCATCTGCCAACAGTAATGACAATAATCACAATTGCTCTCTTGTTTAAGAACTGCTGGATACCCTAAACCCAAGCACAATCATTACCCCATGCTACAGATGGTAAAGCTGAGGCCTAGGGGTTAAGGAGCTGTTGAAGCTCACAAAGAGCTGGAGGAGCAGGCTCCACAGCTCGGCTGGTCTGCCCTTCCAGTCACTCCATCCACATTATCAACTGATGCTCTCTTGATTCTGAGAACCTGCACCCAGCTGAGTTTCTGTGTGGAAACTCCACCACAGTAGCTCTCTTCCCTTTTTTTCCCAACAGAGGAATGGGAAAACTTGTGGATTATGGTGGGAAGAACAAATGAAGATAAGGTGTGTCGATACCATGACAGATGAAGATACAGCTCCTCCTACTTCCTCCTCTCACATATTTAGATCAGTTTTGTTTGTTTGTTGAAACAAGGTCTATGTAGCGCAGGCTGGCCTTGAACTCTTGATCCTCCTTCCTCCACCTTCTGAGTGCTGGGATTACAGGTGTGCACCACCACACTCACCTAGATTGCATTTTCGTTCCTCTTAGTTCAAGGTCTTTTTTTTCAACTGAGATGTGATTTTTCAAGAACCTCTCAACCACTATCCTTTTTTGGGTCTGAAAGTTATAGAATAATAATGTCCCAATTGGGAAACCAGGTCTTCTTTGAGTTCTGACTAGCTGAATGTGTGTCTTTGACCCTTGTCCACCTGGCTCAGTTTCGGTCACTGTTACTGCAGTAAGGCCATGAGCAAAGGTTGAATATTTTACAGTGTTCCCAATCATTTTGATGACTCTGGCAACTAGTTGGACCCACAAGTCCAGTCCTGTGGATTCTGCAGATGAAACATCTCTTGAAGTGCCACCCTCCTTCCCCTGAAATATACACTGTGGAATCTTACAAAATATTAGAGGTGTGGTGTGGGGTGTTGGGTGTGGGCAAATCCCACTTCTGGACACTCTTTCCATTCAGGGTACTGATTAAACTAAGCTCCATGTCTGGGATGCTACAGGTAGAATGTGGCAACTCTTACTTGTGGGTCGTTGCTATAGGTCGGATCCATCCTATGTACTCTAAATGTTTTTACTTCGTTTAGTGGTCTTATCTTTATTTGATAGGTGAGTGAACTGAGGCAAAGAGAGGTGACATTGCTTGCCCAAGGTCAGATAGTCAGAAAGTGGGGAGGTAGGATTTGAACTCATGCTCTGTCTCCAACTTCAGAGTTCATATTGTAAACCGGACTTGGCACTGCTAGGTTCTGATAATCATCAGAAATTATTTCTCCTCCACCTCCTGGGTTTCAGTCCTCTGGGATGTGGTCAGTCACAGAGGTGTCCCAATAGGATGGAAGAGATGCAGCCCACAGGTACACAGTTAGCAATTCCACTGTGGGAGTATGGGGCCTTCTTCCTTTGCCCTTTTTAAGGAGTAAGGTCCACTGAACACTTTGATTGAGCTGCCTTGGGTGCTTGCTTTTTCTAAACTGATCATGGTGCCCAGAGAGGTGACCTAATTCTGTGGAGAACTCCAACTGGCAAGGTCTAACTTTGGACAAAGGAGAAAAAGGAGTCGGAGTCATAGCTACCCTAGTTAGACCACAGGGACTGAGAATAGGACAGAGATGCTTCCTTAAAGAGAAGGTAGGCACACCAGGATTCTAAGTCAACCACACCTACTAAGGAGTTATGCACGGCTAGTCTGCCTGGAGAGAAAGCCATCTCCACCGCCAGCCACCCTCCCTGTGTTCCAGGTGATTGTTCAGCGGACACTGGCTGCCAAGAACATGTCCCATGCCAAAGGAGCCTCCCTGATGGCTGCATACCTGAAGGTCCTTCCCCTTTTCATAATGGTGTTCCCTGGCATGGTCAGCCGCATCCTCTTTCCAGGTGAGAAGACAGTTGGATGAAGGGGTCATCTGTCTCGGACCCCATGTTCTAAACATACTGCTGACTGCACAGAGGGCTTGGAATCCTGTTCTGGTGATTAAACCAAGGTGTCTCCATCAAGCATTTACTGACTCCATGCTGTTCCCCAACACTAGTTCCATAGGCAAATCCTAGCGGTGTCACAGTTAACCTGAGTGGACATTCACTAGGGGGTTTCCTCAACTGAATTTTTTCATACCACAAGATACACAGATGTTTATCTCATGGTAAAACCCATGCTCATGTTTCAGCTCAGTGCTTTGGTAATGTTAGGTCAAAGGAAACCTTTTGGGGGTGTTTTTCCTTAACAAATACCAAGGAAAATTAAGTCCTTGACTTTCTTTTGTTTTTATTTTGCCTTAACTTTTTTTACTTAATTTACTTTTATTTTTGTGATACTGGGGTTTGAACTTAGAGCCTCACACTTGATAGGCAGAAGCTCTACCACTTGAACCACTCTGCTGGCCTTTTTTGCTTTGGTTACTTTTGAGATTGGTTCTCACTTTATGCCTGGGTTGGCCTGACCCACAATTCTCCTATTTGTGCTTCCCCATGTAACAGAGATGACAGGTACATACCACAACACCCAGACGTTTGTTGAGATGGGGTCTCATGACATTTTTGCTCAGCTTGGCCTTGGACCACCACCCTCCCGATCTCCACCTCCTAAGTAGCTAGGATCACGGGCTTGAGCAACCATGTCTGACCAACTTATTTATTTATTTATTTACAGTGTGGTAAAGGGACAAGTTTGTACCCTGGGGATTAACAATACTGAATAGTAGGGCAAAGTGACAGGGAGTCAGTACAGTGTCAGGAACAGGTACTGTGTACGGGAGGAAGCCTCTCTTCCCCTTTTACAGCAGCCTTCCTCCACATCCACCAAAGGTACTTGTAAGGTGGAAAGTTTCCTCCCTGACATCTTATCCTACTGGTGTTCCACAGAAGGAAAGAAAGAGTAGGATGAAGTGATCTGGAAGTTGGCCCAGTTTATTAATAATGACTTAAGCCCCTTCAGAATTAACAGGTAAGGCTGGGAAGGGCGGTGGGGGGCTTGGGGGTGGAGGCACTGTCCCTGGTGCTGAAATCTGGGCCTGAGTTTCTCCTTCCTTCACTGGTCCTATCCAAGGGAAGGGACAAACATCTTGGAAGAACCATGAGGGGAATAAGAACTGCCATGTGAGCATTGTGCTGACCAGAGGGAAAATATGCACCTGTTGAGCAAGGCCTGACAGATGAATATGAACATGACTTTAAGCAATTGGTGTTCACTGAGCACTTGCTGAGGGCCAGTGCCCATGAGATGCTCACAGCAGAGTGCGGTGGTTGGGGGTGTGGACTTGGAGTCTTGGCTCTGCCTGGTACATGTCATGAAATCTCTTTTTGCTTTTTCTTCTTGCCTGTAAGTGGGGATAATAATGATTCATAAAGTTGAAAGCAACTCTTGACACATGACAATAGATGATGTGGTTTGGATGAGTATCCCCAGAGGTCCATATGTAAGGTGTGGTCCCCAGGGTAGCAAGACTGGACAGTATTATGGACCTTTAAGAGGTGAGGCCTCACAGGGGGTCCTTAGATCATTGAGGATGACCTCCCAAGAACTGGGATTGCAGGCTTGCATCACCATGCCCAGCTATGGCGAAGCAATGATCAGGATTTTAGTTCAAGCCCAACTCAGGGAAAAGTTACTGAGATCTCATCTCAGCCAACAAGCTGAGTATGGTGGTATACACCTGTAATTCTAGCTATGCAGGAGGCATAGGTAGGAAGATTGTGGTCCAAGCTTGGCCCCAGGCAAAAAGGAGACCCCATCTGAAAAATAACTAAAAGCAAAAAAGGGCTGAAGGCATGGATCAAGTGGTAGAGCACCTACCTAACAAGCATAAGGCCCTGAGTTGAAACCCTACTACTGCCAACCCCCCTCAAAAAGTGTTTGCCATGTGTCAAGCAATAAGTAACTTCACCACAGAAGGGAATAGTTTTTGTCCCAGGATAAATAAATAGTTTTGTCCAGGGGGATGGAGCCTGATGTACGACACTGTTAGTATGATCAGCTATGAGGTGTTTCAGCTTTATTTGGATACAGTGGCAGTAACTGGCATGCTCTCAGCCTTTCCTATGTGTCACACTTGGTGCTAAGCTTTTTTAAAACTGTATCATTTTAATTCCCGCTCTTATCTTATGAAAAAGAGCGATGTAACTATCCCAGTCTTACAGACTAGGAATGAAAATTCAGAAAGTAAGGTAACAAGATCACAGTTTATGAATAAGGCTCTGTTCTACTTCATGGAGCTCTAAGCCCTCATACAACCAACCTGTGCTCTGGTGCTAGCCTGGGTCAGGCGTGCACAGCTGGGCTGGGGGCTGGAGGCTGCCTGCTCCACTCTGTGCCTGCTTCTTCTGTAGAGGAAGTGGCGTGTGCACACCCGGACATCTGCTGGACAGTCTGCCGCAACCCGACTGGCTGCTCTGACATTGCATATCCCAAACTTGTGCTGGAACTCCTGCCTACAGGTAATGTCCCCTTGCCCCCACACTGAGTCCCCTGGGCACCCAGAAAGGAGAACACTGGCTAGGTTCTCATCTGAGGAAGAGATAGGATGGGAGCACTGTGAGCAGGAATTATCTCTGGGTTCAGAGGCTGAGCCCCAACTCTCTGGCTATCCAGGGACCCTGCCCAAGCATCTCCCCTGAGCTTCTGCCTCCTCAGAGATGAGACTGTTGGGATCAGCTGGCTTGGGGCCTGGGGTAACAGGGTCATGAGTGAAGGCAGAAGGTGTGGCCAGAAAGCATGAAGCCCATAGACCTCCCTTCTGCCCCTAGGACTCCGTGGGCTCATGATGGCTGTGATGGTGGCGGCTCTCATGTCCTCCCTCACCTCCATCTTTAACAGTGCCAGCACCATCTTCACCATGGACCTCTGGACTCACATCCGGCCACGGTCATCAGAGAAGGAACTCATGATTGTGGGCAGGTAAGGTCTTACGTGGGTGAGGGGGAGCAAGGCAGAGCAGGCAGGGGAGTGAGAAGTCAGGGAGGAGAAAACTGAGCCCAGGCACAGCCAAAGTCAAGTCAGTGGTGTATCTGGGCTGCTCTAGCCTCCTTGGAAGAGGAACGCAAGGAGCTGCAGGACTCTAAGGATGAGTAAATCATTCTTTCATCCAAGAGATGTTCTGTGAGTATTTCCCATGGACCAGGCACCAGTGGACAGCAGCTGCTGGCTCATGGAGCTAAGGAGGAGGAGGAGTAAACAGACATCAGAGACCTAAGGAGTTCCAATGGGCAGTCAGGGAACTAATCATTCAGAGGAGCCCCAACCTGGGCTGGGACCTGAATGACAATGGGGAGGAGGCGATGCTGAGGCATGGGGAGTGATTTCTATAACCAAGTTTCCTAAAAAGTCCTGGAGCCCAATGGTAGGAGCTGAAAAGAAAAACATGTAAATTTTATGTAAAATACATCCAATAAGCACTCATGAAGATGCACCAGAGGACTGCCTCAGCCTTGGGTCAGGAAAAGGGAGTTTTAGATATGACACCAAAGGCAACCATGAAGGAAAAAAAAAAGATACATCAAAAGCTAAAACATTTCCACTTCAAAAGATACCATTAAAGAACATGAAAGAGGATCCAAGATGGCAACTAGGGCACAAAAGCAGACAGCATGAGCTCTGTAAATCAAAAATCCTGCTGAGATGCTGGAGCCATACTTGGCAGAAATAAAGCACCAAGAAGAATCAAAACTTTGACACACTGAACCCCTAGCCCATGGAAAGCTTCTCCATGCCACATTACACTGAGAAAACAGGAGGGTTCCCATGCTGCTGGATGCCAGCTCCAAACCTGCTTGGCAGACATTCAGCAGACCAACAGGTGAGCACCAAACATCATGTGGTATTCCCACAGCCATCCCTGGGATAAACCAACATAGCCTCTGGACAGACTGACCCCCCACCCTGCAAAAAAACCCAAAAACAAAAAACCAAAAAACTGAGTAAACAAGGAACAGAAAACTAACACATAGCAGAGGGGGCGAGGTGCTGTAAGTGCACTGGAGAAGGGGGGATTTGCAAGGAGCTGATCTCCATGCGAACTTTCAGTAAACAAAGGCTGGAAAGGCAGAAGGGCTGACAGTGGGCAGGTGATAAGCTGCTGCCTGAAATAGGGCAGAGAGCAGTCCACAAAGCTCATCTCCTGAGCCAGTAAACAACACCCAAAGTCAAAAAACACTGCAAAATTGAAAAATAATCAGCAAACCATCACAAAACACTGACAGCAGGGGGCCGGCTGATGGATCACCAGCTGATGACCTTGCTCCAGAGAAAGGGGGTGAGGCAAAGAAACAAACCCCCAGTAAACCAACACAGTGAAAACCAAACTCCAAAGCAGGACAGCTGATGGGCTGCAGAGCTGATCTCTAGAACCTGAGGGCAGCATACAAACTCAAACTGGAGTGGCTCCAGTGGTAGAATGCCTGCTTTGCACATGTGAAGCCCTGAGTTCAAACCCCAGTCCCACACATGCACACAAAAAAACCACACACACAAAACAAAAATAAATGACACCAAGGACCCCAATGATACCCACAAGAACATTCTCAAAGAAGAAATCCTGCAAGTAATCACTGAGAATTTCATGGAGATGTTACTAGACACAGTCAACCAAAATGTACAAAAGGCACTCAAGAAATTCCAAGACACCAAAAATAAAGAATACAAGAAGCACAGAAACAAATAAATGTACTCATAGGAGCCCTAAATAAGCACCAAAGTGAAACAGAGAACACTATAAATAGAGAGATAAATGAATTAAAGATGAAAATTGACAATATTAAAGAGGAAGTAATCCATGATACGGAAAACCTCAGAAGAAAGAATGAAACAAATACAAAACACAATAAAAGGCCACTCCAGCAGACTAAAACAAGCAGAAGACAAAATCTCAGAACTTGAAAATAAAATGGGAATTAAAGGAAAAACTGATGAACTACTAGTCAAAAAACTCAAGACCTGTGAAAGGAATATGCAAAAACTCACCAACTCCATCAAAAGATCAAACCTGAGAATCATGGGCATTGAAGAAGGAGAAGAGATGCAAGCAAAAGGAATTCATAATATATTCAACAAAATAAATTCAGAGATAATTTAAAATAATTTCAAAATAAAACAGAAAAATTTCCAAATCTAGAGAAAGTCCATTCAGGTACAGGAAGCCTCCAGGACACCAAACAGACTTGACCAAAATAGAACTACCCCACAACATATTAACATTAAAACAATAAGCACAGAGAATAGAAAAAGAATATTGAAGGCTGTAAGAGAGAAAAGACAAATAACATACGAAGGTAAATGCATCAAAATCACAGCAGATTTCTCAACAGAAACCTTAAAAGCAAGAAGAGCATGGAGTGAGGTATTCTGGGCACTAAATGAAAATAACTTCAACCCTAGGATACTCTACCCAGCAAAACTATCATTCAAAATAGATGGAGCAATAAAATCTTCTACAATAAGCAGAAACTAAAACAATACATGACCACGAAGCCAACACTACAAAAGATTCTTCAAGGAATTCTGCACACAGAAAATGAAAGCAAACAAAACCATGAGAGAACAGGCAGTACCAACACAGGAGAAGAAAAGACAAGAAATCAGAGTAACATTGATTCAGCTGCACTCAATCAAACCCTTAAACAACAAAAACAACTAAATGACAGGAATCACAACATACCTATCAATACTAACACTGAATGTTAACAAACCCCATCAAAAGATATCATTTGGCAAACTGGATTAAAAAGGAAGAGCCAACAATCTGTTGTTTACAGGAGAACAATCTCATTGACAGAAACAAGCACTGGCTTAGGGTAAAAGGCTGGAAGAAGATTTACCAAGCCAATGGCCCCCCAAAGCAGGCAATACTTATCTCGGACAAAGAAGACTTCAAACTTACATTGATCAAATAACATAAAGAAGGACACTCTATACTAATAAAAAGTGAAATACACCAAAAGGAAATCACAATTATCAACCTATATGCACCCAACATCAATGCACCCAATTTCATCAAATATACTCTGAAGGATAAAAGCATATATAGACTCCAACACAGTGGTAGTGGGAGACTTTAATACCCCCCTATCACCAATAGATAGGTCATCCAAGCAAAAAATCAATAAGAAATAATAGAACTAAATCACACCATAGATCAAATGGACCTAGCTGATGTCTACAGAATATTTCATCCAACTTTTGCACAATATACATTCTTCTCAGCAGACCATCTTCTCCAAAATTGATCATATCTTAGGGCACAAAGCAAGCCTCAGCAAATATAAGAAGCTAGAAATAATCCCAGGCATTCTATCTGATCACAGTGCATTAAAACTAGAACTCAACAACAAAAACAACAGTAGAAAACATGCAAACAATTGGAAGCTGAACAACACATTGCTCGATGGTCAATGGGTCATTGGTGAAATAAAAGAGGAAATTAAAAGATTCCTGGAAGTTAATGAAAATGAAAACATAACCTACCATAACCTATGGAACACAGCAAAGGCATTTCTAAGAGGAAAATTTATAGCCATGAGTGTATATATTAAAAGGAGAGAAAAATCTCAAATCAATGGCTTAATCTCAAATTCCTAGCAAAATAAGAACAGGCAAATCCCAAAACAAGCAGGAGTGAAATAATAAAAAATAAGGCCTGAAATTAATGAAATAGAAACAAAAAAAAATACAAAGAATCAACAAAACAAAAAGCTGGGTCTATGAAAAAATAAACAAGATTGACAAACCCCTGGCAAACCTGACTAAAATCAGGAGAGAAAGAACCCAAATCAGTAAAATCAGAAATACAAAAGGGGAGATAACAATAAACACCATGGAAATCCAGGAAATCATCAGAGAGACTACTTTGAGAACCTGTATTCTAATAAATTTGAAAATCTTGACGAAATGGACAAATTTTTAGATACCTATGACCATCCAAATTTGAACCATGAGGATATTAATCACCTGAATAGATCTATAACACAAAATGAAATTGAAGCAGCAATAGTCTCCCCAAAAAGAAAAGTCCAAGACCTGATGGATTCTCTGATGAATTCTTTCAGACCTCTAAAGAAGAACTAATACCAATTCCCCTTAACCTGTTCCATGACATAGAAAGGGAAGGAACACTGCCTAACTCATTTTATGAAGCCAGTATTACACTCATCGCAAAACCAGACAAAGACACCTCTAAAAAGGAGAACTATAGGGCAATCTCCTTAATGAACATTGATTCAAAAATTCTCAATAAAATAATGGCAAACTGAATCCAACAACATATCAGAAAGATCATTTACCACGACCAAGTCAGCTTCATCCCAGGGATGCAGGGGTGGTTCAACATATGCAAATCTATAAATGTAATACACCACATTAAAAGAAGCAAAGACAAAAACCACTTGATCATTTCAATAAATGCAGAAAAAGCTTTTGATAAGATTCAACACCACTTCATGATAAAAGCTCTAAGAAAACTAGGAATAGAAGGAAAGTACCTCAACATTTTTTATATGAAAAAACTATAGCCAACATCATACTTAATGGAGAAAAACTGAAACCATTTCCCCTAAAATCAGGAACAAGACAAGGGTGCCCACTATCTCCACTCCTATCCAACATAGTACTGGAATTCCTAGCCAGAGCAATTAAGCAAGAAGAAGAAATAAAAGGAATACAAATAGGTAAAGAAATTGTCAAAATATCCCTATTTACAGATGACATGATCCTATACCTTAAAGACCCAAAAAACTCCACCCAAAAACTCCTAGACACCAAAAACAGCTACAGTAAGGTGGCAGGATACAAAATCAACTTACAAAAATCATTAGCTTTTCTATACACCAACAATGAACAAATTGAGAAAGAATATATGGAAACAATTCCATTTACAATAGCCTTAAAAAAATCAAATATGTAGGAGTAAACTTAACAAAGGATGTGAATGACCTCTATAAGGAGAACTACAAACCCCTGAAGAAAGAGAAGAGGAAGGCTACAGAAGATGGAAAGATCTCCCCTGCTCATGGATTGATAGAATCAACATAGAAAAATGGCTATACTCCCAAAAGCAATCTACATGTTCAATGCAATTCCCATCAAAACCCCAATGACATTCATCACAGAGATTGAAAAATCTACCCTAAAATTCATTTGGAAACACAAGAGACCTCAAATAACCAAGGCAATACTCAGCAAAAAGAGCAATGCTGGACGTATCACAAACTATATTACAAATGCAAGAGCAATAAAAACAGCATGGTACTGGCACAAAAACTGACATGAAGACCAGTGGAACAGAATAGAGGACCTGGATATGAATCTTCACAACTATGCCCACCTTATTTTTGACAAAGGTGCCAAAAACATATGATGGAGAATAGACAGCCTCTTCAACAAATATTGCTGGGAAAAGTGGTTATTCATCTGCAAGAAACTGAAACTAGATCCATGTTTATCACCCTGTACTAGTATCAACTCAAAATGGATCAAGGACCTTAATATCAGACCCAAAACTCTGAAGTTAGTATAGGAAAGAGTAGGGAATACTTTGGAAGCAATAGGTATAGGCAAAGACTTCCTCAATAGAACCCCAGCAGCTCAGCAACTAAGAGAAAGGATAGACAAATGGGACTTTATAAAATTCAAAAGCTTCCGCACAACAAAAGAAATGGTCTCTAAACTGAAGAGACCACCCACAGAGTGGGAGAAAATATTTGCCAGCTACGCATCAGACAAAGGACTGATAACTAGAATATACAGGAAATTCAAAACACTAAACTCTCCCAAAATCAATGAACCAAAAAAGAAATGGGCAACTTAACTAAACAGAACTTTCTCAAAAGAAGAAATTCAAATGGCCAAACAACACATGAAAAAATGCTCACCATCTCTGTCCATAAAGGAAATGCAAATCAAAACCACACTAAGATTCCATTTCATCCCTGTTAGAATAATCATCATCAAAAACACTACCAACAACAGGTGTTGGCGAGAATGTGGGGAAAAAGGAACCCTCATACACTGCTGGTGGGAATGCAAGCTAGTGCAACCACTCTGGAAAAACAATATGGAGGCTTCTTAAAAATCTAAGCATAGATCTGCCATATGATCCAGCAATTCCACTCATGAGGGTATACCCAAAGAAATGCGACACAGGCTACTCCAGAGGCACCTGCACACCCATGTTTATTGCAGCACTATTCACAATAGCCAAGTTATGGAAACAGCCAAGATGCCCCACCACTGATGAATGGATTAAGAAAATGTGGTGTTTATACACAATGGAATTTTATGCAGCCATGAAGAAGAATGAAATCTTATCATTCATGAGTAAATGGGTAGAACTGGAGAACATCATCCTGAGTGAGTTAGGCAGGCTCAGAAGACCAAAAATCATATGTTCTCCCTCATATGCAGACTTTAGATCTAGGGCAAATGCAGCAATGTTGTAGGACTTGGGTCACACGCTAAGGGGAGAGCACATACGGGAGGAGTAGGGATAGGTAGGAAACCCAAAACTTGAAAGTGTTTGATGTCCCCACTGCAGAGGAGCTAATACAGTAATCTTTAAATGACAGAGGTCAATGTGGGAAGGTGACCGTGAAGTAGTGAAGAGGTCTGGTAGAGGTGAATCAGATTGGGTTGTAATACACTTGTGCATGGAAGCAAAGCTAGGAATCTCTCTGTATAGCTATCCTTATCTCAATTAGCAAAAACACTATGTCTTTTTATTATTGCTTTTGTCTACTCTTCAACAAAATTGGAGAAAATGGCAGAACAGGTTCTGCCTGAAAGTGAGGTGGACAGGGAGAAGAGGGAAGGGGTGGGGGGCAGGGTAGAGAATGACCCAAACAAATGTATGTACATATGAATAAATGAAAACAAAAAAAGAACATGAAAAAGGACCAGGTGCAGTGCCTCACAACTGTAATCCCACCCACTTAGGAGGTGGAGACAGTAGGATCACGATCCAGGTCAGCTCAGGCAAAAATGCAAGACTCTACCAAAGGATAACTAAAGCAAAGAGGGCTGGGGATGTGGTTTATGTGGCAGAGCACCTTCCTGGCAGGTGTGAGGCCCTGAGTTCAAACCACAGTACTACCAAGAAAGAAGAGAGAAAGGAAAAGGAAATGAAAAAGCACATAGGAGTTTGAGGCAGGAGAATCAAGAGTTTGAGTCCAGCTTGTGTTACATAAAGAAAGAAAGAAAGAAAAATGAAAATGCAAGCCACAGACTGGTAGAAAATATTTGCAAGCCATATATATGATAAAGGTTTTGTAATGTAGAATATCTGAAGTGCTATTAAAACAAGACCAACAACCAAAACCTTCAGGAGTAGACGGTTCCCCAAGGAAGATAGGTACATGACTAAAAAGTCTTTGAAAAGACGTTCAACCATGCTCATCACGAGAGAAGAGCAATGGAGAGCTGCGAAGGGAAACCACCACACACCCGCTGGGGTGGGAGTAATCAAAGACAGACAATCCAATGGGAACACACAAGCTGGCAGTTTCTTAAAATGTTAACCTTCCGGCGGGCCCAGCGATGGAAAAAGTCTGCAGAGACTTGTGTACATGTGAGCACAGAAGTGGTGTTCACAACAGCCAGAAAGAGGGAAACGACCCAAATGTGTGGCGAATCGTGAAGGATGAGCAAGGACAGGGGATGGTGTATCCATGGCAACGGACTACTCTTCAACCATAGAAAGGGATACAAGGCCAATACAACATGGAGGAGCCTCGGAAAACGTTAGACTTGTGAAAGAAGCAGGTCCAAAAGACCACGCACCGTGTGATACCATTTATAGGAAAGACCAGAAAGGCAAACCTATGGAGACAGAAAGCAGGTAAGTAGTTGTGTCAGGTCAGAGCAGAAATAAACTGTAAATGGGTTTAAGGGGACTTCTGTTTGTGGCTGTTCTGGGATTTGAACTCAGGACCTTGTGCTTGCTAGGCTGGCCCTCTACCACTTGAGTCACTCCCCCCAGCCCTTTTTGCTTTAGTTATTTTTCAGATAGGGTCTCATGCTCTTTGCCTGGGATAGCCTGGGACTGTGATCCTTCTACATGTGCCTCCCATGTAGCTAGGATTACAGATATGCACCACCACACCTGGTTTCTTCTTTGGCATAGGGTATTACTTTTTTGTGTGGACTGGTGGTGATCTTATCTGTTTCTCAAATAGCTGGGATTACAGACATAAGCCACTGCACCCGGCAGTGGAGGGAAATTTTGGTATGATGGATATTCTAAATCTTGATTATAGTGATGGTTGTACAATTCTATCAATTTATTAAAAGTTATTTATTAAAAGTACACTTATAAGGGATGAATTTTGTGGTACGTAATTTATACCTCAGAAACGTTGTGTAAGAAGGAGAGGGTGAATGTTCAGGGAGGGCGGAACTAATCCAGACGCCGTCTCCATCCTGAGCAGGGTATTTGTCCTTCTGCTGGTGTTGGTGTCCATCCTCTGGATCCCTGTGGTCCAAGCCAGTCATGGAGGGCAGCTCTTCATCTACATCCAGGCAATCAGCTCCTACCTGCAGCCGCCTGTGGCTGTGGTCTTCATCATGGGATGTTTCTGGAAGCGGACCAATGAAAAGGTTTGCACCAACCTCGCCATTCAGGGACTCCACTGCTCTCAAGGCGAGGAGAGATGGGGGTTACTCTAGAGGGAGGCATGTGGGGAGGTTGGATTCAGGGCTTAGGGAAGGCAAGCTGTAAGTCAGAGACAAAGGGAGGTGTCATCTGGCCTTTGAAAAAGGCAATGAGGCCAAGTGCTGGTGGCCCATGTCTGTAATCCTTCCTACTTGGGAGGCTGAGATTGGGAGGATTGAAGTTCAAGGCCAGTCTGGGAAAATAGCTCTCAAGACCCCATCTCTAAAATAACTAGAGCAAAATGGATTGGAGGTGTGGCTCAAGCGGTAGAGCACCTGCTTTGCAAGTGCGAAGCCCTGAGTTAAAAAATCAGTCCAAAAAAAAAAAAAGAAGAAAAGAAAAAAGGCAATGGGAGGTTCTCAGAGGTATCTTGATTTTTTTTTTTTTTTTGAGAGAGAGAGTCTCTCTATTTAGCCCAAGGTGGCATTGAACGCTGATCTTCCTGGCTTAGTATCCTGACTGCTGGGATTATAGCCATGTACACTCCACCTGGCTTCTTTTTTTTTTTTTACTTTCTTTTTTGGTGCTACTGCAGTTTGAACTCCAGGCCTTGCACTTGCTAGGCAGGTGCTCTATCACTTGAGTCACCCCCTGCCCACCAGCCCACATCAGCTTCTTGACACATTTTTGTCACTAACAAAGGAAGCCAAATGAGGAAGGCATAAGTACAAATATGTAATTGATTTGCTACAGTTGGGCCTCCAGATCTGTAGATTCTGTGTCTACAGATGCAACCAACAGTGGACTGAAAATACTTAAACAAAAATCTGAATCAAATGCCAGGCACCAGTGGCTCACTCCTGTAATCCTAGGTATTCAGGAGACAGAGATCAGGAGGATCGCAGTTCAAAGCCAACCTGGGCAAATAGTGTGTGAGAAGCTATCTTGAGAAAAACCCTTCACAAAAAAGGGCTGGTGGAGTGGCTCAAGGTAAAGGCCCTGAGTTCAAACCCCAGCACTGCAAAACAACAGTTGAACCAAAAAGTTGGTCCTGGAGCCAATCCCTTGAAGATGCCAGTAGATGACTGTACTTGTGAAAGACACATAAGTGGCTCCAAACCTTTCCAAATCACAGATGCATGCAGTGACTGTCACAAGAAAGGTTCTCTTGAGACAGATTCTGGAGGCCCAAGGCCTGGGTATTTCTAACCTGCTTTGCTCTGGTTTGCAGGGTGCCTTCTCTGGCCTCATCTTAGGCCTGCTTCTAGGTTTGGTCAGGCTGGTTCTGGACTTTATCTACGCACAGCCTCGGTGTGACCAGCCAGATGAGCGCCCAGCTGTGGTAAAGGATGTCCACTACCTCTACTTCTCCATGGTTCTGTCATCTACCACCCTGATCACCGTGTGCACCGTGAGCTGGTTCACAGAGCCACCGTCCAAGGAGATGGTACATTTGGGTAGACGGCCATATCTGCTGAGACTCTTTGTTGCGAATGACGGAACACTGACTCATGCTGACTTATGCAGCAAGGATCGAATGTTCAAAAAGCTGCAAAGTCTAGAGCGGGGTACAGGGACAGTTAGATTCAGGATTTAGAAAATTCATCAGACTCCACCTCCCACGTCTTTTGATTCTCAGCTTCCAGGGGAGATGTCCTTTGGTTCTAAAGAGTGCAGGAGGGTGAGATAAGGGAAGGAAAAACACAGCATGAAAGCTCAGCTGGGGGCTGGGTGGGGGCTGTGAGGAAAAGACGGCAGCCCCCCAGCTGTACCTCACAATCCTTCTCTGCTCCATAGGTCAGTCGCCTGACCTGGTTCACTCGTCACGACTCCATCGTCCAGAAGAACCAGGTGCCGCCAGCAACTCTCCCGCCTCCTACCCTGTCTCAAAACGGGACCCCTGAGGGCACCAGCACCAGCATCCAGTTGGAGATGGTTCAAGAAAACATATCCAAAACCCACAACTGTGAGTTGCCTCTGGCCTCAGTTACAGCAACAGCCTCAAAGAAGCATGTATTTCAGGGGAAAGTTTTCATCAAATCATAAGCCACAAAAGGGGACTGACTTGGAAGTTTAGCATCCTCTAGCTCCAGTATCCAGTCCTCCCCCTCCTCCAGTCACCAGAAAGTTGTTCTTTGTTTTGGTTTTGGTACCAGGATTTGAATTCAGGAACTTGTGATTGCTAGGCAGTCACTCTAATATTTGAACTACACACCCCCGGCCCTTTTTGCGTTAGGTTGTTTTTCAGATAGGGTCTTGCACTTTTTGCCTAAGCTAGCCTTGAACACTGTTATCCTCCTACCTATGCCTTCTGTGTAGCTGGGATTACAGGCGTGAGCTACCATGCCCTGCCTCAGAAAAGTGTTCTTCAGTAACTTCCAACAGGAGACTCAGAAGAGCAATAATAACAAACACTTATTGAGTGCCTACTAAAATGTCATTCATTCAATCCTTCTGGGACCCTGTATCACAGGCTGTAGTGCTGGAGCACTACAGTGCTCTCTAAATTAGGGGTTTCAAACTGGCCCACCTACTGTTTTAATAAAATGTGAGTATTTGCAAGAGGAAACAAACTTGACAAGTAAGTTTAATTTCAACATTGGGAGATTTCACTTAAAGATTCCAAATTTCCATTTTCTCTTGAAAAAAAAAGGGGACAGTCTGGCAACACTGGGCCCACAGTCTACATGGTGAAAGTTATCTAAAGCTGTTAAGCTGCTGCCCAGGAGATATGAGATGTGCCCCCAGTCTGTGTTACTCTGTGACCCTAAGTCTGAGGATTGCCATGATGTATGTGTGTGTGTTACTGTGGATATGAACCTGTGTCAGCCTCAAGTGGGAAACCCCAGAAGGTCGTGCATTTAAAGAAAAATGAGAGAGAATGTATTTCTTGGCAGAGGTGAAGACTTTCAATCTGTTCAATGTGCAAATGTGCTCCCCCCACTCAAATATACCACCTGTCTGGTCTCCACAGGCTGCCTGGTGACAGCCTCAGCTCTAAATGGAAAAATAGTTTCCACCAAAGTGCTCATTTCTCTTCAGCCAGTGTGACACAGGAGGGGCTTTCAGAGCTGGGTCCAAAACCCAGTTGTGCCACACCTTACGATAGTATGGTGGTCAAGTCAGTCTGGGCCTTTAACCCTTTGTCTGAAGATAGTGAGCTTCTGAAAATGCCAGTGCCCAGATTTAAGGTATTAATGAACATAGTTGTTCCTTAAATCTGAGGGACTGGGTCCAGGATTCCTGTGGACACCGACATCCGTGGTGTCTTTGCTTATAACCTCTGCTCACCCTCTCATATACTTGAAATCAGCTCCAGATTACGTATTCTGTGTTGTTTGGGGACTAATGACAAGAAGAGCCTGTACATGTTTGGTACTGCCCAGTGCCTTTTCCCCAGGATATTCTCGGTCTGTGTTTGGTTGACTCTATGGATGTGGCACTCATGGATGGGAAGGGTTGACACATAAGTACTTATGTTACCACAGGAGCACATCTGGCTAGTGTCCTCTTCTTCCTCTGGGAGTCGCAACCCCTCTCTGACCTTTCTTTGCTATTTTTTTTTTTAGGTGATGTAACCCCAAAGCGGTCCAAAGTGGTGGCAGCCATCTTATGGCTGTGTGGCATGAGCAGCAAAGGCACAGAGGCGCCCCCAAGAAAAATGGAGTCCATCATTGTTTCCTTGGAGGAAAACGCCATTGTGAAAACCCTTCTGGATGTCAACTGCATTGTTTGTATCAGCTGTGCCATCTTCCTGTGGGGCTACTTTGCTTAATACAGGGGGGAGCAATGGGTCTAAGGTCTTGGTTTGTTTTTTAAGGCCCTTGTTATTTTTTAATGAACTAAAAAAAAAATAAAGCTTTTGTTTGTTTACTATGAGGCTTCAAAGATGTTGATGGGGCATTTTCAACATGAGAGTTTGTTCTTTTCTTCTTGAAAGGAACAGCTGGTCCCCAAGGGTTTTCTCATTGTGATACTTGCTTCTGGATATGATTTCTTGGAAACAGACCTGTGTGTAATGACTGAAAGCTCATGCTAGAAGAGTATCAGAAAATTGTGTGCCCTTCTCAAATTCTGACCTAGAAAATTCTGCTTGTTTGCTTAATTCCCCATATGATGCTTACCCCTCCCCCAACAAATAGCCAGAAGGATGACATCTCCACAAAGAATTCTGCTGGCTGAGGGCCAGTGCTGCTGTGGACCTTGGTAGAGTCAGCTACCTCTCAGTTCCTTTTTTTGGGTCCCTGATGGGGTCTGATGGAATGACCCACTGTGGTTGTGTTTGCCATGTGCACAGCTAAGGCAATCTTTGGGTAGCCCAGGGACATACGTCCATCAGTCCTGAGATAAAGGGGTGGCAAGTGAAGCTATTTATTGACCCAGCAGAGCTGGAAAATGGAGTAGTCTCTCAAGGGACTCCAATTTCCAGGAAATTCAAAGGGAAATAGACAAGAAACCCCAGGGCCAAGGAGCCACCTACTTATCCCATGATCTCTTTTGAGGCTCTAGTTGAGGCTCTTGCACCTGGCACCAGGTGTTCACAGGTGGCTGTATTAGTTCAGTGCCTCCCTGCCCCTTAGTGCAAGGCCTGGCTTTTCCACACTAGTGCAAGTGATTGCCAAGGCCTGGACAAAAGGCACGCTCAGCCCTCCCTGGACGGGACATGTGGGGAGCTGGTTGCTAAAACTCCTATCCAGACCTACATATCTGGCTCCTGGAAAGAGCCTGAGATGGTTTTGCAGGCAGAGGGCTGAAGGACCAATTCAGGGGGAGGCTGGGCTCTCTTCTCCAAAGGTCAAAAGACCAGAGTGGGAGACACAGAACCTGAATTCCCACCAACTCTTCCCCAAACCCCAAGACCTCTGCTGCATGTGTTGGGGTGAGAAGTGCATTTCTGTGGAAGTCGTCATGATAGTCACTCAGGCCACTGCCATCTCTCCCCTGAATTGCTAGCCATTCTCTAGCCACAGGAAGAGCATAAATGTGACCAAGCCAATTCTGTCTGGAACCCTTCAGTGACTTTTCAGAACTCTCAGGTTGAAGTCCACATTCCTTGTAGGAACGGTAGAGCTAGTGACCAGGCCTCTCTTACTTTAGTTTTGACTATTCTCCCTTGGCAGTCTCAGGCCACACCATACCCACACCCAGGTGGGAAGTCAGGCCATCGATGACTGGCCCAATGTTGTTAAATATTGAATAAACAGGTCTTTGTCAGTGCCCTTCCCTCTTCCTGAACTGTCCCTCCCCTGTCTTCTGGCTAAATCCTATCCTAGACTCTGCTCAGACACCACTTCTTCAAGGAAGCTGTCCTTGATCATCCCACCCCACTGTGCACACACCTTCAAACAAATCTGGCACTTGAGTGAAAGTTCCACGAAAGCACAGTGTGCCGATGCCCAGCTCAGTGTGGGATGGATAAATGGGTGGGCAATCTTCAGAACACAAATGTCCTGAGACTCTTTGACTCACAGTCACCAGCCACACCCCATTCCCAGTCTGGCTGATACCCCTGCCCAGGTCCTTAAGTTCAAGAACACCAAGTATTTCTGTACCAACTTAGCAAACTGAGGTCAGAGCTCTCAGGAGCGAACAAGCATGGCTGATTGAGTCACTTGGCTGACAATGGTCCTGAGGATTGCTCTCAAAATCACCTCTCAAGTTTGGGAAGGGCCCATACTTGATCAACAAATCATGCTGTTCTATCCCCTAAGGTGCTCACCTGCCCATTTCAGTCCCTTACTGCCTCACCTTAATTCAAGCCAGCACCAGCTCTTTTCTATGGGGCCACTAAGCTTCTAGACTCACCTCTGTCCCAGTCCAGTCTTGGCATGGCAGTCACAGGGATCTAACATACAAATCATACTGGCACTCCCTTCTCTCCCCAGATCCCCACTGACTTTGGGAAAGCTTCCAAACACAGGCTATAAGGTCCTTCATCCTCAGCTCCTCTGGATACCAGGAGCCTCCTCCCTTGCCTTTTGCTAGCTACTGTTCTAGCCCAGCCTCCCACTCCATTTCAGTGCTGCCTCCACCCACAGTCTTGGCTCCAGACATCCCTTCTTTTTGGACTTTCCACTTGCACTTGGACTTTCCTTAGCTCTCTACCTAAGGCATAGTCACCCCCCCTTACCGCCCTATGTTTTCACAGCTCCCCCACAGCAGTCTTTGTTTCTGTGGCTCATGCTGATTCCCCAGGGCCTATGCCAGTGTATATGTAAGAGTAAGACCTCAATATTTACCTGGAGGACCCATGAATTATAAGAGGCAGGCTTCAGTTCTAAGGGTCCAGGTGTGAAAAATGTTGTTCTTACATGAAATGACAATTTTTTTGGTCATTCAGGTATAATCTGTTGATGTGCATAAAAACTGAACTTTATTACAAATAGTAAGGATAAAAGCAGAACCTTGGTGAGGTGTTCTTTCTTGTCCTAAATATACCCTCACAAGCCAGGTGCTGTGGCTCATGCCTATAATCCTAGCTACTCAGGAGACAGAGAGCAGAAGGATCACAGTTCGAAACCAGCCCCAAGTGTAGCAGGGAGGAGGATCAGAAGAAAACAGACTAGGCCTGGGTCCTGAGAAAGTAGCAGGGAAGTAGAGATGACATAGCAGAGAGATAAAACCTGAGAAATCTGAACAGGAGGAAGGTCACATAGCACTGAGGAGGGGAAAGTCACATAGCACAAGGGTAAAGTAGCCAATAAAATTATATATAACCATATATGGATTAGACCTTGCATTTTGCTTCTGTAACCTGCTTGCAAGGGTATACAAGGTGAGACCCCTTTGCTCTCAGGGCTCAGCTGGTGGACATGAGTCTGCTGAGTCTGTGCTGGCACAATAAAATGTTACTTCCTGCTAATTGCCTCAAGAGTCCCGTATCTCAGCTAGCAACCTCCTGCAACATTTCTTGGGGGCTCATTGCCGGGATTGCAGAGATAGTAAGTTATCACTGCCCTTGTCACCAGGGTGCATCCCTCCAGACTGCCAGAAGGAGATCCCACCAGGCACCAATGGACAGCTTGATCCAGAGGAGGATTCATCTTCCTGGTGAGTCAGGGTGAGGGCCTCAGATGCACAACAAAACCCAGTGAGGTGCAGGAACCAGCAAGGGGAGGAGAGCACCACTCATCAGACTGGTAAGAACCCAGCTTCAAATTCAGGCCTGCCCCAGGAGGCAGAAGGCGAGACTGATCACCTCCCAATGAGACACCCTAGTAACCACCTTTTTTTGGGTGAAACCATGTCTCGCAGGTTCAGGGAGCAGTATGAAAATACAGTGCTGTATGAGAGTATGAAAATACAGTGCTGTATGAGAGTATGAAAATGTGAGCCAACACGCAGACCAGCTGTGAAGTGAGTAAGGAGTTCCCTCCTGCTCTGTGTCTGTCTGGCAGTCTGGCAACAGTAGGAGATGTGTGGAAATCAGAGTAAAAACACTCCCTTGGAGTGTATGATTAATAACTTTAAAAAGGGATTTAATGGAGACTATGGAGTTAAATTAACTCCTTATAAGCTAAACATCCTTTGTGAAGTAGATTGGCCTGCTTTGGTGTAGGATGGCCTCCGGAAGGGTCACTAGATAAAACTGTGATTAATGAAGTTTACAGAGTAATTATAAAAAAAAACCCTAACACCCAAGAGAATGGAAAAGCCAAGAAGCTAAAACTGGTCTTCAAAAACCAGATTTTGTTGTTTAAGTTCATGTAGCAATTTATTGGGCAGACAGAGGCGAAATCGGAGTCTTCCAGTCTTGATGGGTAGCTTTTGTGCCCCAGTTTGTACATCTTCACCCAAAATGGGCATCCTGAAGGAGGACTGAGGCTCAGCACTAACTGATCTCTTACAAAAATTAACACATGAAGGATGGACTTGCACTGATACATAAGATATGGTCTGACTTGAAAGAAAAGGAATGTTGTAGAAGTGTTGTGAATGTAGAGAGAGAGAAATGAAGAAATGGAATCAGAACTGGGATGAGGTCTTCATGGATAAAGTGAAGAGAGAGAGAGAGAAAGAGGGAGAGAAACAGGAAAAGAGAGAGAAAAAGTAAAATGCCATGAAATGTTTGGAGACAGAAAAGGATAAAAGGTTTAATACACGCCTTCAGTTGAGTTTTTATGTCTTAGAAATAAAAAGTAAATAGAAAACAATTTAGGATTACTAAAATATGCCAGAAATACTGAACTTGCTGGCATCTTTACTTCTAGGGAGTATAAACTGGAAGAACCTACCTTAAAAGGTGAGAAAAAAAAGGAGCAACTTTGACTGTTGCTGGTAAAAAAAAACTGTTCCAAAAGATTGGTGCAGTTAGCTTGGTCTCTTATTGAGACAGTCGTGAGATACTTATATTTCCCTTGCTAATGGCTGGTCAGATTATGCATCCATCTAATGGTATGCTCACAGCGTGTGTGTGTAAGCATCTTCAGAATGGTTCTTAAATTGCTGCTATAAGGTTAAAATGATACTTAAGGTGACAAAAAAACAAGGCATTTATTTTAAAGATCTCTGTTATAAACTGCTTAGGCTTTTTACACATAAATATGTAAACATCTTGAGAAGAGTTCTTATTATAGAGCCAATGTAAAAAAATTATTTCTCTGTTATGCTGCTACTTTTTAAGAAAAACAGGTTTTCAAACTTATTTCAATCAGGTCTCGTTAGGATGCAGGCATTCAGCTCAGACCAGAGGAGAAAAAAGATAAAAGGGGGGCAGGCCACAGCCTGCAGCAGAAATCTTAAAATTTGGGTAGTTAAAGAAATGACTTTCACATGTTTCATTCTGTCATAAATACAATCTAAAATTTAATTCTCTCTTATAATATGTGGGTCTATAAACAAATGGACTTTCTATAAATTGCTTTTATACAAAAATAATTTCAAAGTTGCTTTCTTGTTTTTTCATACAAATGTAAAGTTAAAAGATTTTATGAGTTAACAAGTAACAAAAATATATAAAAGGTATTAAAGATATGGTTTTTTAAGATAAAAAATACTTAAAAAGAAAGGATAAAGACAAGCTCTACCAGGGGATACAAAATAAGTTGTCATAAAAGTACAGATTAGACCGCCCGCGTCCCAGCTCGCCTAGCATCTGCCAAGCCTCTGGGCCAAGGTTTCAACAGACCTCACATGCCTGTGACAGAAAATGTGACTTTTATAGGGGATGCATCAAGTAGGAGGTATTTGGTTGGCAGTAACAGAAACAAGCCCAGGAAAGTTTATGCGAAAAAAAAATCCCCTTAAAACAAAACAAAACAAAAAAGCAATTTATTGAGAATACAAGATCAAGAAATGCAAAATGGCCCCAAGAATGTGGATGAGAACTAGGAGACTTTTGGAAAACAAATGTACACTCTCTCATCTCGCTTCTGACTCTGCATTTTTAAACTTCTTTCTTCAAAGACTGTTTTTCTCTGCCACACATGGTCACAGCCGATGGTCACCCAGAGCTCCTAAGTGCTGTGCTGGAAGAGGCGGGAGCTGCTTGCTGGGGGAAAGACTCATGTGCCAACTCCTGTACAAATTAACACTGGCCAGGGAGGCAGAGTCACTGGGCTGAGGTCACCTTGCTACCTGACTGCCCCAGGGTCAGTGGCTTCACCTCTGGCATATCTTTCCTCCTCCCCAGTTCCACCAATGTCCTATATAAAAAAGGAGGAGCCACTGGGATAGACACACCTGCTAACAAGGAGCTGCACATGATGTGATAACCTGAGACTGAGTCTCAGAGGCTACGTGACACCCTGGAGTGAAGAGATGGTGAAGCAGGGTTGGGGAGAAGAGGGTGGATGGAAGCTTTGGAATATGGTGGGGAGTGACGGGAGCAGACCACAGAGAAAAAACTAGAAGGGGTTTTGACTTAAGATATTCAAATATGATGCAGACAGCAGAGGCCCAAGTGAGGAAGGGGATTGGAGCCCAGGGAAGCAGAGCTATCAAGACAATCTGAGGACGGGGTCACCCTGCCACCTCTGAACTCTTGGAGTGGAAGCAGGGTGGAAGTCAGTACAAGCAGCACCACTCAGGGCCTGCCTGCTGGAGCTCTGCAGCCTCTCACGTGCTGATCAAGAACAGGCTTCTTCCAGGATACTGGATGGGCCTGACCCACAGGGGTGGACAGAGGACAGGCCCCTGCCCCCGGTGCTATGGTGCAGACAGTAGGAGCAAGGTCAGAAGTTCTAAGCACATGGGCTTGGAATTTTCTGAGAAATTATGGAGAAGGGAAGGAAGCAAGCTGAAAGGCACATTCCAGTAGCATCTTCCTAGAGACCAGCACCTTCCTGGGTGGCCAGGGAGGCCACTGTGAATTCAGATGCAGATTTATTCACCTCTGACACTGGGCGGGGTGAAGGGCTCTAGTATGTGCAGTGTCACAGAAGGGCACTGTGGCAACTACCCTTGCTGGAGGAATCAGGTTGTGAAGAATAACAAAGAAAGAGAACTTGGTGCCTTTTCCCGTACTGCCTCTGGACCAGCCTCAGACATGATTACAGTGCCAAATGACATTGAGCCACAGGTCCCACACATGACTCACCCCTCAAAGATGATGGACAGCTGCTTCAGTTTGGTATTTACCTCTGACACACAGAGGTAATCAAATAGTTTTCATTTTTTTCTGCAGTTTGGAGCAGTTAGGGTAGGGACAGATGTTCTTAAAACTGATGCTACACTCAGGGGGAGTGTCAGTGGTCTCTTCACACTCAGGTACCAACGTGGACTCCTCGACAAGCATGTGTCCCCATGTCCTCCTGAGTACAAGCTCCAGCGTCATGATGAAGCATCTCCAAGGCACTGCAGAGACTTGGACAGTGGACAGCCACATTCCCTAGGGAAGGGCTTATCACTGAGCAGCAACCTGTCTGAAGCTATGCCCTGTTCTGTAGCAAAAGGCAGAGATTGAAAAATAGAGAAGAGGGAGTCTTTAAGCAGACATCAATGTGAGATGTGGGGAAAACAGGTTATAGGTTCATATTCTCAGTGTCATTAAGTGTAGGGAGGGCTTTGGAGGAACAGGGACTTCGAGAAGAAAGAAAAATGTGAAATGTGGTCATCCTTGTCATTAGGTTTATGTCAGTTCATAGTAAAAAGGAGTCCCAACGTGTTTTTTTTTGTTTTTTATGAGACAGCATTTTGCCATATAGCCCAGGATGGCCTCAAACTCTCCATCTTCCTGGTATAGCTCCACCTAGTCCCAATGTCTTCTAAGCTGACTGGACAGGTCCTGGACACAGCCAGAAAACTCTAATGGATGGCTCCAGACACTCAACTGTGGCAGCATGCACTGTCTATGTTCCCAAGAGAAAACTGCTGTATGTGGGCCAGAGAGGGGCACCATTAGGACAGTTGTTCAAACCAACACCCTCACTTGGCTTTAGGTCCCCTCCTTTCTCACTCCTGGGAAAGCAGTGCCTTAGACAGGGCTTGAAAGCATTCCTGTGATGGGTAAAGGGAATTTCTGTGGAAGTCACAGCTCCTGGTGTGCACACCAGCCCTAGGGGCCTGGGTCACAGGGAATCAACCTCTCTGAGCCTAAGACTATAGATGGAAAAGAAATGGGTCTCCAGATTGGTGAGATGACAGGAGCAGCCTTAACCATGGAACACTGGCAGAGGGTCAGCCAATCTAGGAGGTCTCTGGGGCACCCGGTGGTATTTTCCAATACTGTGACTTTTCTCTCTAGTCTTTCAAACTTCAACAGTTATAGTGGGACTTCCAAGATGTCCCATCCACAGTTCTATTTGGTTAAGTGACAATATGTGCACACATACACACACACACACACACACACACACACAGATACACACACACACACCCTTCACAGTTTGCCTCCAAGAATCATCAAGTTTTCATATAAACCACAGAATATATTTAATTCAAATTAAACATGAAACTAGAATAATGTTCGGTCCTTATCAAGGCAATTACGTTGTTTTAAAAATGCACAGTACATTTTTCTCTACATTCTGGCGATTCACAAGGCACAAGTCACATCCAGTTTGATGAGGCAACAGATCCAGCCGTTGCCCTCAATGCTCATGGTTGTGAGGGGCAGGGAAGACACAGACCATATTTAGTACAAAATGATTCTGCAGCAAATCTGAAGAGAGGAAGCTCTCTCCTAATATATGAGAATGAAAGTCCAGGCGGCAGGAAGTGGGTGACTTGCACAATTAATGTGTTTTATTAAATAGACAGTTAACGCGTTGCTTACTCGGTCCAAGCTGCTGTTGTTGCCACCTGAGTTAACAGCATGGAAAAAAGCTTCCTATACACTTCCCAGCAGTAACACTCTGCTCTAGGTATTCTGGTTTGATTTTTTTTGGCATGATTTCTGTCTTGGGTGAAGAAAGCCAATTTCTTCCAGACACAGGTCATTCAGCTTCAAGTGTAGGCCTCCACGCTCTCCTTGGGCCGGGTGGGGCCCAGTCTTACATGCCAGGCCTTCCTCTTGCACTGAAAGCTTTTCACTGCTTGGTCTGCAAAGACAGAGGCTCACCTGCCCCGGTTCCATTCCCAGGGCGGAGGGCAAGAGCTGGGAGGCGGCTTTCTTCACAAGGCGGTGCTTTCTGAGTCATTGTCTATATCCAACAGGATGCGGCCAGGCATGTCTCTGCTTGCCGACTCTGAGTGCATTTCAGGAAAGATGCTGCGAAGCGGTTCTGAAACCCTAGAGTTGTTGTCTGGACAAAAACATGAAGAGATACAGTGTAAGTGAGGGCAATGCCCAAGAGGCCACCGAGGGTGCTCTGAGAAGAGTGGAAGGTCGAGTCAGCCCATGCACACACAGTCCCTTGCTAGAGGCCTCAGCAGTCCTGAGAATCAAGCCCGAGACCACAGATAGCAGCTGCATGGCACAGTGTGACTCTGCTTTGCAGTTTCTTTCTGTGAGCCTAGGCAGCCCTCAGAGATGTGGCCCTGGAAGGATTCACTTGCTTTGAGTGAAGGAAACTTTATTCTCACCAAAGCCTCTAATGCACTGGCTGAAGCCTCCTAACAATGGCTGGGCTGAGGAGAGAGCTGCGCTGGAAACAGCTCACTCCCAAGGCTGATGGGGACAAACCATTCTTCCTGGTATGAATGCTGTGACCTCAGTCTTGGTATTAACAAAAGTTTGGGTTGAATCATTCTGGGTTGTGGGGGACTGTGCTATGCACTGCAGGAGGCTGGGCAGAAGTCCTGTCTTTCTCCACCAGATGCCAGTGCCATACAGCCCTTCTCCCCCAGGGTGACACCTGGCACCACAGTGCTGTTGACATAACCACAGTAGATTGCCAAATCTCCTGCAAATATTAATTTTCTCATCTCTTTCCAATTCCTTGTACTTATAAATCTCTTTCCCTTTTCATGTCTTACTATGTTGGCTGAGATGGCAAATATATGATCCTCAAGTCACTGTCCCCCATTTACATACTCATAAGACACCTTTATTCATTATAGCTCTCTTCCCAAAGAGACGAGCAGATCTTAATTTGTTCATAAACAAATATTTTCTTAGCACCAACTACATGCCAGGCTCTGTTCTGCCTGCTGAGGATACAACAGTGAACAAGACAGACCTATGGTCAAGTGGGAAGCCCAGCCTTAATCAAGACAGAAGGTTTGGCTTCCCTGGTGGATATGAGTTCTCAAAAATTACAAGAGCTTTGTTAGATATTTAGGGCTGTCATATGAGAGAAATGTTTAGGTCTGCTGTAGTTTTACTTTGTCAATCAGAGCTAATCATGGAAGGGAGCAGAGAGGAAACCAGTGGAAGGAATCTGTTTGGGGGCTCCCCAGCTATGCTAAACAGCTGCCTTTCTTATATACTGGGGAGCATGATTACACCACATCTGCCCTTGGTGGGAGCTGGTTTTGAGGTCCTCCAGCACCTCACCAAGGCAGGCACAGCTGGCAATGCTGGTGCACTTCTAAGAGGCCCGATGCTTGGAGATTGCTTCCTGCCCATGTTCCTTTCCACACTTCTGTCCCCAATGCTCTGAGTTGTGAGATCTACTTTCTCCCTGGGAGTTCCCTTTTCTCACAGTGATGGCTGTGTTGGCAGAGCTGTACCTCAAGGTTTCCTATGCACCACAGAACAGGAAATTCTCAGATTTAAGGAGGTGCAAAGGTATCAAAGAGTTTAGGTCATTTCACTCAGGTAAGACCTGAAGGTCATTTGAGGTCTTATGATAACTAGAAAACCTAATGAATGGGGCTAGACTGCACCGTTCAGTGGTGCACTCAAAGGTGGTCTGTGTGCATAGAACTGAGAATGTCTTAGATTTGTCCTCAGCAGAATGGAGGGTTTTGGGGGCCAGGGCACATCTGTCTTGTTCACAGCACATCCCAGTGTCTAGAACAGTGACTGGCAAACAGTAGAAGTTCCATAAACTTTGTGGATGGATGGATGGATGGACAGATGAAGAGTTATCTTGTGTAATCGTCTTCCCAATCCTCCCTTCTTATGTCTTTAGGAAAGAAGCAGCTGTGACTCAAAAGCAACACTGGAACAAGAAAATTGTGAATCCCATTTTTCCCTATCCCAACCCCACAAAACAGGTGGTGCCACTAGCCAGTGTCTCTTCTCAGCCCAAGGAGTTTACAAGAGACCATGGGACAGATGTGATGTGGGAGGCATACATGCTGCAAAGTCCTGAGTTTCTACTTGTTAATGTCTGTATGTACATGCAAGTAAGAACCACTAGCCACCAACCCTTCCACAGGACAATCTGGTTCTCTTTTTCTTCATAAGGTTCATATAATTAATTTCTCAATTTTTTATTGTTCCTCTGCTTATGATAACACAATTACATATTCAGGAAAAATGTGTGGTAGGGCGGAAGGGAACTTCCTTCCTTCTGCCTGCCATCTGGCTTCCACAGCCCCTCTCTCATTCTTACAGGAATCATTTCATGAAAGAAAACAATCTGTTTGCACACAAGTAGTATGAAATGCAGAGCCCATTTTCAGAAGGGGAAGCTGACATAACTGAGCAATGTCTATGGACCACAGATTCACTGAGTGCTCCACATGTCATCATGTCATCTCAGTAAGTCCTCATGAGATGACAATGCAGCACCAGCTCTGCTACAGAGGCAACAGTTCAGAGGCCACTCCCCATCCAAGGTGACAAGCCAGTCCTCAGAAGAGGAACCCAGCCAGCAATTGGACTCTGGTTCTTAATCTGCACAACTCACTGTGTAAATCTTTAGGAGGATCCTAAAGGAGATAAAGGTTTGAGTCTTAAACACTGTGATTCATGTGGTAGAAAAGGGGTGGAGGGAAACACCTATAAGAACTCTTTTTTTGGTCTGGTGGAGTGGCTCAAGAGATAAGAACACCTACTTAGCAAGCATGAGGTCCTCAATTCTGAAAAAAAAAACACCCTCTTTTTTTCTTTTAATGCCTCTAAGCCTCTCCAGCTTTGCATTTATATACTATGTGCATTCCAAAAATAGCTGGTCTTTGAGTATACTGCTTAGAGTTAAGTTTAAATGACAGATACTAAAAAATAAAGGCCCAAATCCAAAAAAAGAAACCTGGTAACCAGCCTCAGCTGGAAGGTGGACATGGATTGGGGCTCTGATCACTGTTACCCAGATTGCTTCCTGAACTGACATTACCCAGGAAGCAGCCCTCCAAGGGCCAGGACTGGCATTCTACAGTTTAAGGTATGGTTTTAGAAGAACTATACCTCAACAATTTTGAGAATGTGTTTTAGGTTGTAAACCTATCTTCAAAAAGGCTAAGATTATTCTGATAGAAACCTGGACAAGTAACAGATCCAGTCACACCCCTGAAATTAAATGCTTAAGCACAACTGTAGAATGAGCAACCCCCCCACACCTACTCCCCAGTAGCAGCCGAGGTTCCTTCTCTCTAACCTAGGATCTTGAGGGCCTGGCAGTGTTCTCACCTATGAGAGATTGAGTTAACTTTTTATTATTCTAGCCAAAGGAGAAATTCTGTTCAGGGTGTTTAACTTGACTTGATTCTGTTGCCTACTTGTTAAAATAAACTGCAAGCTGAAGGCATTAAGATCCAACTATAAGTACATCTGCTGATGAAATATTATGAAGTCACTGAAAAAGGTGGCTACAAAATACACATTCCCACATGAGAAAAAGCATGGGATGTAAAGCAAAAAAATGCAGGCTCAAAATCGATACAGGCCAAATAATTATGTTATGCACCTCCTGGCTGTCACAAAAATAAACTTAGTTTTTGTTTTTTTTTTTTTTGAAAGCAGATTATAAATAGACTTCTGCAACTGTAGAAGGTTGGTTGATTTGTGATTATTTGTATTTCTCAAATTTTCTTTAATATCCATGCTTATTTTTAAAAACCGTATTACTCTCATTATATAAAAAAAAGAGTCTGATTTAAGAAAGAGAACGGGAGAGCCAGCAAACGGTCCTGTTTCATGAGTACTCTAATAGCAAGTATTCTAAGTTAAGAAATAGCTCTTCCTCTACAGCACCGTCTTCTTGACCCATGGGAAAGTAAGGGGTGCATCCAAATTAAGAAAGACACACCAAGACTTCACCCCCCTCACCTCTCAGTCCTAGGAGGCTGGGACTGGGCATGTGGGTTTTGTAAATGTTGACATAGGAATCTCATATATAACAAATTAAAATATTTTACTCTGGATAAACATAATAACTGTCCATTTAGAGTCACTGGATATTATAAACTGTAGCTGCTGCTTTTCTTGCTTGATCTAATTTAACCATTCCCCATTTCTGCCAGATATCGCCATTCTGCAGATGACCACCATTTGGCCTGTTGTTACAGAGCTGAAATTATAACCTGGGTTACTCCACCTCTATGGTATGTCCTTTCTACCCCACCTCAAGACTGCACGATAGAGAAAAGAATGGAAACTGAAGAAGTAACAAGGCCAGCCCCTGGCCCACCTGTTCCCCGCCCGTGAACACACTTAGTATTCAGAACAGTTGACAGCAAGCATGAACAAAGCCAGTCTTCCTTTAGTGCATGCACTATTAGTACGGATGCAAGCGGGCACGGTTAGAATGACGGGTTAGTGACAGGCATTAATGCACGGATATGATCATACAATAGCAAAAACGCTTGGCCAATCAGGTGCCTTTTCCTTACCATTAAATATTCCAATTTCAGTTCTTACTGAATATGGCAGGTCATACATCTAAATTATTTAATAAAATGTTTAAATTAGAACACTTTTTGCTAAAACCTATGACTTTAAAAGCAGAAAGATGTAGACTCTTACTTGGGACATTAAAACTCTTCTGCCTTCTGGAATTGTGAAGAGCTAGACAATGACAGAATCCTGCTTCACAGGGTTCAGTTCTGGCAGAGTGCAGGGAGGTGGCTACCAAACCTGCTTGACAAAAGTGATCTCCTCAAGGGTTTACCTTAATCCAGCTCTCCAAAATGAACTGCTTCAGTGAATAGCCTGTGTTCAGGAGTTTGCCCGTCTGAAGTTCTAAGTGAAAACATGATGGCATAAAAAGGGGCCACCATGTCCAAGGGAGTTAATTCTCTTCTTCTCGAAACCCCAGGGCTATATCCAAGAATAGTTAACAGCAGCACAATCAACACTAACAGATTCCTATGTTCTAAATGCTGGCTTTTTGTGCACTTGAAAGGCAGTGCAGGGGGTTTTGAGGTATTACAGGTTAGTTCTTTAATACGGAGGTAAGAATGGTGACCTGGAATTTCTCATGTTAGAATTCATAGCACAGACTGGCTTTTAAATATTTAGCTAATATCTTAAGGGAAAATATTTTTAAATGTTAAAAAAAGTTCACCTATCTAATAGTTATTGGTGCTGATCAATAAAACAACTTTCTGAAGCCAGGTGCTGATGGCTCACGCCTATAATTCTAGTTACTTGAGAGGCTGAGATCAGGAGAATCAGTGTTCAGGGCCAGCCCAGAAAAAATAAATAAATAAAATAAAATTCATGAGAACCCATCTCAATGGGAAAAAAAGATAGGCATGGGAAATGTAAAACAGGAAGACCAAGGTCCAGGCAGGCTTGGGCAAAAAGCATGATCCTATATCCAAAATAACCAAAATAAAAGGGGCTGGAGGCATGGCTCAAGCAGTAGAGAATCTGCCTCCACACACGAAGTCCTGAGTTCAAATCCCAGTACCATCAAGGTGTAAATAATAACAAAAACCATTTTTGGCATAAAGACACCTAGATCATGATGATATTATAGAACAGGCATAATTTTGGTTTACAGTCTTCCATCTAAGTAAAAGGAAAGCTCTAGGAATAAATTCTGGTGTGTCACAAGCATTAAAATGTTAAAAGGCTCAGCCTCAATTAGGATTTAATCACTTGACTGTATAAATGATCTCTATGCCTCACTGGGCACTGCCAGCCTAAGGAAGGAGGAAGGTTGAAACATGTCTGTGCCTTCTCAACATTTTCTAAGTTACACTCTGCTTTTCCTTCTGGTGTCTACATGAAGTCTTACTGAGCTGCGAGCACTCGCTATGTGCTCCACAAACGGCTGAATGCCCAGCTGAAAGCAATGGTACAGTAAGGAGAGCATTCTGCTGTGTAGCATGAGCATCAAGGCAGATTTGGAGAAGCCTCACAGCGCCTTTTAAAAAGCTCATACAGTTTAAGAAAGCAAAACTTACAATTAAGCATGCTAGACTACAAAGGGGTTTAAAGGAATTCAGGGAAGGATCATTGGGGGGGGGGGAACCTTTTTTTGTTTTTGGTCCTGAGAATTTCACATCAATTAAAAAGCTCCATGCAGTTAACTTGCACTTAAGATACAAAAAATTAAAAATTAAAGCTCAAGACAGAAAGGACACAATTTTCTGCACTGATGACACTGAGGCCTTTCTTGTTGGATGGTGATGAGCCAATCAATGACAGGTAAATGGCACTGAGAAGAGCAGAATGCTTGTGAAAGGCTTACCAAAAAAGAAAGAAAATATCTTTCGTATCTGAGCTCTCACTCTACTGACATCTACCTCTTGGATTCGGACATTGCAGCTCAAAGTGCTTCTGACAGAAACAAAGGAACTTCCACATGCTACAGAACAGATGGCCTGCCACTGCGAGGGCATGGGGTCAGCGGCCACTCTGGAGCAGAGTCAAAAGCACGCACACGGGATGCGGCTAAGCAGGAGCAGTTGGAGCTGCGGTTCAAGCTGCTTGGGGGGGCGGTTACAGACCTTAGTCCTGGAAACCTTCCCCACCTGTGAGGGCACTAGGAAGGACATCTATTGGGAAACAAACAAGCAAACAAACCAATGTGGCTTTATGGTTTTCAAAATAAACACTCTGATGTCATAAGAAAAGTTATTAACATTTATAATGTGCAAACTGTGCATTATATTCCTGAAAAAAAAAGTTAGTGAAAGACATTGTTTATATCTAGTTAACCCTTATTACCAGGGGTACCAGCTCTGGGTGCAGTTCAGGGCCTTTCTCAAATATGCTTTCTCTCAATCTGCAGCTAGGCTGCTGTAACTAAGAGGAGGCTGTGGGGAGGAAGGATGTGGAGCTCCGAGTTCTCATTTTTAAAACACACTAACAATAGCTATTCATCTTTCAGTTAAGTAGTAATTCTGAGGATGTGGGATGGAAGTATTTATCGTAATTAAATAAAACGGTCATATTTTGGGCTGCTTATAAAAAAACATCCATTAGGGTACCACCTCCAAAATAAGCCTCCACTAGGTCACAAGAAATTCTTGACTTCTCTTCTCTCACAAACTACTTGAGCTAACCTCTGACATGCTGAGATTCTGAGATCTGCCTTCCTCAAACAGCCAACTTCGCATAAGCCAGGCTGAAGTTCTTCACTTACTCTTGGGAGGAAAATGAGCATTTCGTTTAGGCTTCACTAAGAACCGAACCTTCATGCTCATGAGGTAAGGTGTTTTCCACCTGGATAAAAAGTCCTCGTACTTTGAAATCCCTAACTGTAGATCTGTCTTAAACAGCAATGCTGAAGACCCGGGAGTAGGTACACGAGGCAACTCAGCCTCTGTGATTTTGGCGCACCCGTGCTGACGTGGGCCAGTGACGCCTGCCCGGTCCCCTCCCCACTCACCAGTGACTCTGGAGGCGGTGGGCGCTGCACTGACGCTGGCGCTGGCGAGGCCATCACCCGGGTGCCCGGGAGGGTGCGGGGGCGGGGGCACGCTGGGCCGGTTCCTGGGCTTGGGCACTGGCCTGGGCCTCGGCAGGGTCCCCGCGTGCGGCTGCAGGGACTCGGCCTGGGCCTGGGCGAGCGCAGGGCTCTGCTTTCCGAGGGGCGGAGTGCTGGGCGGTGTGGGCGTCCGCGGCGGCGAGTGCGGCGGCTGCTCTGGTCCCGGTGCCTGCGGCAGTGAGGCCTGTGTGGGGGGCTGCGGTGGCGGGTGGCTGGGTGCTTGGATGGGGTTCAGGCTCCCCGAACACCGCCGGGGCGCAGAGAGCAGCGGGGCGCCCGCCGGCTGTGCAGGAGGCGGCGATGGACTGCGGGGGCCCGGCTTCGGGGACAGGCTGGGTGTCGGCTGGGTCGCTCCAGCTCCGGGGGAGCTCTGGCCCCCGGGGTACCCAGGGGGCGGGTTTCCTGGTTTTGGGGGTGCTGGAGCGGGTTTTTTAACAGCTGCACATAGGGGGAAAAAAACCAAAAACACTGTTCAGTGAGAGCAGCAAGGTGCTAGCAGCACTACTTCAGCCAGGGTTGCAAGGCTCAGCTGAGTGGAATAAGCCATGCCGTGTCACTTGTACCCCACCACTAGGAGGAGGGGTCAGGAGGGTACCCATGGTGTCAGCCCCACCTGTCCATCTGGAAGGACCAGTGCTCCAACTGTGAAAGCCAAGTGTGAAAACCAGGGGAAGACCGAATCTGCCTTAGTGGAGTGTGGACTCCTGGTCAGGACCCCAGGAAAACACTAGGGAAATCCCAGCCCAGCGTGGAGCCTAAATGGGTGGTTATGCACCAACAGTGGTCTCTGGCTGTGGTGTGTACCATGGTGGTACCAGAGTAAAATTAACAACAGGGGAAACTGGATGGAGGGGATATGGGAGCAACTTTTCTGTAAGTCTCAGTTATTCCAAAATAGAAAGTTTATTTAAACAATCAAGTGCAAAGGGCTGGGGTGACTCAGTGTACAGCACCTGCCTCGCAAGCACCAGGCCCTGGGTCAGTACTGCCACAAAAAAAGAAAAAAAAAAGTCAAGTGCATTTGAACACCTTTGAGCCTGTCATTTGGCTGCCTCACTCATAGGAAAGCTGTCCCAGTCTCCTCGGCAGCCTCAGCCAATGATCTCTCGCAGGACCCCAGAGCATGAAACAGAGGGGACGGCATAGCACCCTTGGCCTACCTTAGCTCACAATGGCCCTCCCAAGCCATCTTCTCCTAAGGGTTTGATTTACACACACATACACACACACAAAGAAAGAAAGAAAAAAAACCCAGAAATTCTACCAATTCTAGTCCAGACTCATTTGAGTGAATAGATCTATTCTGGAAGAGTTGCCTTAGAATTATTTCTGAAAAGAATACTAAATCAGCATCCCTGTCCTCAGGCACCAGCTGAGATCCGGGGTGGGAATTTGGCATGGAGGACAGTAGGATGGAAAAGAACAGAAGGAGCAGAAAGCAGAGCACTGTTAGATTTCTGCTGAGACCCACTGATCCTCCAGAAAGGGAGAAGGAAATGAAGAAAGAAATGAGCATGTGCCACTCAACCCAGCAATCACGTGCATGCCAGGCCCACTTCAGAAAAGAGCTCATGTTCCTCTCACTAACTCACTGCATCCCTGGCCCTGTGATACGCATTTCACAGCAGAAAAAACTGAGGCTTAGAGAGGGCAAGTGTTTTGTAAGAGATTACACAGCTAGGAAATGGCAGAACAGAGATCACACCCATGTCATGTACTCTTTTTCCTCTTCCTCCTTCCCACATCACCTGGCTCCCTGTTCACAGTGCCTAGAATTCAATATTGATAAGGGTGAATGAAGTCTCTTCTGCTATGTTGGCTTAGAACTTTCGACTCCAGGAACTCAGAAGACCTTTTCCACAGAAATACCCAACTAGCTTACAAAGTAAGAGACCTTTCAGATATCACCCATACTCTGGTTGCCATAAACACCTTTTAAAAAAAAAAAGTATTTTTGCTATGCTAAGCAATACTAACTGAAAATTCATATTGACTAAAAGATCACCCCTAACACCTCAGTGCAGAGGGAACTAGGAAAGGAAGCACAGGAGTAGCTGCACAGGCGATGGGGCCTGTGTCCCCTGCTGGGGCAAAGCTGGGAGAAAATGTAGAAAAATCTGTTCCCAGGCTTCATGACCTGGCTCCCTGCACTAACCCCAGGAGGCCTGCATACCCTCCCCAAGGGCAGGAACAGAGGTACTTACCCCGGCGCAGAGTGTGGGGGCTGGGGCCAGCAGCATTATGAGCAGGGCCTGCCGCAAGCTGGTGGGAGCCACCGCCTGCCTGGGCCTGGTTTTGGCCAGTGGTCATCTGACTGCTGTTTCTCCCAGGTGCAGCGACAGCTACAGATACAGAGTCCTTGGGTTTTGGAGGACTAAGGGGAGTATAAGGCAAGTTAGATGTCAGACATTCTCAGCTAGCAAAGCTAAACATACTACAAAATATAGCTGTCCTTTGTTATCCCAGGAGGCTTGATATGAGGACTTTCCACAGATACCAAAATGCAAGGATCCTCAAAACCCCTTATATAAAATGAGGTCATATTTGAATGACTATCAACATCCTCCTGTGTACTTTAAATCATCTCTGGATTATTTATCATACCAAATACATTGTACATGCTATGGAAATGCTGTATTGTATTTATATGGTTATACTGTATTGTTTAGGGAATAATGACAAGAACAAAGTCTGTATTCAGTAAAGACAGGATTTTAAAATATATGCACTTCTAACCAGCGGTTGGTTGAATCTGTGGATACAGGAACCCAGAGACACAGAAAGCCAACTTGAAACAGTTCACATTGGCCCATAAAGCTAGCGACTACTTAAAGACTGCATTTCTTTTTGAGATTCCCTGCATCAGACTGACTACTCTGCCACTCAAACGTCATGTTAAAGGCTATTTCAAAGGAGTCCACAATAAACCTCAAGTTCTACTTTGCTTGTACTTAAAATGGGCAATATCTTAAAAAATGAAGAGTGGTTTTATATATAGTACAAAACTAAGTAAAAAACAATTATTTGGTCTTTAGGAAAGAGAAACTCCAAGAAGCTAAGTGGTGACTCCTGGCCAGAGCTGACAGTAGCAGGGAAGGGGCCAGAACTCAAGCTTCCTACTTCCTGGACCAGAACTTTCTATGCCAAACATTACAGTGATACTCTGTTAAGGTCACCAAGGAGTGAATACCATCAGTGAAATGTACATGAAAATACTACAGAGTATTAAAAAAAAGGAACAAATTGATGACTGACATTCCATTTGTCCTCCTGCAGTGACTAAATATTTATTTTTTTAGTTAAGCTGTGGTTTAAAATATTTAGTCTTGATTAAACAAACTGAATGTCACGAGGAAAGGAAAATTTATAAATCTGCTTAAATATCTTTTTCTCAAATATCAAAAATCTAAACCCAAACAAATACATGTATGGAGCAGCAGTTATGGAGAAGCCCATGTGGAGCCAGTATGAAACCCTGTAAGTTTGGAGCCTTAATTTTTCTTAACTGGAAAATGAACTTTCCAAGATTATGTGAGTTAAAATGGATTCAGGAATGCACAAAGCATCCAGAGTCCAGCTATGATGTCTGAACAGAGTGCTTATCTTATAAGCAACATCACATACTACAAGACTCTCTATCAACAACCAAAGAAGATAAATGAAACAGTTCTCCCAATGTGAAATCATCTCTGTGTGGGGAAAAGCAATGCATGAACAAACAGGCCATCCTCATTTTATTCACATTTACTTCACTCCATGTATGACCACTGAGTGCTTGGTAGATGGCCAACATATAGCAAGTGACAAGAATTTTAGTGCACACTGTGTGGCAGGGCTCATCTTTTATAGCAGCTGCCAGTTCTGAGCCACAAGAGAAGCCACCATGTGGCCTCTGCCAGGATCAGTGTGCAGAACTGAATCAACACAAATTAAATAAAACCCTCACATTCAGAGGTACTTTCTCTCTCTTTCTCTCTCTCTCTTTTATGGTACTAGGTTTTTAACTCAGGGCTTCATGATTACAAAGCAGGTGCTCTACCTCTTGAGCCCCATCTCCAGTCTATTTGGCTCTGGTTATTTTGGAGATGGAGTCTAGAGCTATTTGCCAGGGTTGGCCTTTAACTGCAATCCTGATCTCAGCTTCCCAAGTAGCTAGGATTATAGGTGTGAGCCATTAGCGCCCAGCAAAAGGCACCTTCTCTTAAAGTTGCTGCTATACTGTGCTATCGCCCACTCTCGATGGCTTATAAAAAGGTTACACAATCAAAAGAGCGTTTTAAGAAAAAAATGTCATCTTATTTTCAACCTTGTACCCATGTGCCAGATCCCCTACAAAACTAACAGCCCCAAAGGGAGGGGGCCTTAGGCACCTGGTGCGCCTAGTAGAGTGCCTGGCCCGTACCAGTTACTCAGTGAGTCTGTGTGACTGAGAAAGTTAGAAGGCGTGTGAATGAGTCACATGGCAGGAATTCTAGTGCTGAACTAACCTGCTACATTCAAATGCTTCCTGGCTAGCACGGTGAATGACAACAAGCACATGGCACATGGACACTGATGGCTACACAAGACAGGTACAGAGGTCGGTCACACTGTTAGACACCTCTTAGCCTCTGGTTTCAAGCACCAAAGCAGTATAGTAAAGAATGCAAACAAAAGTTGCTTTTCTGTGAAAAGAGAAAAGGAAGCAAGCGACTTGCAGTCTTTTTCTCTACTCTTTGTTAACCAGAAGAGTGAAGGCAAGTTCAATTCACTCTTCATCAGGCTGGTTCCTTGGACCTGAACGGCATACCCAAAGGCACCACCTGTGAGAAGATTCTGTGGCGTCCGCTGCCAGCAGAAGTGGGCTCCTTACCTGCTATCACCCAGGCTTGGCCCCTGCTCCAGTATGCCTGCAGTGGAGGTGACAGTCCCACCCCCTGAGCTGCTTTCAGCCCTAGAGCTCTGGGAAGGGGGCTCTGGGCTTGCTGGAGCCAAGGTGCTGCCATCCGTGGGTGGGAGTGGCGGCTGGAAAGCGGGGGATATATGCTTTCTATTTAAAGTGCCACTGCGCCGGTGGGCCTGGAAGTCCATAAGCTTCACACCAAAGCTACACAGAGAGAAGAAACAGTCAGCACACCAAGCAAGCCGACTACAGAGACAGAAGCCCGATGGTTTTCATGTGTTAAAAACATACACAAGGACAGCCACCCAAGCTGCCCAGCATGCAGAAAAGTAACAAGGACCACACTAATGGTCATACCCATTACCAAAGCAAGCACTCATCTTGGCTTCCAACCTGAGCAAAGCCAACAACCTGGTACTGATTAATATCATTGATCAGTTTGAAGTGAGCAGCTGAGAGCAAACAAGCAGGTCTTATCTTGAGTGACATCACAGTAATGTGCTTATTTCCTCATTACTTAATTCCTGCCTCCAATCCATGTCTGGGAAATGAGGTGGAAGCTGAGTCCAGAAGGCCTACTGATGGCAAGGTAAAGTCACCATGCCACATGCCTCATAAATGGACATTGAAGCATGCATGTGTACATAGGAAAAGATATATCTGAAAGATATGACAGATTGGAAAAATAGTTGTTTTGGGGAAGAACGGTGGCTGGGCATTAGGATGGAAGGAAGAAGCACTTCACTTAAGCCCATCAATGTATGAACTTGAAAACTTTCTTTTTTTCCTTCAGTTCAAAAACTAAAAAGATACACACTTCCCTGGGCTGTGTTTACTAGGTCAGCTGGCAGGGAGAATCCACTGAGGCAGATAACTGAGCATTGTGTATCATGTGCTAACCAGACTTGTAACACCAGATTTTATAGCTTAAAATACATACATGAAGTTAATTTTGTTATGGATAGAGTAATATTCAAGAGGAATGCAGCTCCTGTGTAGGTGAAACTTCTACACAGAATAAGTTTTAGAGAGAGAATAGGAAGGCAAAGCATTTTTCTTTTATGTGAGTACCTCCCCTGCCCACCCCCCAACAAAAAAACTCCCAAACAAAAAAAAACCCATGCCTCACTATAAGATTGGGCAATTAAAATAAGAACTTGTGTAGCTTTAATGTAAACCATTCCCACTAATATTACATATATGAAGGAAAGCACATTACTTCAAACAGGCCTCTTAACTCTTAGCATTACTGGTGAACATTACAGTGGCACTTCATTACCCATACTGGATAGGCGGCATTTGAAGGCAAAAATCAAAATAGCCAATTACCCTTGAAAATCTCAGAAACTGCCCACAGAGAACAGTAAAGAGATAGACTGCCTCTTACAAAGTTCAATACAGTCATTTTTTCCTCCTGAATTAGCTAATACCGAGGTTTCTCTGGCTGAACTTCATTACAAGGACAAATAATGCTAAAAATAGACTCTTTAAATAGCAAATGACACATCTCAACTGAGATGTGAGCTGTTCTCACACACAATCCTGGAAAAATGTCCATACTAGCTGGTTCTTCTTTGCTTGTTTCCTACCAACCAAATACATTTAGGCAAGTGTGCAGTGTGTGTGATGCCCTTCCACCACTGGTGTTACGTAAAGCTTGATGCAGTTAACTGATAAGCTACAGACCTACTTCAAGGTCAGATTAATACTTGCAGTGACCTATAGCAAGCTTCCTCAATTATCTACACTCTATCAGTCAGGGGTGCATAGGGACCCACTGAGCCAGTACCAGATAGCACGGATCTAAATGTTCTACGTGATTTACAAGTGAACAGCTCTAAACACACCTCTCCTTCTTTACCAAGTCCCCTTCCATCACTGCCATGCTGGCTGGCCGCTTCCTCTCCAAGGTCCCAGAGTCAGAGTCATTTCCAGTGTGGGATGAGTGATTGGAATTCGGGGTGGTGAGAGGAACAAATGCTTCTGATACATTAAATTCCACCTCTGCAAGAAAGGACATTAACAAGTGCATGACACATGGAGCACAGGGGTACAGTCCTGGAACAGGACCCTCATTTTGTTTTTCTCTTTAAATGTGTAGTTTATTATATATCAATTATGCCTAATAAGATGCTTAGATGAATTAATCCTAGCGAAGCTAGATCTATGAATCACTCTTGTAGGAGCCTGTGGTAGAGGAGAGTCTTCGTGAATGTGGAGTCAAGATGAAGACCATTGGTCAGGGAACCCCAAAGAATGGCACAGCACGACCTCCACTGAGATTCATCCAGGGTCCCTTCTGAGTCTTCTTGTGTATAGAAGATGAGGAGAGTTGAAGGTTGCTGGCTGAACCCTCCAACAGCAAACTAAACTTGTTATTTAACTTTCCACTAATGCTCTATGAAGGTAAGAGCACATATGCTGTCTGTGAGTGTGCCATGGCACAGTCAGGGGGAGTGCAGGTGACTGTCACTGCCTTGTGAGAATATCCAGTGAGAGTAAACACTAAGAAATTATGTAGTAATTTCAAAAGGTGATTCTATATCTATTCCTTCTAATAACAAATGGAAAAAGATTGGGTTGGGGCTTTGTATACCTTTATTTCACTTTTCTATGAAAATTTAGTATTTTATTGAAAAGGTTTCTATTATATAATTTTTCTTATACTTCTCAAAAAGAAAATGTTTCTATTCTATAATTTTTCTTATTTTATACATCTCAAAAATATCAGTCAATAATAGATGGGAAATTTTCAGAGCCGGTCTTAACTTGAGAAACTGTGGCCTCAAGTGTTCTCCTTGGGCCAGCTCTAGACACCATCAGAACACAAAATATACTTGTGTAGAGTGGAAAAAATGGTTACAATACTTATGCTGATATTATGAGAATTATTTAATGTCATGAGAAAATTATAGGGAGGGGGTGGGGGCAGGGGGGAGAAATGACCCAAGCCTTGTATGCACATATGAATTATAAATAAAAAAAAAAGAAAATTATCATGATATATGGGGAAACAAAGCAGATTACCGAAAGCAATGTCCAGAACAAGCCTGAGTTTGACCAAATTCACCCCATCTACATTAGTCTTTTTTAACCACCCTCCCCTCTTCCCACCTCCTTTTTAACAGTTTTTGGTAGGCTTCATTGTGCTGTTTCATACAATTTATATAATGTACTTCCATAATAATCACCCCCACCACCCTCCCTCTCCTTTCCCCCTCCTCCCACCCACTAACCCCCTAACAGTCCCCCTTTTACAACCATATCATGTATTACTATTTCAGGTCTAGATTCACATATGAGTGAAAGCATGCAGTATTTCTTTCTGAGCTTGGCTTCCCTCACTTAACATGAAGATCTCCAAGTTCAGTCTGCAAGCCTCCCTATTTCACAAGGGCAGCACTGGGAATGCTCATAAGAAGAGTGGGTTATCAACCCAGTGGGATGTGAAGAGAAAGTAAGAGACAGGAGGGGGATATTATGAATGTTAGTAAGTCACACAGCAATTCTGCCTTCTCTTTTGTGAAAACCATACAAACAGAAGACCACAATGAGTGTGGATTACTTATTCGAATCATTAACAAATTGACAGTTTTGATAGAAACTGGTAATAAAAGACAATGATAATAAAAGCAATAAAAGGCATAATGCAAGAACCATTTCCTTGAAGGATACCTTAGGCAGGATGCTAATATCCACCCATTAATCCATCACATTTTTACTAGGTAGCCTATATGAAGGAGGTGCAATTCTTGAGAAAGGAAGTAGAGAAGAACAGATGAGCCCAGGGTGCTCACTCTGCAGCTGGGCTGCTCTGGGGAAAGCGGGGGCGGGAGAATGTGGGCTCAATACATGCCCAACTTGGACCGTCCCCAAAGGAGCTCATGCGAACCTCTGTGGATCCAAGAACTGCAATGAATATACTTTAAAACTTGACCACTTACAGAATGAAATCCTAATTCTCTGACACAGCAACCCAGATCTTCCCAAACTGGCCCAATCAACCTCTCCTTCATTTTCCACCTTTGTGTGAACCTGACAACTACCTAGGTAGAGAAACAAAAAACCCTCTTGCACGTGGAAGCCCTGCATAATCAAATGTATATTGCTTCTGAAAAACAATCTCTGGCTTCTTTTTCCCAACACTTGAGTCTGTCAAATGTCTATATACCTAATATATAGCTATTTATATCTCTATATAAATCTTTATATCTCTAATCTGTCATGAGTAAGAATCTATTTGTTTAGGCCTTACACAGGGGCCTGAGTTCCTCCACATACTAGCAAACATATAGCACCTATTGGAGTATTCAGTATATACTTGTTGAGTATGTTTTCATGAAGCAAGTGAAATAATATGAACACAAATGAACAAAGTCTAGAAAGAAGTATGAAAAAGTGAAGGCAATTATGTAATCATGCTGTATTTTTTCTTCTTTAAAAGGCTTGCTATACTGTTACCACATTGCTTTAGCAGTCAACAAACTTGAAACAACACCTACCTCCAGGGAAGAACCAGTCTGCATGCTGGATTATGGGCTCAATCACTGCAACCACGTGGACAGATGTGGCAGCAGCCATCTCAGCCAGAGTTCTGCAAAGCAAGTTTACAAGTTAAAATGCTTCCCTGTGGCAGCCTTTAGTTTCTGCAAGTTGTGCCAGGAAAATTCAATTATTTTTAAAGGTAAATATTTAAATACAGATGTAAAACTTAACCCCATAAGTTTCTAGCCTATGAGTTTGGCAGTGATAGGCCAGGAGGAACAATTACCCTCCTGGCTCTCACTCCTTCCTCTGCAGGCACCAAACAGGTGATGTCAGAAAACTAGGGCATGTCAAAAGCTGGCTTTAAGCTAGTTAGGAATAAGGGTTGCATTTTCCTTCTGGTATAGCCTCATACCTGGAAGCTAGTGCTATAACCCAAGATCACCAAAACCACATTTGCCTACAATGACAGCACGAGTGTGCATTGTTACAGAAAACCTGAGCCCCCACACTCACACTGAAGATTGTCACATATATGCTCCGGTCCCCAGATGAGGGTCCGTAAGTTGAAAGTGTCAGGGTTCAGAAGGAAGAGAATAAATGAAAACCATTATTCCTGCCATCAAGCTCATCACCACCAAAGCAGACAACTAAGAAAACACGTTTTTCAGGATCTACCAAGCTTTAGGTTCTCACAGTAACCTTCAATGAGGCCTATTTAATGAATGGGGACACTTGACTCCCAGGACCCTGGATCTCAGGTCTGACAGCCTCAAACCCACCTTTCACCTACTATTATCATTCTGCTCCTCCACACCAGAACTTCACCTCATGTGCCAGCCAAACAAAAGGTCTAGCTTAAACTCCAGCTTGCAAACGCAAGCTCTGTGCAAATCCATCCTTCTCAACCTTCCTCCTATCTGAATTCTGATCAGCCTTCCTGTCTCAGAACCCTACTGGACTGTCTTCATGCCTAGAAAATTAACATATATTTACCTGCCATATTTATGAAATCATTTTTTAATGCTCAAGTTTTTAGTCTGTTTGGAATTTATTTGTTATATGATCTGTGTAATTAACTTTGTATATCTACTTATCTTTAACTTTACTTTATGATATTGGATCTTATAAATATTTTCCTGAAATAAGATTGGGCATACATGAATGAATGAGTTAATGAAACACCTTGATTTAAAAAGTCACACCATTTTTAATGGAAACTTGAGTAGTGCACAATCCTACAAAGTCAAACAGCAGTAATGGGAGGGAAGGAAAGGTGACAGTTAAGGACACAGGCCCTGGGATCTATCACTTCCCTGCCATGCAACCATAGCAAATTTACTGCTCCTCTCTCAAACTCAGAGTCCTCATCTGCAAAAATGAGGGTAAGTACTGCTTCAAAAGGTAACCTGTGAAGACTGAGATCATTACCATGCCAGTGACAGAGGCGATGGGCCTGGAAGCTTTCCAGTAGACCCTCCCACACACACACACTCCCCAGCCCCTCTTCTCCAAATCTACACTTCTGAATGCCAACAAAACCTTGATGGCTCCCAAAGGACCTGGAAAAATAAGTTTCAAATACGTCAGCAGCATGCATGAGTCCTTCTTATGTGTCTCTGACCTACCAAGGCACAGCTTCAGATCCCACCTTCACATTGTTCACAGCTCTCAATGCTGGAAACAAGGATCTTTCATGCCTGTGATGCCCTGGCTCACACAGGTCCACCTGCAGGAAACTACTTCACCAAGATAAAGCCAAGTGCTGCTCCTAACCAGCTTTCCCTGACCGCCCCAGCTTGCACCATGCGCCATCACCATAATACCAGTGTGTGGGAGGGTGTTAGAGCTGTTAAGAGAGTATGACACCCCAAAATATGTCCACTTTGGTATAAGGGTTACTTCAAGGTAAAGACACTTGAAAAATGGCAGATGCAAAAAGGGTGCTCCGACCTTTCTTTTTCTTCGAGAAAACTCCTATGTGAAAGGAGCCTGCTCCACAACAGAAGGGAAAGAAACATTTTTATCACCAGTGACAAGACATTGAGGCTGAAGGAAATCTATACAAACCTGTTACACTAATTCTTATCTTCCGTGTCCTGTCTCTACAGGTCACTGCCCTACCCCAACCCCTCTGTCTTGTCATACTTCTACAACTTGCTTGTTTTTTGTCTAACTTAGTGCAAACATTCGGCTGTAACTGCTCCTTTGGGGCTTTCTTTTCCTATGGGGACACCTAGGGCACACGTGAAAACCTGCATACTTTCCTCCTGTTAATCTGCTTTATGTCAAGTTCATTCTCAGGCCCAGTCAAGAACACTCAGGAAGGAAAGTTCACACACATACACACAGAAACGTGTGTCTATCTTATCACTGGTACAATGGCCATTGAGCTGCCCCAAAGCAGAGCTCCTTGAGGATGGGGACAACGTCTCATACATCTTTATGTCAACAGCATCAGGGACAGCACCCAGTTCACAGCTGTGTCCTGATTGTCAGCTGAAGTGTTTTTTAAGTTAGAATGGGTATCATGAGTTTTCTCATCCACCATTCCACTGAGTGGAAAGAAGGAATTAAAAAACATGACATGGGGACGGTTCACTTACCCTTCATTTTTGGCCCAAAGCAAGTTAGGGCCTAACACAATCGCTATGTTGCTGGGAGTCATTTTATTAACGTCACTGGTCTGAGCAAGCTTTGCAAGAAACTTGATTAAATACCTATGGAACAAAAGAGAAGGGGCAAGAGATGTCCTCTGGAATGTCTACAGGAACCAGAGTCTGGCTCAGGTGCAGCATTTTACACATTTTTTTGGTTTTTTTGGTGGGACTGGGGTTTGAATTTGGGGCTTCATGCTTGCAAAGCACACTCTACTGCTTGAGTCACACCTCAAGTTCATTTTGCTCTGGTTATTCTGGAGATGGGTCTGGAAAACTATCTGCCTGGGCTGGCCTCAAACCACTATCCTCCCTACCTCAGCCTCCCAAGTAGCTAGGATTACAGGTGTGAGCCACTGGAGCCCAGCTTACTCATTTCTTATGTACTTTCTTTCAGGAAACACATTAATGAGGATTTGGAAAGAGAAATTTCACCTTTACTTGCTGTATATAGCTAATCTACTTCCTCTTTATAGCCTATATATTTTACACATAAATTACATTGTGATTAATAGTGGCTCAATATATTTTTAACATAAATGTAGCAAAAATAAATAAAATATAAAAATAAAGGATTGGCAGAGTGCTCAAGTGAGAGGCCCTGAGTTAAGCCCCAGTACCAATAAATAAATAAATACATATAAACAAACAAATAGGTAAATAAATAAATAAAAATAAAGAAGCCAGATTCAGTGACTCCTACCTTGTAATCCTAGCTACTTGGGAGGTGGAAATTAGGAGGATCACAGTTCAAGGCCATCCACGGAAAAACTTATGACCCCATTTCAACCAACAGCTGGGCAAGGTGGCACATACCTGTCATCCTAAGCTACAAGGGAGGCTGTGACTGGGAGGATCACAGTTCCAGGCCAGCCAGGGCAAAAAAGTTTTTGAGACCCCATCTCAATGGATTGCTGGGTTTGGTGGCACGTCTATCATCCCAGCTGTGGTAGAAGCTTAAAATAGAGGAATCTTGATCCAGGCTGACCTGGGCCAAAAGCAAGACCCTATATCCAAAATAACCAGGGCAGAAAGGGCTGGAAATGTGGCTCAAGTGATAGAGTGCCTGCCTACCAAGTAAGAAGCCCTGAGTTTAAATCTCAGTACTGCCAGAAGAAGAAGAAAGAAAGAAGGGAGAAGAAGGAAGAAAAAGAAGAAACTGTAAACATTATGTCTTAAGAGAGGAATTAGGTAGAACTAGGTGGCTGGGGGATGGAAACTGGAAAGAGATTTTTCAATGTATATCTTTTGAATTTTGAACCCTGAGAATGCATTTCATATTTTCAAAAAAGCAATTAGTAAAAATTACAGAGTAAAAAAATAAAAAACAAGAACATACTAAAAGGTCAAATCCCAGCATGCTAAGAACTATAGGTGAGTTCCCACCAGAATACACTGAACAGATTAAGTAAATTTGTAACTCCAGTAAGATATTATACACAAGTGTCAATCCACTCATAAGGCAAGGCTGATACGGTATTAAAAGGGAGTATTTAGTTATCATTCGCTGGTAAATGGATGGAATTGGAGAACATCATTCTGAGTGAGGTTAGCCTGGCCCAAAAGACCAAAAATCGTATGTTCTCCCTCATATGTGGACATTAGATCAAGGGCAAACACAACAAGGGGATTGGACTTTGAGCACGTGATAAAAGCGAGAGCACACAAGGAAGGGGTGAGGATAGGTAAGACACCTAAAAAACTAGCTAGCATTTGTGGCCCTTAACGCAGAGAAACTAAAGAAGATACCTTAAAAGCAACTGAGGCCAATAGAAAAAGGGGACCAGGAACTAGAGAAAAGGTTAGATCAAAAAGAATTAACCTAGAAGGTAACACACACGCACAGGAAATTAATGTGAGTCAACTCCCTGTATAGCTATCCTTATCTCAACCAGCAAAAACCCTTGTTCATTCCTATTATTGCTTATACTCTCTCTACAACAAAATTAGAAATAAGGGCAAAATAGTTTCTGCTGGGTATTGAGGGGGGGAGCGGGAGGGGGTGGAGTGGGTGGTAAGGGAGGGGGTGGGGGCAGGGTGGAGAAATGAACCAAGCCTTGTATGCACATATGAATAATAAAAGGAAAAAAAAAAAAAAGAGAGCATTTAGTTCAACTCATGATAAAGACCAATACTGAACTGAAGATCAGGTAACATTGCAGACACATCTATAAAGTTTGGTTTTTTTTTTTGGTGGGACTGGAGGCTTAGTGCTTGCAAAGCAGGTGTTCTCCAGTGAGCCACACTTCAGTCCATTCACTCCATTTTGCTGTGGTTATTTTGGAGATGGGGTTTCACAGACTATTTCCCTGGATTGGCCTCAAACCTCTATCCTCTCTATCTCAGCCTCCAAAGCAGCTAGGATTACAGGTGTGAACCACTGGCTTGGCTGTAAAGTAATTTCTAAATATATCCTCTTAGAAAAGTGTCTTTGTTCGGTTTTAAATGACTTCACTTTCTGGGGCCACTTGTCCCCTTTTCTCTATGCCTCTTCAAAGTTACACATGAAGTCAAAGGGAAAACAGAACTAAATTCCAGAAGTTTGTCTCATGGCAACTTTCCTTAGAAATGTAATTATTTAGTAAAGTAATATATAATGTCCATAGTAGAATGATTCATGCTCTATTTTATATGAGGGATATTACAGGAAGCATGGCTATTGATTAATTTAGCATTTTACATACTGGACAATTTAGACTACAACCACACAAACTTTTCACAAGAATTTGCTAACAGTTGCAGTAGAAAATGATCAGATAACTTCACATGAACGCAGACATGACAATGATGCTTCAATGCATCACAACAATGTGTGTTAATCCCAATCCCAGCAGCTCCATGCTTCTCACCAAAGCTTTTCAAACATGCCAAGGACAGAGTTAATGAGCTGTGGGCTGGGATTAAACCAATCTTCACTCTACAAACACTTATTTATAGAATGCCAACTATACATACCTAAAGTTAACAAAATTTTGTGGTGGCAACTTCTGACATGTTCTCCATAAATCTTGAAGTTTTTTGTCTTGATCCTGCTCACTGAGAAAAAAATGGTATGCATTCAACTTATTAAAACACCTATTACTGACACCTGTATGAATATGCTACTAGTTTGGATCTGAAATGTCTCCCAAAGACCCACGTGTTAAAGACATGGTTCCTAGTCTGTGGTGTATTAGGAGGTGGTTAGATCATTGGGGACCCCAACACTTCCCACCTCTCTGCTTCCCAGCTGCTATGAGGTGAACAGTCCTCCTCTGCCACCATAGGCCTGAAGCAACAGGGCCAAGGGACCAAGGACTATAAACCTCTGAGTCAAAATAAACCTTTCCTCCTTTAAATTGGTTATTTCAGGTAGTCTGTCACAGCAGTGGAAAGCTGACAAAAATATACACTATATTAACAGTGATGCCTCGATCACCATTTTCCACAGTTTGAAGACAGCACAGGTTTGAGGGACTAAATAGGTTTGGAGTCAAATGCCAACTAACTCATTATATAACTAAGAGCAGGTAGTTGACTTCACTCAGACTCAATCTTCTGGCTTTGTAAAACCAGGTAAAAGTATTGATTCTCCTGAACAATTCTACTCAGAAGTAGAGCCAGATAAAACCATCCAGATCAACACTTGGCATAAGGAGACAGAATGCCACCAAACATGTGAATGTTCTAGACTGATCTAGAAAAATGTGCATCTAATGGGTGGCTTTATGGAGTCTTGGTTTCCTTATCCCAAGGGCAGTCTGGCACTCAGACCTCTGGGTTTTTCTTGCTCTTAAGCCTGCTTGAAGGCCCTAGGCCTAGAAGCCCCGTTCTGCTGTGGAGCAGTTGTTAAGAGCCCCAACACACCAATATTAGACATGACAAAGGGACAGAGCAGAGCAGGGTCAACTCTGCCACTAGGAAAGAGAATACTTAGAGGGCTTTCTGGTGTTCTAGGACAGAGGTTAAATACAATTACACTTTAGAGGACAGCCAATGTGTCACCAGGCTGGAGGACCATGCTGACAATTCTCGACTACAGAATTAATACACGAACAAATAGACACCTTCTTTACAAGGTTATTTCCCTCCTGGAAGTTGCGGTGTCTCAGGAAAGAGATGAGTTGAGGTGAGGAGGAAACAAAGAGGCTACCCAATCAAAGAAATCCCATGACTCCTACTTGACACTGACTGTTGGGTTCATTTAACTCAGTCACAGGCTAGACCCAGGCTGGGTCCTAGGATACAACAGTAACTAAGAAATTTTCTCTGAACTTAGAAATCTCTCCACCTAACAGGGACAAAAGCTCTTGTTCCACAATTACAGAGAAAAACTCCATTGAAAATATCTGGGAGAAGCAAATGGGAGGAAGTATAAATGATCAGAACAAATGGCTCAGAGATCATCATGGCCTGTGTGATGGGAGCGCAGGCAGATGGAGTTGGGGAGTGGAGGTAAGATTTATCCCCCTTCCCTTGGGGTGAATAATCAGGCACCTAGAAGAGGAAGCAGATCAGAACCATGAGGGAAGAGCAACAAGGAGGGAGGCTGGCTGGCCAAGGAGAAGATCCTACAACTTCTCAAGTAATACTGTCCTGCTTAAAACCAACTCTTCCTAGACAGGTTGAAGTTGGGGGTGGAGGAAAAGGGAAAGGGACACAGCCTTCGGGGTGGAGAGGCCTGCATCCCCCAGTGCTCATCACTGTTGTGGCCCCACTCCTTCCTAAGCCCCAGTTTCCTTGTATCTGTGAGGACAACAAGAACACCTGCCTCTTATGATGTTAAGGATTACAGGCGGCAACAGGTGCCAAGAATAGTACAGCACTAAGCAAACAGCAAATAATTAAGAAATATAGCACTGCTAATAATGTCCCCATTATATTGTTACCCAACTGAGTCTGCAAGCAGCTTAACAAGCCTGGTGCCAGTCATATAACACTTGGCCCAGTTACAGAGCTTTCTCTAATAGAAAGGGGATTTGAGATTGACCAATCGAGTCACGTGAGTGCTATTATATGTCAGCCACATAAATCTCACAAACTTAAACCAATGTATAACTCCTGCACTAATGACAACAATATTTTCACATTAAATGTAAACAGAACTGGAACACATATTATTTAATGTTAATTATGAAGCCTGGGAATAAAATGACTTATACATGGGGCACAGAATTTCATCATTTCTTTTACCTTTTAAAACTGTGTTCTTTAAACCTACCTTGCAACTTGTGTCCATTCCTCATACAGATTAAAAGTCATCAACGGTTCAGGCAATTCCCGCAAATAGGACTTCAAAGCACCTGAAACCATGAGCACTCTCTGAGTATGAGATGGGCTGAGGCCGGAAATCTTGGGGCATATTGTTTTGCAACTGCAGTTATCTCAGTTACAACCTTCCAAGGTGCAGAGAACAAATTCATAATGTAGCAATGCTGGTTAGAGGTGACATGCTCACAAAAGATATGCAGTCTTCAAAATGTATTGAAAGAGCAATAGAAAATAAAACTGGCTTTTTAAAGCCACCCTTGTAACAGAAATCATTTCTCCAGACAGATCTGGGATGTGGGAGTGAAAGGAGGGAAGAAGCACAGTGTGTCTCCAAAATATTTGCATTGTAAGATGTGTTTGCCTTTATTTAATAATGGGGAAGGGGGAGAGAAAACAAAGTAAGACAGAAGGAACAGATAGGGGTGTGTGTGTGTGTGTGTGTGTGTGTGTGTGTCCCTCCCGTACACATTGGGGGCTTTATCAGGAGAGCATTCTGCTTGAGTTACAATGGGGCTTTGAACTGATGAGCTCTCTGAGTAAGGGCTTGCCCACGGCGTGAGGAGTTCGATTCGCAGACGCTTCTGCAGCTCACCTGCTACAGCATGGGGGTCCGAGCAGAACTCATCCAGGTGAGAAGCAGAGCAGTCTAAAGCAGCTTTCAGCTTCTTCAACTTGGAGGCCCCAGCCCCTATTCGGAAAAGGCCCTAAAGGCAATGAAAAGCCATTACTACCAAGTGCAAGTTTTGAGTCTAGTACTGCATGGCTGAGAGGTCTGATGAAACTTTAGCACACCTCCATTTTATGACAGATGTCATACTGCCCACCTTGCAGGGCTGTTTCAAGGAATGGAGAGGCCCATGCATGTACCGAGAGCACAATGTAGTCTCTATGTTTTTGTGGTTTGGTTTTTTTTTTTTGAAACAAGGGTCTCACTATGTAGCCCAGGCTGACCTTGAACTCATAATCCTCTTGCCTCATCCTCTTGAGTACTGGGATTTCAGACATGTGTCACCATGCTCAGCTAGCAGTCCATTCTTAATCAATGCAAACTCCTGCCCAGACTTGTGCCCATCAGAATTCTATTTAAAGGCTGGCAGAGTGGCTCAAGTGGTATAGGGCCTACCTAGTGAGTGTGAGACCCTGAGTTCAAATCCCAGTATGATCCAAAAATAAAAAAATTTAATAGGACCCTATTTCTCTTAGGCAGCAGGGAGTGGGGGAATGACTTGGTCCATTTAAATCTTTTTTTTTACTTCCACAAGGTTTATAGTTCCAAATCATTGATTGCTATAGATTTTCTAAATTTAGGAACTTTTTTTTTTTTTTGATTGATGTCTCAGGGTCAGGTGCGGTGGTATATGCCTGCAATCCCATCACTCTGGAGGCTGAGGTGGGAAGATCACGAGTTTCAGGTCAGCCTTGGCTACATATTGGCACTTTGACTCAAAACAAACAAAATTAAAAAACTGACATCTCAAGAAAATTGTTAGACTAGGCTGCTAATCATTTTCTCTGACCTAACTTTGACTTAGAAAATGGAGAAAAAGATAAATGAATAGTCAACCAAGAGAGGCAGCAGTATGAAGGATACTGGACCAGGAATTAGAAGATGGGTTTCAAACAAAACAAATCCAGACAGGGACCTCGACACTCCTGATTCTTCCCTATGGGGGCTGTCCTGTACATTGTGGGACGTTGAATAGCATCCCGATCTCAATCTCCAGATGCTAGTGGCAACACTTCACTCCCAGTTGTGAGGACCAAAAATATCTCCATAACCTTATCAAACAACTGCCAGTGAGCAAAACTGGCCCCAGATGAAAAGCATCATACCAGGCTATCAGAAGTAGAATCATAGTGCTGGAAACTAATGTGAAGAGGCTTCCAGGTGGCCTCCTAGGTGCACTTCATCTGTGAATATCCATTAAGCTGTTCACCTAAGATATGTACTTTTTTGTATGTATGTTATGTATCAATAAACTTTTTTAAAGGGCAGGGGGGACAGGGAAGTCTTGCATTTTGATTCTGGCTCTGTCCTGGCATGCACTCTCTGAGTGCCGACTTTCTTATCTGTACAAAAAGGAATGAGAACTGTCCTGCTTGGTTCATGAGGATTGTTTTGGTAAGGATCCCATAAAATAAAATACATAAATGCACTCCAAAATAATTTGCACAAAGCTGGGAGCTGGTGGCTCACGCCTGTAATCCTTGCTACGAAGAAGGCAAAGATCAGGAGGATCACAACTTAAAGCTGGCACTGGGCAGACAGTTCTCAAGACCCTATCATGAAGAAGCCCATCATGAAAAGGGCTGGCAGAGTGGCTCAAGCCGTAAAAGCACCTGCCTAGCAAATGTGAGGCCCTGAGTTCAAACCCCAGTGCTGCAAAAAAAATTGTGCAGCCCTACACTGATGTAAAATTCTTCCTATCAATGATTACAATTAAAAATCACAACTCATGAAAGCTCTGATCCATTAGCACAACATGAATAAAAATCATAAACAGGTCTTAAAATGAAACAGATAAGACAAAAAAATGGTCGGCACATACTTCAAGCAGGTCAAGTGCATACTGTTCTGTGAGACTCAGTTCATTTATACACAGAAAGGTATGATGCACAGGGTCCCAATTTAAAAATATGAAAGACATGGGTCCAGGGATACCCACAAGGAGAGTGTAATAAAGGTGGGGGAAGTAGGTAGGGAGAGGCTGGTGCTCTGGGCAGAGGAAAAGGGCATGAAATCCTGGCATGCGGGACCCCGAAGCACTCCTTACCTCCTCCTTCATGCCCGTCTCCAGGAGCAGCATGACACAGGCTTCAATGGGGAGTGCAATCTCACGCCCGCTGCGTTTCAGGTGTTCTTCCAGAGGTGTCCCGAATGCTGGCTTCTCCGCCCACTTATCTAGAGCAGGAAACAGTCAGTAAGACACCTGACAACCTCATATGGTCCATGCTACTTTTTCCCCCAACCACCAAAGGGTTTTCTAGCAGGCTGGTAGCTGAGGCTCTGGATAAGGGGAAACACCTGTAGAGTGTGCTGTTGTAATTTACCATTTACAGAGCACAAGCTATGTACCAGCTGAGGCAGTCACTGTGGGACAGAAATCTGAGCATGCCCAGCAGCATCCCATGTGAGCTGCCCAGTACAGGTGGCAATGGTAGCCTTGGACCTGCACCATGCACCCTCAATATTGGTCAGGCCAGCGGCCTTGTGTTAAAACGCAGGATGTGTCTGAGCATACTGTCTTCATGGAAAAGAAATTTTTCTAGCCATGCAAAGTGGCACTGACCTCTTAGCTAGAGAATGAGAAAGACTCCTTCAATCTGAAAATGGAAATAATCCCAACATTTCAAACATTTGTCATACAGGACTAGAGATGGTCAAGGGGAATGCAAGTGAGGTACATCTCCCAGATATGCAGTGCTACATCCCCAACGGAACCCAAAACCCAAGTGTGAAAAAATGCAGCATCTGCAGCTCCCAAGCAGCTCAGGCTGAAGGCTATGATGATGGCAGAAAAGCAGTGTTTTATACAACTTTTGGGTCATAGGCCCTGCTTCCTACTACCACAGGTCTGAGGCAGCTCAGCACAAACACATGTAAGGAGGCAGTCAAACAGAAAGAAGAATTGAGAACACAGGTCTGCTGAATTAGAACGTAAGTCCTTGGCTGGATTTGGCCTGCCTGTGGGAATGGCAGAGATCTAGTGTTGTCTGGGAAGCACAGAGAAGCCAAAGAAGGAAACCACTAGTGAAAATGCTCCAGGAGAGATGTGACCGTGTCCCTCTTCAGGATAGGTGCACATCCTTCTCAGGTCCTTTAGAGCCACTTGTTCCTTAGCCACTCTGCTACTAGAAGACTGGATCTACAGTAGGTGATATTGTTGACTGTAGTATATTCTCTGAACCTCTTCACTACCTCCCTGTGGGTGGGCAGGGCCCATTACAACCTGCACATAGGGGAAGGAAGAAAAACAAAATCCCACAAATCCATAGGCCTGAGAACTTGTGAAAAGTTAAAATCTGATGGGAAGGCAAGTTGGGGAAGACTGAAGAAAGGACTGAGGGAAAGGAAGGCAGGGGACAAAAATGAAGAGCACACCACCTGCCATTCTCAGAATTGCAGGGGCCTCCTTGCGTCTCATCTGGTCCCAGCCCTGGCCCAGTGGAATTTCTAACAGAAAAAGTACCCAGAGGGCCTGGTGCTTCCCAGAGGAAGGGTCTCTGTGCCAGTCTTCTTAAAGGCCAGATCTTACCTGGGATACTTTGTCCCTTTTATTCAAAGCAATGATTCTCAACACAGGCTGAAAATGGCCACATGACCTTCCCCTAGGAGATATACCAGAATTGCCCAGGGGGATTCTGCACATGACACCTGCTGTTGCCTCACTGCAGCCCTGACCTGAAGTGCTGACAGGTGGGTATACACCAATCCTTTATTCAAACTTTTTAGTAGTAAATACACCTTGCCTTGGTGTACTGTTGGCAGAAGGTACAAATGAGAACCTGTGACCTAGAGACAATTCCAAGGGCAAACTCCACTTCAAGTGCTGTTCTTTCAAACAACAAGCCTACTATGTGCCAAGCTCTGCAATAGGCACACTCTCCACCCTCAGGATAAGAGCAACTGAATTGTGAAGAAAATACAAGACATACACATAAACACACAATAGCCACTAACAACGCAAGACATGACATGTTTGCTAAGTCATGGCAGATCAATGGTATAGACAAGGGTCGCAAACACAGTTGTCTACTGAGTCAGAGGTGGCACAGGTGCCTGGGCAGATTGGGAGCCCTTGGCAGTGGCCACACTGTGGGGCCAGATCAGTGTTCCATGGGGAAAGCGCATCAAGTGTTAACAGATCTTCTAAACTTTTAAGAGAAGACAGAAATAATGATTGTAACATGAAAGCATCTTATTTTTAAATGATGGGAACTAATTAAAAAAAATTTTAGTCAACATGGCTGTTTGCGACTTCTGGTATAGACCATCAATGCAAGAGCAATTCAGGAGATAAAACGTCACTGCTGGCTCCAGTGATCAGAGAAGACTTCTCAGAGGAAGTGAGCATGGAGGGGGTCTCAGATGGACAGGAATTAATAGGTCAAAAGCAGGCAAGCACATCTTGTGGAGAGCAACAGACTGAGAAAATACCAGGAATTGTGAGTATGAATGTTTTAAATGTCTTATCCCAGAGTTCAGGCACAAGAAGATGAGAGCACAGAGCAGAGAGGCCAGTGGGGACTGGGAAGAAGGCAAAGCACAGGGCAGAATTAACAGAACCCATCAAAGGGGTGAAAGAGCAAGGAGAACTGGCTCCAGGGTTTCAAAGCTGGTGGTTTGGAGAAAGGAGGGATCAAGGAGACAAGGAAAAGGAGGACAGCTGGAGTGTGGAGACTTGGTTTGCTGTCTGAGACTCATGGAGTGGAAGGCAAAGACCACATCTAAGGGAACTAATGCTTAAGATGTAGGTAAGAGGTAAAGCCATTGGGATGAGGGCATGTCCAGGAAGATAGAGGAGGGAGGAAGAGAGAGAACACAGGAGCGAGGATGAACCTCAGAAAAGGCTGGCTTCTAGGGTGGGGACAGAACTGGAGAAATGTGGAAAGAGAAGCCCATCATGTATAATGGGGAAGAGATGACCCAGACTGTGTCAACACTAAGATCTGGCTGGTGTTTTGAAAACTGTAATCTTTTTAAATTGAGCAGAATGGAGGCAAAAGCCAGAGAGCAAAGGGTTAAGAAGAGGAACAGTGGAAAGGAGTCATTCAAAGAGCCTACAGAAAAACGAAGGAGACAGAGATTAAACAGGCACTGAGTTCAAGCAGGTAGGGACTGAACAAACATCAACTGACTGACTGTCAATATTGGGCTCCCCCAAGAAGTATGAGGGGAGGGGCAGAAGGATAAAGTTAAACTTTTTTTTCCTATAGTAAGGACAAGCCGAACCGTTCTAAAAGCAGAGAACACAGGAGAAGTGGGAGGTATGAGGACAGGCAGAAGGAGGTAAGGGAGTGGCCTCAGAGAAAGACAGACCACCCTCCTTCCCAGCTATGCTTCCCACACACCAGCTCTCCTTGTTCCATCCCATACTACTCTCTGTTCCCCAGCATTTCCTGCTGGATTTCATTAGGGAAAATTATAGAAAGGGGCTGCCCAAGAAACCCAAACTTCTCTTGTTTGGGCTGGTTACTCAGGTCATCCCAATCAGAATTCCACTACTCCAAGGCTACAATGATGGTGTCTATTATCCTGTCCCAGGCAAGACCCAACCCACAGTGGGTATCTCATAAATACATGTGCTTGGTGTGAACTTGCCCAAGAGTCTGTCTCTTGGAAGGCTGAACACTTGCTACTGTGACCCAACATCATGGCTCGTGAACTGGGAAATCAGATCATTTAGGAAACAAGGGCAGCTTGTCCTATGAAGTAATGACACACTGCACCTGAGATTGCTCAAGACCTGGCTATGTGGTCAGTCAAGATAGACAATCTCCCTATTCCATAATCCAAACACTTTTTGAGGCACAGAGCCAGAGCCTGCTAGTACCTTTTGAAATTTAGAGGAAAAACAGCATTCTTGAGGGGGCCAGTATGTGTGCACATCCACAGAACACCACACATTTGCTCACCCTGCACAATCACATGGTCGTCATACTCAGCACCAGGCCTGATCCCCTTTTAGCTCAAGACCAATGAATCTGCAGGGTGAACCTGAGCTCCAAGTGTCAAGTCTATACCACAAACAAAATGCAGCTAACCCTCCATATCTGCAGGGTTTGTATCTGCAGATTCAATAACTACGGATAAAAAACACAAAACTGCTCTGTACTGAACATGTACACACTTCATTTTCTTGTCATTATTCCCTAAACCATGTCGTATAGCTACTATTTACACAGTACTTACATTGTACTATGTATTATAAGTAATGTAGAGATAACCTAAAGTATAGGGGGCTATGGGCAGGTTATATGTAAATCCTTCATTGATTTACATAAGGGTCTTGAGTACCCTGGGATTCTGGTGTCTTGCAGAGTCTTGGAGCTAATTCCCCCTGGACACTGAGGGGCAAATGTAGTAATCAGTAGGTATGAAGATGAAAGAACAATTTCTGCCCTGTTTGGCAAATCGGACAGAGGTGAGATGAACAGTTTAAATACACAACTTACAATTAAATGTCAAAGGAAAATTCAGTCCACTTGTGGAATAAAATCTGCCATGTGCAAAATATTAGTGCTGGTAAGAAGAGGAGCCTTGTGCAAAGGCAGAGGGTCTGAAGAGAGGCTTGTGGTCTTGAGCTCCAGCCACACTTATAAAGTGACTGATGATGTGCATCAAGGGTGGGCTTAAAGTTCTCTTTTGTAAAGTCTGAAATACTTCCTCTAGAATGGATGGATTCTCTGGGAGGCTCAAGGTCAGACTGAAGCCTAAGGAACAAATAACTGATTTGGAGAAAGATAATTAGATGCTAGACTATTTCAAGCCTTTAGAAGACAGAAAAATACACACACACTCCCTGAAGGAGTCAGTTTTCTGTTTGAGAGAAAGCTCAGAAGAACTGCCAATGTCCATTAGTGTGTTAATTTGGGTTTGGAAGAAATTAGAGAACATAGCAAGGAAGATGAGATTATACTAGGAAATAGCACCCTCCTTGGCAGAGGGGCTTCATCCAAAGGAAACGCATGCACAGGAGTCAGGGCAAAGAGCAGAGGCAGAGGGGCAGCGACAAGAAGGACATCAGCCAGCACGCATGGTACGTTACCTTGATGGGCTCGCATTTCGGGAAGGGCCTTTTCTAAGACTGCTAATGCTTTTCTATGGTAATCTGCTTGGGCTTCTAATAACTGAGAACAGACCCACATTCAAAAACAAAAGTAACGTTAGCATTGGATGGACACACACACAATGACTAAGCAAAACTAAAAATGAACTCTTGCAAATAAGTAAAAAGACTCAGTTTTTACAATGTCTTAACATTCTCTCAAGGGCAGGCACTTACCGTAACAAAGAACTTGCCGTACTCCCCTTCTTTGGCCATGAAGTTGTACATGTCTGCTGCAAGCTGGTCCTGGTACAGAAGAGAAGACACGGCATTGAAAAGATGAAAGAGAACATCCTGTGAGAATAATCCTCTGGGTCCTTAGATCAAAAAGCGACAAAACAGCCAGAGATTAACTGTCCATTTAACCGACTGGCACAACCACACACCAGACGACAGAAAGAACAGGGAGCTTATTACAGACTGACATAGGAAGATCTCCAAGGTACATTCTTAATCAACCTTGCTAGGAAGCAAAAGTATACAGCACTACAGATGATGTATTAAAAATACCCTCTCCTTTATGATAAATCTGGAAATGCTAGTTATGACTGTATTATAGGATAGCTGTGAAAGCAAGAAAATAAATTTTCTGAGTCCCTCGCATGCTTCTCCTCAAAAAAAAAAAGAAAGAGAAAAGGAAGGAATGGAAACAAAAAGCCAGAACGCTAAGTGTAAGTATAAGCTGTAATGACCTGGAGCAAATCTGTGCCAATGTGGTGATCGAGGTGTTTGAGCCTGACATTCATGTGGGGTCAAGCCAGAAAATGAAGCCTTAGGCCAATGAGGCACACACGGGGTACAGATGCATCATGCATAAAGACAAAATTCCTAGAGAACTACACTCTCAATTAAAAGGCAGATTAAAATAAATTCAATGTCAGCACACGGAAACAGTAGGGAAGTATATGTGTTTTGTGTAGGGTTCTGAGTCTGGAAAAGAAAAACAATATTATGAGATTTTTAGAACCTACTTTTATGAGAGCTTCAAGTTTGAGTTTACTGTATTTATGGCCCAGGAAATGCCAGAATGAGAACGTTTAATTAAAAATGGACCTGAACTATTAACTCTCTCTGGTGACACTAACTCCTAACTGCCAGGGTTCTCACAGATAAAATCCCTCTTAAAATGAGCTCAACACAAAATTACAAAATAAAATAATCCAGCCAGACAAGCTCCCACCACTCTCAAGGAGAACTTCAGGAAATACAATTGTCAGAGACTGTCAAAATATGTATATTTAAAATGATTAAAGGCTTTAAAAAGAAACAATAGGAAGAGAATACACTATCGAAAGCAGTTTTGAAGAATTAGGACTTCAGAAATGAAAAACACAGTAAAATTCAAAACTTAATCAGATCAGATATATCTAAAGAGTGAATAACTAAAAGAGAACCTAGATGTGAGGAAATTACCAAAAAGGTAATAAAAAAAGAAAACATTTTCATAAGTTTTCATCATTTGAAATACTGGCAAGTCATGATGTGAAAGCTGAAAAGAGACATCAGCCACCATGTACCAGAATTCTCATACCGCCAGCCAAATATGTGTGCATTAGACATTCAATAGGCAAGATGCAGGTCAGGGCAGACAGGAAGAAGACTGCTGGGTGAATGACAGATATTCTGAACACAAACAGCCAGTATGACACTATTTTATTAGAAGCATTTATTTGAATATGATCTTTTTAAACACAAAGACTATGGCATGACTTTGTGAGTTCAGTCTTAATATCTACTTTTTAAAATTATTTCAAACAGTTAACCACAAGAAGGAACTATAGCATGACCTGAGTAACTAAAAAAATAACTATTTACTAGAATAAAGGGACCAGTTTGGGATTCATGGTCGCAGGCTCACTAAGAGCAGGGGAAGTCTAAGTCAATCCTAAGACTCAACAAAGATCCATTTTTTTTTTTTTTTTGGTGGGACTGGGGTTTGACTCAGGGCTTTATACTGCACTGTGAAATATGACAAAGTAGCATGGAGAGTTCATGTTACTCTTGTTATTTTGGAGATGGAGGCTTTGCCCAGGCTGTCCTTGAACAATGATCATCCCTAACTCAGACTCCAAAGTAGTTAGGATTATAGGCATGATCCACCAGCACCAGGCCAGACACATTTCTTTACCACTAAAAAATAACATTCAGAATACATAGATGCATCAAGAATGAGATCACTTCACCATCTAATTAATCTGGAATTTAATTTATGAGATAAAAAGTTATATTTCAAGTTACAAACTGTTATAGCAACATTTTGAGAACAATCCTTCCTTTCCCAATGGATACATGATGACCAATTTGCTATATATTAAGTCTTACAACATTTGTTCTACAAAATCTATATTTTATACTGATCTGTTTTTATACTTACTATCATTTCAGATGCTGTAACTTTATGGTATATTTCCTCTCTCTCTTTCTCTCCTACTCTTTATTATAAATAAAGCCTAGTCAGGTTTTGATTACAAAATAATGTATAGTATTGGAAAATAAAGAAAACAAAGCTGCTTTTAATATCACCTAGAGTATTCTGAAAGGAATGATATAAAACATTAAATAATTTACAATATTTGACCTTTCATGCATCACATACAAAAAAAGATTGACGAAAGTACACATTGATTATGGAACTCCCATACCTTGCACTGTTCTACTTTATTTCCAGCTTCATCCATCTCTTCCTTTAGGGTATCTATTTTTGATGGAAGGCCCTGAAAGTTGGTACCTGAAGATTTGTGAGCCTGGTTCCACCTGCAAAGCAAAGCGATAGCCACTGTGAGAACTGGCTGCACACTCAACCTTAAAGAGTCAGGACCTAGTGAGACAGATACTTTCCCAAAAACTGACTCTACTTGGGATAGGTATCAATACCCAGGATGGATGCGTCACTTTTCTGAGTTTATCCTCTATGAACAAAAACAGACAAAAGCAGACATTAGTGTCCTGCCACAACAGGACTCGCCTACTGTTGGGGGTGACTATGCTCTGAGCATAACCAACAGGTCTTATCCCACACAAATCCCACTGCTGAAAAGCAGCCACAGAACCCTTTCCTGCAGTGCCCCGTCATAGAATCCTTGCCAAGAAGCACTCCTTTGCTCTTCTGCTCTGATCTAGAATTTTCCCTATGCTCCAAGGAACCTGCTCCTGCTCAAGGACTCCCTCATGATGTATCCTCTTGCCATCAGTGAGCTGTGATTATTTTTAGCAGTATAAGTCAGAACTTCAATAGTGTAGTGATGAAAACATTAAAAATACACATAGGGGACAGGCAGGGAATAATAATCTACAACAACTTTTATGTATTACAAATGTGCTTTGACCTTGTTTGTATACAGATGTGTATGGAAGTGTGGAAAGTTGTGACACTTTAAACTTAAACATAGATATCATACACATGCAGAAGGAAAACCCATGAGAGCACCTTATTAAACTTCCCAGACTGGCACTGCTCCCAAAATGTCATGTGCTGCCCACATCATATTCCTGAAGCACAGAAATGCTCCACCAAGTCTGCCCAAGCAAAGCTGGAAGTGCTGTTTTAGAAGAGCATGGACATCAGAGTCTGACATGCTTAAGTGCACCTAGCTTAACTAGCTGTATGACCTTATTAATGACAATCTCTCTGAGGCTCAGCTGCCCCATGTGCAAAACTAAGATGATAAGCACTGTCTGTCTTATAGAATTGTCACAAGGAGTAACAGAGAGAACAAATATGAAGAACGTGTATGTGTGCATATGATGAATTCCCACTCAACATTAGCTCTTAACCATTTTCCTACAGGGAAAAGCCAAAGAAAGAAGTAAGAAGAAAGAAGAAATAGTCAACTGTTTCAGCTTCTCCAATACCTACAATAAATAAGTCTATGAACACAAGAGCAAGATTCAGTGTTGAAATCTTCTATGGGACACACGCACTTAAAATGTAAAATTCCTGGCAGATAAACCTTTATTAGCATTGCTCAATGTGGACTGGGGTGTGGCTCAAGTGACAGAATGCCTGCCTAGCAAGGGCAAGGCCCTGAGTTCAAACCCCAGTGCTGCCAAAAACAAACACTTCCAACCAACTGCAGTGAGGAGCACTCACAGACTTGCTTAATTAACCATTTGAAAATTCTTCCTTCGCTCAAGCAAAAACATATGCTGGGGTGGCCTGCACTCTCTGGCCCTGTCACACAGAATTCTAATTACATGCATACACATGACGAGGAGATAATAAACACTGCATCAGAATCCTAGCTCTGCCATTTACTATTTCTAAGTCATGGACAATACATGCAGGTCCTTCCCTTATCTATGAAAAGGTCTCTTCTCAAAAGTAGCGGATATTACCTATTCCCTGTCCAACTGGCATTGAGGGGCCTCTGTATTCAGTGTTCACACAAAGTCTGACACACCTGATATCCATCAAAAATAAAGAGGAACAAAAGAACAGGGATCGGTGGGAGACAAACAAGCTGATACACAGTGTATGTAGATGGATACCTGGCATTGGCGAGTGAATTACTTGATATCTGCACTAAGTGTGACAGCCTAGATTGGCCTTTTATCATCTCAACATTTCCTAAACCAGGACACATCCTAAAAATTAATTTGTATATTTAATGTACTGGAACTTCTTCCTTCCTCCCAAGAAAGCAGATATTAACTCAGTGATGTACCTAACACTCAACCATACCTGAGAAATGAGAAAACGCAGCCCCATGACAGTCACTTTTTAAACCTGTGATCAAAGTACTTGACACAGCACTCCCCAACGGTGGCTGCATCACCACACACTTACTACGTAAAAAAATCACATCTCCTTCATGGAACTGTGATGGGAACTGAAGAGCTGACGGAGAGGGGGGTCGTAAAGTTTTACTGGAGCACAGCTACATTCATTCATTTATGCCCTGTCCATGGCTGCTTTTGTTCTATTTATTTTTGCTGTGCTGGGGAGGAACATAGGGCCTTGCGGGAGGTAGGCAAGTGCTCTACCAGAGTCATACCCTCAGCTCCATGGCTGCTTTTTTTGCTACCACAGCAGTTAGGTGGTTACAACACGGACATGCGAGTAACAAAGCTGGAAATACTTATTGTGTGGCTCTTGACAGAAGTAGCCCTTGTCAACCATCATGATAAAGTATGAGAAAGGTGCGGTTTGTGGTGGTGCTTCCCTACATGCCCAGGAACAAAGTGTGCAAGTTAGGAGCAAAACCTCCATTGAGGCAGAACTGAGGCGGCAGTGCTGCCCAGGTCAATGCAGGTGCCATCGAAATATCAGCAGTCCTGTGGACTTGGTTACATAAAGTGACATGAGTCCCTCCCTTGTGAGTGCAGAGTTTCTTGACTGTGAGTGTTAATTATAGGCACACAAGGTTTGTGATACTGTGAGCCCCTTGGAAGTTTTTAGGGACGCAGCTCTGTTTATTCACACACTATTGTCCTGAGATCTGTGTTCCTAAGAATGTGGTTCCAACCCCTCTCCTCTCAAACACATTTAGTTAGTTTTCCTTATTTTCTTCTGTCTCCTTTCACCATTAGCTCACAGAGGACAGACATTCTAACAAAACCCCTATGGATGCTTGGGAGAAAGAGGCCTAACGGAGGGGTTGGCAGTGAATCAAGTGATGACTCTGTAACAACTTCAATTCTGTCCACTCGGCAGGCTTTCCCTTGTCCATAGTGGGGATGGGGATGGTGCTAAGGATGTGACATCATCTTACTGCATCAATCATGATTTTTACAGCTTACCTGGCTCTGACTGAATCCCAGTCCAACACCAACTTAGTGAGCTGTTTCCTCTGCTTCTGGATGTTGGGAATTTCCAGCTAGAAGGAAGAGCATACTGAATGGAATGCACTCTGATTTCAGCTTAATGCTTCCAAGACCTGTATCTATGTACAAACTTTTTTTTCTCTTAGGCAAAAAACTTCCCCCTTACTTCTAAGTAGTATACATTCAAGCCACTGATTATTGTTAAAATTTTAGACATACTTGAACTGTCCACCATTCAGCCCAAGCCACTCTATCCTTTTGTGTCACAGTGCAAGCACCCACCTCTGCAATGCCGTATAAAGGGTCCACGATCTCTTTCTCGATAAAGACTTCATGCTGAGAGAGCTCAAAAGCCAGCTGATTCTCAGCATCCCCACACGTCTCCAGCATCTTCCTTTAGAAACGAGACACCCAACAAGAATGTGCTTGTGACACCAGGCACTGATTATCACATGGCTGCAGCTCTGCTTTGCTACATGACAGAAACACAGAAGAGCACTACCCAGGAAAGCCTTTAAAATACCACACATGTAGGGATCATCTAAAACTGTGTCCACTGGACGTGGTGGTCATACCCGTAATCCCAGCACTCGGGAGGCTGAGGCAGAAGAATTGTGAGTTTGAGACCAGCCTAGGCTACATACATAGTGAAACCCTGTTTCAAGAAAAAGAAAAAAAAAAGTGAATCCAGATTTGTGTTTTCAAATGAAAATGACTGTGATGGGGGTGTGGCTCAGTGGTAGAGCACTTGCCTAGTATACATGAGTACTTGGGTTGAATCCTATGAAGGAAGAAGGGAGAGGAGGGGAAGGGGGAGGGGGAGAGAGGGAAGGAGGGAAGGAAGGAGGAAACCTCCAGCATCAATTTATATAGGTGGGATGAGGCATGAAGGGTGAGGTCACAACTTACTCAAGAATTAGAATGTCAAGTCAGGTAAGATCCAAATGATCCCAAGACACCCTGAAAATCTCCTAAAGCATCCACCTGAGAAGATGAGGTGGCTGGCTAACGTTAGGGACCACGAACGTCATCTCCACTAGCACAGCTGCTATCACACAAAGCACACATGCAAATGTGTGGCCCCACGGTCTCCTTCCCCTCTCTCCTCCTCTTCACCCCGACCCTCCAGCTCTCTGTGGATTTTTTTTTCTTTTTTTGTACCAGAAAAGTGTGTGGTGAGGTGTAAGGTGGCCATGTTATCAGAGTTAAACTGTCAGAGTTGGAACACAGGCTTTACTATTTCATAGCCATGTGGTCTCAGGCAATTTTCTTACCCTCTGTTTGCCAATGTTCTCATCGGTGAAATGGAACCATTATTATCGCCTCCCTCCTAGGCTGTTTGAACAATGTGCTATTACTTGCTGAGCACTGAGCCCAGGACTAGAACACAGCATCACTCTGGCATGAGGACGATGGCAATAGCAGAGAAAGCAAGACAGAAACACATCCCAGCTATAGGGAACAGGGATACCCGAGGCGGCCACAAGCCACACTCCAGCCTGGTCAGTGCCTTCCATTATGGGCTCGTAGACAAGACAAAGGCATGGTGAAGGGTGGGAGGAAAACATTCTCTTCAAAGAAAAAAGGAAGAATTGCAGGTCAGAAATGGGCTGAAAAGTTCAAAGGCCACGCCCAGCCGGGGAGTACAGCTCTTGTCTCAGCAGGAGAGAGCAGACCAAGCCTTGCCTCCTACAATGAAAACTGCTTCCTTCCTTCCCACACTTCTTTATTACTTAACTAGTACACACCTCCCTTGGGGAGGGAAGGGCACAGAGAATGGTTAATGGGTACAGTGCAGTTGGACAGGAGAAACAACTCCTGACGGCTATGGTTGATGACAATTAATGGCCCAATTCTAAATAGCCAGGAGAGAGAATTTTGAATGTTCCCAACATAAAGAAATGATGAATGTCTGAGGGAGTAGATATGTCAATTGCCCTGATAGGATCACTACACATTGTATGTATTGCAATGCCACACTGTACCCTGTAAATGTGTACAATTATTTATTATGTGTCAATAAAAAAAGATACATTTAAAAAGGAAAATAAACCAGGCGTAAAAATTTTAAGTTAAAACAACAATCATCACCAAGTGTGGTGGTACATGCCTGTAATCCAGCTACTTAGGAAATGGAAAGAGAGGCCACAAAACTAAAAAGCAAAAGGACTGGGGACGTGGCTCAAGTGGTAGAGCACTTGTCTAGCAAGCACACAGCCCAGAGTTCAATCTCCAGTACTGTCAAAAGAAAAATCTATATAGCTCAGAAAAATCCACTCCTTTGAGATGAGTGCCATTGACATTTGGTGGCCACCTTTAAAGGAAGTGAGTCTTAATTAAGAACAGAGAGAGACTGGTCAGTCGTAAATCTGGGTCATTCCTGACACAGGGAAGGGACTGAGTTCTTGGACAAGCTTAGGAGAATACTTATTGACCCTATCAGTCACTGCTGTTGGTGGCTCCTTCCACCATCCAATCCGGCCTGGCTCCTACTGGAAAGACCCTCCAGCAGCCTTGAGGCTAGGGCCCACTTTCCCCAGGGTCTAAGCACTCTCCTGAGGATTAGTCATGTGCTCATGCTCCCGTGCTTCAGGTCCCACCAGTAGCTGCTGTGCACACCATGACCCCCTCTTCACCTCGCTCTTGGAAAGCAGGCCCCTTACTTACCCCAGCAGGGACTCTTCCAGCTGAGCAGAGGCCTCCTGCATATTCTGAGCAAGCGCCGTCAGAGGGAGCTTTTTCTGGAAGGCAGAAGGCACATTTTTGGGTTATTCTCCTTCCAGGCAACTACACAGGTAAGAAGATGGCAGTTCCATTTCTAGCCTCACAGGTGTTAGCCATGTGACTGCATCACTATGACTCAGTCTGGGGAGGCCTGTGGACTAAAGTAGACCCTCAGTGTCAAGGACCTGCACACAGCTAAGGACTCAGCAGGCACTCAGCAAACTGCTGTCATTACTGTCATTAATTAGTCAAGAGCACATGTGAGAATCGCTTCTCTGAAATACTTGGGACCAGAAGTATTTTAAATTTTGGAGTTTTTGGAACTTTGGAATAGTTGTATAGACTTAACTGGTTGAGCATCCCAAATCCAAAACATCCAAAAATATGAAACTTTTTGAGTATAATGTCAGTACTCAGAATGGTTCAAGATTAAATGACCAGGCATGGTGGTGCACACCTGTAATTCCAGCTGCTTAGCAGGTAGAAGTAGGAAGATTGAGGTCCGAGGCCAGCCTGAAGTGTGAGACCCTATCTAAAACCAAAGGACTGGCAGGGCTCAAGTGGCAGAGCGCCTGCCTAGCAAAATCAAGGCTCTGAATTCAGTCCCCAGTACTGCCAGGCAAAAAGAAAAAGCTTCAGATTTCAGAGCATCAGGATTTCAGGTTTTTGGACTAGGGATACTCAATCTGTACTCTGTTCCATGTACAGATCTTGCTCTCTAGATCACTATTACAAGTAAATGCAATACAGTACTCAATTTCAAAAACTTCTGCTCAAACGTTCTTAAACTGAATCTTAATTTGGCTGTAATTTTATTGCTTATGTCTTCTCTTCAACAAAATTAGTGATAAGGGCAGAACAGGTTCTGCCTAGAAGCAAGAGGGGGGTGGGGGGAGAGGGAAGGAATGGGGGGACAGGAGGAAGGAATGGCCCAAACAATGTATGCACATGTGAATAAATGAATAAAAAAATTTTTTAAAAATTGGCCGTAATCCTAAAATTTAGCTTTCAGTTGCTAAAAATATCTAGCTAAACATCCAAACACCTTTTTGTAGAGTTTTTAAGCACAAAGCCCAACATTTTCCCTTTACAGATCTGTTTTTCACCAGCAATGACCATGGATCACCTGACCAAAGAACTCAAAGCCCAGAGCTGAAGTGCCCCAGAGGACAGAAGTGCAGACCTCAGTGCCTGTGGCCTGAGCCCATGAGGTGGTCTTTTCATCACTGGCTGATGGCTTATCTCAGAATACAGGTAGAAAAGCCTTGGAAAGTAACAAGCACGTTGACTGTAACACTATAGTGTTGACCAAAAAATGCTTTTACTCTACACCACATGTCAATTTGCCTTCCCAGTGGAAGGGACGCTTGTGTCAAAGACACAGGGTCCACTCTGCATGTCGTCTACTTATTTTTCCTTCAAAGGGCTCCACTTGATACACTTACATCTGTATTGGCTTGTACCATAGAGGATATTTCTGGAAGGCCATCCAAGGAACAGCTAATCCTGATGCTGTGGCAGAGGAAGCTGGGTGCCTGAGAACAGGACTAGGAGAGACTTATCTATGTTCTTTGTGTGTTCTGAACTTTAACTAGATAACTGTAAAACCTATTCAAAACAGCAAATTGAAATTTAAAATAACATTAAACATACTCGCCTATCTCCTTCCACCCCCAGCAAGCTGCTTTCAAGTAAATAAAAAAATGAATGAATGAATGAATGAATGATGGAGTCCTTCTGCCCATATGCCCACTCCTGGCTGCCATGTTTCTAAACAAGAAAGACCCAAGAAGAGAAGACAACTCAAGTGTCAGTCATGCTAACTTTCAAAAGGAAGTTCGATATAAGTAAATATGATAATCAAGAGAAATATACTTTGTATAACTCTGGAACGCCATGCCATGAGTGTGGAAACAAAATCAGCATCTATTTTTGACAAGTATCTTTCAAGGTCCCAGTTGTAAATAGCCTTGTGGTTTCCATACCCTGATTCCAAAGCCACAATTCTGCTTCCTGGTACACATAAATAAATAAATTCTGCTGAACATATGAGCTCATTAATTAAGGTGTTGTCTACCAACACTGAACTCCAGAGAGGATTTGGGCTTCCCTGGGGTGAGCAGCTTTTCTGTTGCCAGAGATGAATTTAAAAAAAAAAAAAAACTCTCCCATCTTAATCTGTAACACACATGCCAATTACACAAAAAAGAGAATTCTACATCTTCCATGGCCCTCAGAGTAAGTTCTGCATTTCAGTGGAGACTCCATCTCCCTTCCCTCCAACTTTTGCCTCTCATGTGCAGAAAAGCTTCTGGCAAGATCTCTGGGGGCTCCTCATGTATGTTCTGGAGCCCTACAGATTGCTGGGTCTTTCTCCATGCTACATGAGTCCTGTGGGCACCCACTTTCTCCTGCCATTGTCATGGTGACCCTTTCTCCCTCTCCTCAGAGTCCTGTCAGGCACTTTTGTTTGAGGTTGGAAAATGAAAGCTAAGGCAGAAGGTCTTAGAAATGAAGACAGAGCACCTTTGCTCCTGCTCCTTGTGACATTCCCATCACCGCCACTAATTCACCTCCTTACAGCTGAGAAACTACCCCCTCCAAGAAGCCTCCCAGGATTCCCTCCAAAAAAAGTACCCATTCTTGGTCCTTCCATAACACCCTGACCGTATTTTATTTCACACGTTGTTTTATAACTATCTGCTTGCATGTACTACCCCATCAGGCCATGAGCACTTACATTTTATTCATGTTATATTTCTAGCACTTGGACATAGTAGGTATTTGATAAATATTCAAATTGGTTTTAATGAATGTATGTGACAGTTGGGAAGCATCTCAAAGCAGACCACAGGAAAACAGGGCATAACTGTGTGAAGGACAGGGCATATCTGGGGACTGGCAGGTACTATGTGGCTGGACTACAGTGGGAATGAGAGGAAGCAAAGGACAAAGAAGGTGATTAAACAAAATGGTTATCAGATTGCAGAGAGTGAAGTCATGCCGAAGAGCTTGGATTTTTACAGGTGATGGGAGACAGTCAGGGTCCCTCAAAAGAAGTATATGCAGCACAGCACTGTGGGGCACTTCCTTGTGTGGAACTATCTCATCAGGCACTACCGAACACTTAGCATCTTGGTTCTCACTCTCCAAATGCCCATGGTGTCTCCTAGTTCTTATGGCAACCCAAAGAACCCAGTGCATAGGCTCTGGTTCCTGTTAAGAATCATTGAGCTAAGATTTTTGACTTTTTAAAGGCGGGAGGATGACAGGATTGATTTGTACTTTAGGCATTGAAGTGGAAGACAGGTGGAAGACAGACTGGAAGGGAGAGACACCAGAGGTAGAAAATGTAGTACAGGTAAGAGTTCATCAGGTTCTGCATTAAGGCAAAGGGGGTGCAGATGGAGTGGGGGTGAGGAATTTAAGACATTCGCAGAGAGAATAGCAGGGCTTGTTAATCAGGCAGCTATGGGCAGTGGGGAAAGCTATGGAAAGGTAAAGGATAAAATAAAAGGAAGTATAAGAGAACCCCATGCTTCTCTATTTGAATAGTAGTATGAACGGAATTCAAGAGTGTCAACACAAAAGGAAGAACTGGCTGTGAGTGCTAAAATAGACTTCTAGGGTCACAACTTTTTGCTTGGTGAAAATGGCTAAGAAGTCACTGGCATAAGATATCAGATATAAGCCATGAAAACAGAGAAGATGGTCCAGAGAATATGACTCAGAAAATAAGGAGAAGCAGCACAGACTCTTGGGAAACAATAGTATGAGTGAGCAAGTAGAAGCCAGGGCAAGAGAACAAGGAAGAACAGCAGGTCAGAGTCAGTGGATTGGGGCTGGTTCTGGGTGGCGGAGCAGCAGTATGCATTCCTGCAACCGCATGCAAATGCAAAAGTGCACTCTTGATTTGCACAACTGTGGATTCCTAACTATTGTGCAATGGAGGGATAACCCTGTGGTCAAGGTGCCCTATGAACATCTGTAAGAAATACAAAAGAAGGATGACATATATATCTGCATACCAGTTCTTCCTTTTGAGGAGTCTGGTGACACGCAAATCCTAGCTTTCCAGTGTGCTGCTGAAACTGTCACTTTCATGTGGCCCAGGCTCATGCTAGCAGCTTATACAAGCAAGGGCAGAACTGCCAGATGAATGAAAGTGGCTGTGTTCCATTGGTGGCACCTGGGAACTTGAATGCTCTGAACAAACCCATTGTGCATTACAAATTGGATGGCCCTGCCAGAGTCCATCTTTCCTCTCTCCAATGGTATCTTAGGTTTCTTTTTTTAGGGATATACTCCAGTCTCAATAAAGCCTGTGAGCTGCAGGGTGGGCCCCAACCCAGGCTGTAAGGCTGGGCCCCACCAGTGTATCCCATCTTCTCACCCATCACCGTGGAACTAGACTGGAATATGAATATTCCTGAATGGGGAATGTACTGGACACAGATCAATGTGCCAAGGGCTTGAGGGGGGAAAAAAAAGTTCCTCACTCACTAAGAAATCTGCTCTGTCCTGGTGGACACATACAGGAAGCAAGAAGCCCATGGAAGTTGCCAGCAGCCAACTTATAACCATTAGGGCATCTGTCTAGGGATGAAGCAGACACAGAACAAAACAGAGGGGAGAGGAGGAAAGAATCTGGTTATAACACTGAAATGCCAGACCAAGGCTTACCAGATCCACTCCAATGTCTGGACTCTTCAGCTAAGGAGCCAATAAAGTAATTTTCCGGAAATCAATGTAAGATAGGCTACAGGTTTGTGCCAAAGGATTCCTAACTGACATGTTCATTCCCTTATCGGTGACAAATGGCTCCCGGAGGCACCTGGAGCAGAATCCTGGCAAACAGAGCTTTCAGCCCAGTGATGACTAAGGCAGGAAAGTGTTGTGGTCAGGAGGTATAAACATAAACGGTATCAATCCAAAGGCCAATCTGCTGATGCTGCTTATGAAAATCAACCACGGAAGGGGTGCAAAGCCTCAGAAAGACACAGAAAAGGTGGGCCCAGGTCGCATCTGATACTCACATGTCTCCTCTCAGCATCGGTGCCATGTTGGCCCTGGAAGCATGCCATCAGACGCTTGTGGGAATGGTGGCACATTGACCGTACTGTGTCCAGGCGCCGTTCAATCTGACAAAGTAGACACACAGAGCCATTTGCAGGGCTTAAGAATAAACTCAGCCTCTTCTATGAGTAACATTTACAAGGAGAGAGGAAAAGTCCTCTGCAGTCTAATGCTTTAGCTCTTGGGTATAAACTGAACTGGCTCCCATTCATCTACATCAGAGATTCTCATGACTGACACTGTGCATTACACAATCCTGGGCTGTCCTATGTACTGTGATGTGCTCAGCATCCCCTCTGGCTTCTGCACATCAGATGCCAGCAGCTCCCCACTCTCCGAGTCATGACAACCAAAAATGACTGCAGACATTGTTCAACACATCCAGTGGGCAAAGTCAGCCCTGGCTGGGAGCCACTGATCTTCCTTATGCAGAGGGCTTTAGATCCCTTCAAGGTGGAATCTGTGCAGGGGAAGGGGACCATCTTCACTGAACCTTTCCATCAGCCAGAGTGGTGGCCATCAGTCTGCCCACTAGAGCACCAAGAAAGCAGAAATGTCTTGAACAGTTCTGGCCCAGACCCACTGTTGATGGGAAAAAGTCACAAGCTCTCTCCAGCACATGACAGTACATCAGACTGAGGAACAGAATCAATGTCCAAAACTGAAACTCAAGATAGATGCTTAAAAATTATTCCTTAACAAGGTTGGGGGGTAGGGCATGTTTTTGTTTTTCCTAAGCATCAGAAGCAGAATGGACAGCCAGCAGTAAGCAACACTGGCTTCGGGACCCAGTGAGTAGCTTCCCAAAATACTATTGCTGGGCTATGGCTGTTTATGGCAAAGAGAGCTGCTTGTTACAGGAAGGAATGCCAAAAATGTGTATTCTGATGACTCATGAAGAATGAGAGCAAGCCCTTGGGATGTTTTCTATTTTAAAGAAAAACTAACAAATTCAAAGCAGAATACATTTTGACCCCCAAATATTTTTACTGCATGAGTTGTTTTGTGTCTCTTTTTTAAAGGACCCACAACACCAGCTGCTTTTCTTCAGATCCAAGCCTAGTCACCAGTACTCTGACCTGACAGGCAAGTTTATATCTAGGGGCAGATGCCCCATCACCTCCCCCATCAACAGTGACCAGATTTCAAACCAGCAGAAAACCAGTACATACTCTTCATTTGCCACAAGAGCAAAACAAACAAACAAAATTCCTTAATTTAATTTTCTACTGTCACAGAATCAGAAACTGTTGACTTACTATTTGTGAGCAAAGAGGACAAGTGTCTACTGAGTCTCCTATTCCAGGTACTAGAAAAACAACAGTAAATAAATTCCAGTTCCTGCCCTCCTGGGATTCCCAGTCTTCTGGGGCAACTCCACATGACTAAATGAAAGTCAGCCCTCAAAAGGCTCTAAGACAGGCCCAAGAAAGAGGTGGGAGAAAAAAGAGCAAATTAAGGGAGTTTCACCTCAGAAACAGGCCAGCAACGCACATCTCTGTGGCTTGTAGTGCTCATGAAAGTACCACCAAAATCACCACTCTAGCTTCATTATCTTCACTTCCCAGGGTTAGCTCATTAAATCCTCTAAACAACAGCCTGACATGGAGACTGCTGACACACTCACTGGAGAGGAGTGGACACTGAGGCACCAGGCGGGTTAGATAAATCACAAAAGCCTCAGAGCTGGTCAGACACAGACTGAGGTTCACACTCAGGCAGCCGGATACCAGAGTCAGCACTGGTACCATGACTACCTTTATAAAGTTAATAACAGCACGAAAGACATGGGGAAACAAAATGTGCAGCAGTCCTGGAGATGGGAGAGAGGACCTGTGTTATTAAGTCAGGAGCTTCCAGGAATTGGTAAAGCTCTTGAACTCCATGAATGTTTGAATAGAGGAACAATACAAAATACAGGGACTTGGTGATCTACAGCTCCAGCACAGGGCACGAGGAGGCACACACAAGCATGAAAACCTAGTTTGGTTAAACAGAATCTCTGAAAGTCTAAAAATGAATTTAAAACATAGACTATAAACTAAGAAATACTAAGAATATGATTCCTTAAAAATCTTAAAAAAAAACCAAACTTCTACTCTTTAATTTTAAAAAAGCTTATAGTCCTGAAAGACTACAAAAAAACAAAAACAAAAACAAAGAAAACAAGAAATGCTCTTACAAGTCAATATTTCAGTGAGCACAGGCTTACTATGCACAAGTCCTGGGTTCAAGGTCCTGCAGGAGGTGGGGGGAACCAATGGGAGGTGAAAGAAGGTGGGGAAAGGGTGTGAGAGGGTGAACACGGTGCAAAATACAGTGTACACATGTATGTAAATGAGAAAATGAGACCTACTGAAACTATTCCAGAAATGGGGAGGGGAGAATGGTGGAGGGGATGAATTGACGTATGATATATTTGATATATTATAAAAACTTTTGTAAATAGTACAATGTGCCCTACCTAGCACAACAATAAAAATAAATGGAAAAAAAAAAAAAAAAAAAAGAAAAGAAGCCCCACCCAAATTGGCCCTCTCTATCAGTGGGTTTTGCAACCATGGATTTAACCAACTGTGTATCAACATTTTTCAAGGAGAAAAAAAAAAACCCACAAACCCTTGTATTGAATATGTGCACTTTTTTTTTCTTGTCATTACTCCTAAACAATACAGTAGAACAACTATTTATGTGGCACTTACATCATATCAAGCCTTATAAGTCATCTAGAGATGACTGAAAGCACACAGGAGGATGTGCATAGGTTACATGCAAACACCAGGCCATTTTACATAAGGAACAAGCATCCACAAATTGTGGTATCCATGGGAGACCTGGAAACCAATCCACCCATGGATACCAAGGAATGACTGGATTCCCACCTGCAGATGGCTGATTCCTCGCTCAGAAGGGTATTTAGGCCTGGTGTGGTGGAAGCAGCATTTTTCTAAATTATGCCAGTTCCTTTTCTACAATCACCTGAGGGCACACCTCCAGTGTACAGAGACTCAGCTGAGTAGACCTGCTACATAGGTGAGAAGGCTTAACAAGTCTCCATGCAGGAGGCTTGCCATCCCCTAAGAATTTAGGTGGGGGTGTGAGCAGAAGGGGCAAACTGAAGCATATAAAGTATCCAGTGTCTTCCAAGAGAAACTCCCAGCCCCAAAGTTAGGGAAACTTGTTGACAGATGGAGTGGAGTAGCAGCAAAGAGAAGGAAGAAGGTCTGGGCCTCAGGGTGGTTCTGTCAGACCTGGGTCCTGTCATCAAAAGCCTGAGCCCCTCAAGACTCACCAGCCCAAGCTGTGAAACAATAGCATGAAAGGGGAGCAAGAGGTTAAGGCTGCAGCCAACAGGGCCTCAGTTTCAGCTGGTGGGCCTTTCTCACCAAGGGCATCTTCTGGGCAGCAGATTACAGACTTAGCCTACCCAGGACCCGTGACCAGGTCACAGTGCCAGGGCCCAACCAGGCCCTGCTCCTCCCCAACACCTGGCACTGGAAAGCAGGACAGAAGGACAGCCCCATCTGAACTTCATTAACACAACACCAGGGTTTCATATCCCCTTCCTATCACCAAGCCACTCCACTGCTTCCCTTTCCAGCTCGAAACCATTTGTCTTCTTCCAGCTTAAAAAAAAAAAGAAAAGAAAAAAAAAAAAAAACCCACAATCTCTAATTCTCACATAGGCAAGCGCTCTGCCATTGAGCTATACCCTCAGCACTGGATTTTTTTTTTTAATTTGATCATTTAAACAGATCATTTTAAGACTTTATTTTGTTACCTGCAAGAGATCTTCACTGAGGACTTCTGTTTTCTCAGCTCTGTGGGAAAAAAATTTATAATTCAGAATTAAAAATCCAGAAATGAAAAGCAGCTCATAAAAATTAAGTTATTAGCCTGGATTTTAAACAAAACAGGCAGAAATGAATGATAAGGGGGGAAATTCACCAATGTTTACACCAGAGGACAACTTAATCAAAACCAAAGAGTAACAAAAATGTGCAGAGAACAGCAATTCAACACAAGCACACATGGCCCAGGACAGTGGTTCCTGATCAGCACAGGTGCACAGTCAGAGTCAGGGCTGATTTAAACCCCATTTCCCAGGGCTCACCATGGAGGATCTTGTTCTAATTCAGTGTCTAGAGTGAGATCCTATTCCCCTCCCTGCTCAGAATCCCCTTGCAGGAGGCCCATAGACCATGCTTTGGGAAAGGACTTCTCTCTAAAAGCTTAACCTTCAGTTCTTAAAATCATCACTTGCATGTTTCACTATCTTATTGAAACAAGTTTACCACAAATCTAGAAACATTATGCAAATGCACAAGTCTAGACAATCACATGCAATTGTAACAATTGAGTATTCCTTCCTTCAACTTCAAAAAGAAACAAAGTATTTCACAACTTTCCCTTTGCTGTGTTAACAACTACTACTACCCTCACCAACCTTTCCAAAAATCCAAGATGGTACCCAGCCATCAGAAGAGGGAGGGAGGGGGGAGAAAGGACCCAAACATTGTATGCACATATGAATAAAATAAATAAAAAAATAAAAAAGAGGGAGGGACACTCTAAGCTGCTGGAGTCTCAGTTGCCAGAACACAATTTTTGAAGAAGACCACTATAGTCCGGATATGTAATGTCCCCCAAAGACCCATGTTTTGTTTTTTCAGTACTGGATCTTAAACTTAGGGGCTACACCTTGAGCCACTTCTCCATCCCTTTTTTGTGAAGGGTTTTTTTCAGTATAGGGTCTCGAGGAACTATTTGCCCGGGCTAGCTTCGAACCACAGTCCTCCTGATCTCTGCCTCCTGAGTAGCTAGGATTACAGATGTGAGCCACCAGCACCTGGCCAAGATCCATGCTTTAAAGGCTTTGACATTATCAGAAGGTAGTAGAATCTTTAGGAGGTACATCCTAGTTGGAGAAAGTTAGGTCATTGGGGGTGTGCCCTGAAGAGGATTTGGGGACCCTGGCCACTTACTGTCTGTCTCTTTGCTTCTTGACTATTATGAGGTAAACAGGTGTTCTATGCTATGTGCTCTCACCATGATCTACGGTGCTGCCACAGGCCCAAGCAACCATAGACTGAAATTTCTGGAACCTTGAGCCAAGATAAATCTTTCCTTCTTATAAGTTGATTTTCTTAGCTATTTTGTCACAGTAATGGAAAGCTAACACAAAGACTTCTCTGCAGTTCAAAAAGGCTGCCTCACTGCCATACATAATACTGAGAATTACTAGAGTATAAATTCCATTTTGGACTTCCAGCTCATTCAATGATTTGAGCCAAGTCTTTTAGCATATCTACCACATTCTTATGAAAAAGAATAAGGAAATTTTTAAAGAGAAGGTCTGAATAGCTAGGAGAGTTGAGGAAAGGCCAAAATTAACTAGAAAGTCTTTTTTATAAGATATATGGCAGAATACAAGATGACATAACCTTGGCCATGAACCACCACAAAAGGAAAACCGGTTTGGCCCAAAAGTAAATGGGAGCCCTAGAGTGACCTCAAAACACAATAGTTCAGGCAGCAGCAGTTGTGGGCACTATAGGCAGGTGTGGGAGAAGTACCTCAGTGCCCCTCCAAGCGTCCACTTAGGGCAGTGGCATGCCAGATGAGCTGGGCACTGCCACCGAGAATTCCAGTGCCAGGTGTCACAGCACTGTCCTGAGTAACCTGGAGATGCTTAGAGGAGTTGCTCACTCACTACATTCTGTGGACACTGGAACTCTGCTCTGACTCAAATACCTCCTCAGGTTAGAGGATCAGAACCTGGAGACAAAGTCAAAGCCCAGCTCCCACAAGCAAACAGCTCTTAACTCTATGAACAAGTTCCGCTAGAGCAAGCCAAAATATGCCATCCTAGCCTATGCTAGGATGCTTTGGTAACAAGCATTGCCGAAGCACCAAACCCCAGTAGTCACACCAGTTAGGGATGTGGAGGAGGGCTCAGCTGACTAAGAGGTCAAGCAAGCAGCCTCAGAAAGAAGCCTGACAGTCAGACTGGCAGAACATACCTGGAGACCACCACATTGACCCTCTCACCAACAGCCTCACACTCTCCTCTAGCAAAATATCAAAAGTTGGGTAACTTTTGCTTTTTGTTCTCTAGCCAGGACCCAAAAATTTATACAGAATCCCACATACCTCTCTGACAGATCCCACTTCTACTCAGAAATCTTCTTCCTATAAATATGAGTACACACAAAAAAATCCCAAGGCCTATAAATATTTTCACAAGTTCAAAAGAAAAGCGTTAACCTGGCCACCAGAGCAAATATGTCCTCTTACAAAACAAACTGTTCTTTAAAAAATTAACAATCAGAGGAAAACCTGCTCTGCAATCTTACTGTGTACTACTAGCATATGTGGGAGAGTTAGAAATAGCTCAGTGCTATGTTAGAGCTGGCTGAGGAGAACCAAATGTGGCCTCACACTGGAACTTGAAATCAAAATATAAGATGTATGAGTCAGTGTCTATTGCCTGGCACGTATGGTTCCTGGGTTCAACCCCTAGCACAGCATGGCTTTTTGGGGTTTTCTTGGAGAGCTAGGTTTTAGATACTTTTGAATAATATGAACACAGTGCTACAACAGTCACAAAGAAAATAAGGCAAATGTAAACACAAAGAAAGCATTAACTTCAAGAAAAAAAATGCCATCAGGAAGATGGTCATAGTACACTACTATGCTCAGCTACAAATACTTTTTATTACCCCTAATAACAAAAATATTACATAGTAATATAACAAAACATGATAACAGAACTTTATCAAAAGAAGGGTAGGTAAGAACAGAGGAAGGTTATACAAGGGCCCTATATTCTCCTTCATCATAACAGAAAGGCAACAGACAAAACTAAGTTTGATGACCTAAAGAAAGCAGTTTACACATATTATTTATAAATATGGATATGAGTAAATGTCAGAAAAAACAGCTGAAATTTTATGCTACTTGTTTCTAGGGTTGGAGGATCTTTGAAAGAGTAGGGAGAAAACATACTATGTTTTGTGCTAAGACTTACACTACTGTTTAAACTACTTTTTCAACTATGTGTATACATAGCTCCACATTTGTGAATTTGTGTATGTGGGGTGGGTACTGGGGTTTAAACTTGGGGCCTACACCTTGAGGCACTCCATTAGCCCTCTTTAAATGCTGGGTTTTTTTCAAGATCGGGTCTTGTGAACTATTTGCCCAGGCTGGCTTCGAACCACAATCCTCTTAAATAGCTAGGATTACAGGTGTGAGCCACCAGCGCCCAACTGTTACTTACATTTTTAAACAGAAGTACTTCTAACTGAAAGCAGTGGGTGCCACTGCCAATCTCTGCAAAAGCACAACAATATCCAAAATATAAAGAAAATTGGCATTTTTATTGTAGTTTTTTAAAATTAACTAGATCTTTTGCTTTAAATTTTAGAGGTACTTTACCTGACAAGGTGTTGGAGGCAGAAAATCATATTTAACACATTAAATGGAAATGTTAACATACTGCTTACTGTATTTGCCTTTGTGGACACTCAACATTGCATTCCTAAAATTCATTTTAGAAAAAGACCCAGTATCTTTCTAACCAGACTTTTGGGCTCACTGAAATTATTTTAAATGACTTCTAATCAGGAAAGGTCACTTTTTAATGGTAAGTCATGACTGCAGAACCTAACATACAAATTGGGGGCTCTCTCACACAGCGATCCCTCTGCTGACCTGTGCTCCCTCCTACCCCCTGCTGCCTCCCTTAGGTTGCTTTCTTAACTTATTAGTGCAAGGTGTGTGTGGGTAACATATTGAGCTCATCCAGGCACCCAAAGGGTAGGAAAAACAGTGGACAAAGTGCCCCAATAATAAAGATGATGCTTGCTAAATCAGATTGAGTAAGTCAGACATTTACTGCATAGACCTGAACTTTAAGCTTCGTCAGAGCCTTCTCTGTGTCCAATGTTCCGTGCTTGAAAACATGCTCGAGTGTTTCCTGTCTGTAACTGGAAAACAATACGGATCAGGAAGGAACTTCCCACCCGCCATGTTACTCTGGGCTTGTTTTTTCCTATGCAAGCCACTCTGCAATGTCACTAGTCATTCAAGAGAGGCTTACATCAGGCAAAACTTCACTTACTTTTTGTAATGATGGATGGATGATGGAGCAGAAGAAATAGGACTTCTTGTAATTCCCAAAGCCTCAAAGCAGCAATGCTGTGTGAGCCTCTCTATGCCCAGCTTTCTTTCTCTTGACTATGGGCACTCTTGGCCAGCCCTCCCACTGTGGCCAACAGAAAGTTTCATATGGCCCACTTACCAAGTAAGGAGGAAACAGAAATATCCCCAAGCTGAAGTGTTCACCTTACCAAAAAGGATGAAAATGCTCAGATCGGGATGCAGCGTCAAAGGAAAATTTCCAATTGGCCTGACACTTCCATCTCTAATCACATATTGACTTCTAGCAGCTCTACCATCACTATACCCAAATGCCAAATGCCACTGTTGTGAACTGCCTTGCTATGTCCCAGGATACTGACTACTACACACACCTTCAAAGAACAGCCATTAAGGGAGCCAGGGACTTCCAAGTAATGGACAGGAACACCAAGTTCGCACCATCACCACAGGCTGTGATCTCCCAAATAATGAGCACTCCTAACTTCCTCCTGGCGGGATGGCGAGCTCCAGATTCAGATCCTCGTCACCCCTCCCCCAGCACTTGGCTTAGCACCTACGCCACACAACAGGGGCTGAATAACTACATAGTGAGTGAATGCATAGAAGATAGTTGTCACATGGTAAGAAAGACTGGAAAAATGAACTGTTACCTCACAAGAGGTAGTAAGAAAAAATTCAATAAAACTAGGAGAAAGGAAGCCATAGGTATAAACATTTGCCTTCCACAGTAAAACCCACAATGAGTGAAACTGAAATGTGATACTGCCTTTCAAAGTTAATCTTTTTAAAAATTGAAGAAAAACACAAAAAGTAAAAACTACCTACATTACTAGATAGCTGGTAGCAGTGGGAGGAGGGAGGATATAAGGAAAGGGTGTAGGAGGGTGAATGTGGTGAACATATTATGTACTCATGTATGAAAATGGAAAAATGAGACCTGCTGAAACTATTCCAGGAATAGGAGAGAGGGGATAAAGGAGAATGATGGAGGGGGCGAATTTGACTATGATATAGTGTAAGAACTTTCCTAATTGTCACAATGTACCCCCACTACAACAATAATAAAAAAAAATGTAAAAAAAAAAAGAGGGGGGGAGAACGTGTGGAATGAATGCTAGTTCTCCACATCTCTAATTCCATGTCCCAGAGGGAATTACTGCCATCAATTTGTGTATCCTTCCCAAAGTTTTTCTGAATTTAAACTAGTCATGCTCAACTGCAGAGGCCACTGCCCCCGCCCCTGGGGACAATGACAATGTCTGGAGACTTTTTGGGTTGTCACATGGGAGGTAGCTAGTGGTATGTGGTGAGCAGAGACAAGTGTGCTACTAAGTATCCTAAATGCACCACTTTCCCCTAATTAATATAAAGAATTACCCCACCTCATATTAGTTTTCCATTGCTGTTTTGAAAATGACCACAAGTTTAGTGGCTTCAATGGTACAAACTTGTTATCTTACAGTTCTGGGGATCAGAAGTTCAAGTAAGTCTCACTAAGCTAAAATCAAAGTGTCAGCA